ACTGAGGTGAGTAGTGAGAGGGAGGAGGTGGGAGGGGGAAACGGGTGAGGTGACAGGTAAGGTGGGGGTGACAGGTGGTATTTTAGATAAAGATGCAGGTGAATTGGTCGAGGATGTGGGTGAAACAGGTGTCGGTGGAGAGGCAGGTGAGGTTCCTGGTGAAGTGGGTGAGGCAGGTAAAGTAACAGGTGAACTAGAAGAGGTAGGTGAACCAGGTGAGGTGAAAGAGGCAGGTGAGGTTGTAGGTGAGTTGGGTGAGGCAGGTGAGGTTGTAGGTGAGTTGGGTGAGGTAGGTGAGGTTGTAGGTGAGTTGGGTGAGGTAGGTGAGGTTGTAGGTGAGTTGGGTGAGGCAGGTGAGGTTGTAGGTGAGTTGGGTGAGGTAGGTGAGGTTGTAGGTGAGTTGGGTGAGGCAGGTAAAAGAACAGGTGAGTTGTGTGAAGGATTTGAGGTCGTTGGTAAACAGTGTGAAGCAGGTAAGGCGAGAGAGGCAGGTGAGGCTGTAGGTGAGTCGTGTGAGACAGGTAAACTAGCAGGTGAGCTGAGTGAGGGGAGCACAGTAGCTGAGGCTGAAGAGATGGAGGCCTGTGAGTCTGGGTGGGGGTCTGCTCCTCTTAAACAGCGCAGTAAGAGGAGAAGCATGTTGACCGTGGAGGTGGGTGGTAAAGCCGGACGTCTGGCCGGTAAACCGAGTGCTGCAGAGAACAGAGCAGCTCTATCTGACAGCAGTGACAGTGAAGGGTGTGTGTCTGACAGCAGTGACCTGTCTCACACTCAGCAGGCTGCTGCTCAGGTGTATACTGCCAATGTACTGAAGTCTTTTTTACAACAGACCAAAGGGATGAGGAAGCCAGTGTTAGAGCAGTACTTCCCTGATATGCAGGGTTTCTATAACTCAGCCAGGTATACTGTGAAACACAGAGCAGAGTCAGAGCTGACTGACCAAGAAATATTCAGACTGAAAAAACTGATTATTAAAGTCAGAAAACAACTCAGTTTTTAATGATGGTGAATGTAGGGATTTTATTTTTATTTATTTCATTGATTGTTTTTAGTCTTGTTCTTAACATCTCCATCATTATGAATGTTTTTAAAGTGGGCAGTCTGAATGTCAATGGTGCCAGAGAAACAAGAAAGAGAGCAGTAGTGTTTGAAACGGCTAAAATGAAACATATTGATGTTCTGTTTCTACAAGAAACTCACAGTGATGTTGGAAACGAGGCAGACTGGAGCAGAGAATGGGAAGGAGAACTGATTTTAAGCCATAACACCACCCTCAGTGGAGGAGTGGGCTTCCTGTTCTCCAGAGGTTTTACTCCAACCTCTCTGGAGGTCAGGCATGTTGTGGAGGGGAGGTGTCTTTTAGTCAGAGCTCGTTTTGAACATTTTAATGTGGTTTTTATCAACATTTATGCTCCAAACAACGGTGCAGAGAGGAAACACTTCTTTGAAAATATGAATGATATTTTAAACAGCTGTGGCCCGGAGGATTATTTATTTGTGGGTGGGGATTTTAATTGTACTGAAAATGAGATTTTAGATCGCAACCATGCAGAGCCTCATCCAGTATCCCAGCATGCCTTGAGGCAGCTGGTCTCCTCCCATGGCCTGGTGGACGTGTGGAGAAGGATGCACACAGGCTGCAGACAGTACACATGGTCCCACGTTAGAGAAAAAACAGAATCTCTTTGGCCAGACTTGATCGTTTTTATGTTTTTAAGCACAGAGTCAGTGTTGTTAAAATGTGTAAGATTTTACCAGTTGGTTTTACTGATCATTCTTTGGTTTTATGTAATGTTTTTATCAGAAACATTTTACCCAAAAGCGCCTATTGGCATTTTAACTCTGTTTTAACTGTTGATAAATCTTTCAAGGAGGCTTTAAGTTATTTTTGGAATGATTTTAAACAGAAAAAAACCGAGTTTGTCAGTCTGAGGCAGTGGTGGGACCATGGAAAGGTTCAAATTAAACTTTTATGTCAGCAGCACACGCTCAATGTCACACGCGACATCACCAGATCTATCAGAGATCTGGAGACTGATATTGTGGATCTCGAGTGTACAAGTGAGTCCACAGGAAATCGAGGATATATTGAAATCCTCAAGACTAAAAAGATGGCTTTAGCCAACCTGCTGGACACTAAAGTACAGGGTGCGCTGGTCCGGTCCCGGGTTCAAAACATCACGGAGATGGATGCTCCATCGAGTTTCTTCTTTGGGCTTGAGAAGAAACAAGGGCAGAGGAGACAAATTCACTCTCTGCTCTCTGAGACAGGGCAAGAGCTGACAGAGCCAGGCCTGATAAGGCAAAGAGCTGTGGAGTTTTACGCCTCATTGTTTGAGAGTGAGTTCAAGGAGAACGAAGAACTGATGGAGGAGGTCTGTGGTGGACTTCCTCAGGTGTCTAGAGGCTAACCAGCAGCTCGACAGCCCACTGACTCCACAAGAGCTCTACGCGGCACTGCAGAGCATGCAGGGACGAAAGGCTCCAGGCATCGACGGCCTCACTGTAGAGTTCTACAAAGCCTTCTGGGACATCTTGGCCCATGACCTCATAGATGTTTTTAATGAGAGCCTGGTGTCTGGGTCAATGCCACTCTCATGTCGGAGAGCCGTAATTACCCTCTTGCCCAAGAAAGGCAATTTGCAAGAAATCAGAAACTGGCGTCCTGTCTCTCTCCTCTGCACTGACTACAAAATACTGTCCAAAGTCCTGGCCAATAGGCTGAAAGGAACCATGGAGCAGATTCTCCACCGGGACCAGACGTACTGTGTGCCCGGCAGGTCTATGGTAGATAATATCTACCTCATTCGGGATGTTTTGGAGGTCTCCAGTTCATTAGGCATAAACACTGGATTGATCTCATTAGATCAAGAAAAGGCTTTTGACCGCGTTGAACCACGACTTCCTTTGGAAGGTCATGGAGAGGTTTGGGTTCAGCGCTGGTCTCATAGCCAAGATCAAGGTGTTGTACAGTGACATTGAGAGTGTGCTAAAGTTTAATGGTGGCTTGTGTGCTCCTTTTTAGAGTGCATAGAGGCGTCCGACAGGGCTGTGCCCTGTCTGGGATGCTCTATGCACTCTCCCTGGAACCCCTCCTACAAAAGATAAGATCATCTGTTCGAGGCCTGTTTTTACCTGGTTTTAACAGTAGTGTTGTTTTATCTGCTTATGCTGACGATGTCGTTGTTTTTATCAAAGATCAACAGGATGTGTGTGTTTTAAATTCTGTAATCGAGAAGTTTTCTGTTGTGTCGGCTGCGAGGGTGAACTGGAGGAAGAGCGAGGCTCTTGCTGTTGGTGAATGGCGGGAGGGCCTCCCTGTTCTCCCTCAAAGCCTGATATGGAGAAGAGAAGGCTTAAAGTATCTCGGTATTTATCTTGGGAACAGCGACATTGGAAAAAAAAAACTGGGAAAACATTTTAGAAACAGTAGATAACAAACTGGCTAAGTGGAGGTGGCTTCACCCACAAATATCTTTTAGAGGGAGGGTCCTAATTTTAAACAATCTGGTGGCCTCCATGTTATGGCACCGGTTAGCTTGTCTGGACCCTCCAACAGGTCTCATTGCCCAGATCCAGGTGAAGATTGTCAATTTCTTCTGGAACAAATTGCACTGGATACCACAGTCTGTATTGTTTTTATCCAGAGATGAGGGGGCCAGGGCCTGGTCCACCTGGCTAGCAGGACAGCCACCTTCAGGCTCCAGTTCATTCAAAAGTATCTGACTGGACCTGAAGATCTGGTGTGGAGAGACGTGGCCAGCTGCATACTCAGGCGTGTCAATAACCTGGGGCTGGATGCTGCTCTGTTTTTAACTGATTTTAAATTCTTAAAGTTAGGTGGGTTGCCTCCTTTTTATCAGGGTGTTTTTTAAATCCTGGGGGCTTTTTAAATGTAAAAGAAGTGAGAAGTGTAACTCTCTGCACTGGTTATTAAAGGAGCCTATAATCTGTGGTGCAAAGATGGACGTGTGCTGCAGCACTGTGCCGGGGCTGATGGGGGGTGCTGTGCAGCTCAAGAGTTGTCTGCCTCAAACAACTGATAGATGCAGCAGGACCAGAGCTCACAGATGTCCAATCTCTGGGCTCTGTGCTGGGGGTACGCTCTGTCCGGCTGACGCAGAGGAGCCTAGAGCTCTGGAGGAGGAGGCTGACGGAGAAGGAGAGAATCCTTCTCCTCAAATACGGCAGGGGAGAGGCTGAGCCGGACCCCACAGACCCTTATCCCGAGATCTACTTGTGCCCTGGTTTCACAGAGCTCAGCGGCCCCCTCCTGAGACACAATGATGGGAGTACATTGAGCCTACACAAGACTGACAAAAAAACTCTGTACACAAACTGTGTAAAAACTATCCACAAAACTCGCCTGTGTGACAGAGCGCAGTGTGTGTGGACTGAGAGGCTGGGTGGGCTGAGCCCCAGTGGAGAACATTATACAAACCTCCTCTAAGAAAAAGAACTGGAGATCTCCAGTGGAGGATTTTACATGGTGCCATTGCCACCAATGCCTTTTTATCTGTTCTTAATCACAGTGTTGTAAAGGAGTGCCCATTCTGTGGACTGACTGAGAACATTTTCCATGTTTTTACTGAGTGCAGGAGATTGGCAGACATTTTTAACGTTTTAACTCGTGTTTTTAATCTATTTGGTGTCATTTTTACTGCCCCTGTTTTTATTTGTGGAGTTGGTTTTAAAAAAACAGAAAAAGTAAAGTGTCGACTCCTAAACTTTTTAATTGGTGAGGCTAAAATGTCGATATACCTGACTCGTAGGGACAGACTGCAGGGTGGGCCGACCCTTGACCCTGTGACCCTGTGGAGGTACAATGTGAAGGCCAGACTGAGGCTGGAGTTTTGCTTCCACAGGGTCACAGGGAATACAGATGTGTTTGAGCAGCAGTGGGCTCATGAGGAGCTGTTGTGCCGGGTGACCGGTGGAGAGTTAAAGTTCACATCCTTCCTCAACTGATCTATTGATTGTGTAACTGTTTGTTACAGTTAGTTAAATGTAAATAAAGTATTGTTCAAAAATCAAAAAAATCTCTCATTCTCTCTCTGTCTCTGTCTCTCTCTCTCTCTCTCTCTCTGTCTCTGTCTCTCTCTCTCTCTCTCTCTCTCTCTCTCTGTCTCTCTCTCTCTCATTCTCTCTCTCTGTCTCTCTGTCTCTCTCTCTCTCTCTGTCTCTCTCTCTCTCTCTCTCTCTGTCTCTCTCTCTGTCTCTGTCTCTGTCTCTCTCTGTCTCTCTCTGTCTCTCTCTGTCTCTCTCTCTCTGTCTCTCTGTGTCTCTCTCTGAGCACTGAGGTGAGTAGTGAGAGGGAGGAGGTGGGAGGGGAAACGGGTGAGGTGACAGGTAAGGTGGGGGTGACAGGTGGTATTTTAGATAAAGATGCAGGTGAATTGGTCGAGGATGTGGGTGAAACAGGTGTCGGTGGAGAGGCAGGTGAGGTTCCTGGTGAAGTGGGTGAGGCAGGTAAAGTAACAGGTGAACTAGAAGAGGTAGGTGAACCAGGTGAGGTGAAAGAGGCAGGTGAGGTTGTAGGTGAGTTGGGTGAGGCAGGTGAGGTTGTAGGTGAGTTGGGTGAGGTAGGTGAGGTTGTAGGTGAGTTGGGTGAGGCAGGTGAGGTTGTAGGTGAGTTGGGTGAGGCAGGTGAGGTTGTAGGTGAGTTGGGTGAGGTAGGTGAGGTTGTAGGTGAGTTGGGTGAGGCAGGTAAAAGAACAGGTGAGTTGTGTGAAGGATTTGAGGTCGTTGGTAAACAGTGTGAAGCAGGTAAGGCGAGAGAGGCAGGTGAGGCTGTAGGTGAGTCGTGTGAGACAGGTAAACTAGCAGGTGAGCTGAGTGAGGGGAGCACAGTAGCTGAGGCTGAAGAGATGGAGGCCTGTGAGTCTGGGTGGGGGTCTGCTCCTCTTAAACAGCGCAGTAAGAGGAGAAGCATGTTGACCGTGGAGGTGGGTGGTAAAGCCGGACGTCTGGCCGGTAAACCGAGTGCTGCAGAGAACAGAGCAGCTCTATCTGACAGCAGTGACAGTGAAGGGTGTGTGTCTGACAGCAGTGACCTGTCTCACACTCAGCAGGCTGCTGCTCAGGTGTATACTGCCAATGTACTGAAGTCTTTTTTACAACAGACCAAAGGGATGAGGAAGCCAGTGTTAGAGCAGTACTTCCCTGATATGCAGGGTTTCTATAACTCAGCCAGGTATACTGTGAAACACAGAGCAGAGTCAGAGCTGACTGACCAAGAAATATTCAGACTGAAAAAACTGATTATTAAAGTCAGAAAACAACTCAGTTTTTAATGATGGTGAATGTAGGGATTTTATTTTTATTTATTTCATTGATTGTTTTTAGTCTTGTTCTTAACATCTCCATCATTATGAATGTTTTTAAAGTGGGCAGTCTGAATGTCAATGGTGCCAGAGAAACAAGAAAGAGAGCAGTAGTGTTTGAAACGGCTAAAATGAAACATATTGATGTTCTGTTTCTACAAGAAACTCACAGTGATGTTGGAAACGAGGCAGACTGGAGCAGAGAATGGGAAGGAGAACTGATTTTAAGCCATAACACCACCCTCAGTGGAGGAGTGGGCTTCCTGTTCTCCAGAGGTTTTACTCCAACCTCTCTGGAGGTCAGGCATGTTGTGGAGGGGAGGTGTCTTTTAGTCAGAGCTCGTTTTGAACATTTTAATGTGGTTTTTATCAACATTTATGCTCCAAACAACGGTGCAGAGAGGAAACACTTCTTTGAAAATATGAATGATATTTTAAACAGCTGTGGCCCGGAGGATTATTTATTTGTGGGTGGGGATTTTAATTGTACTGAAAATGAGATTTTAGATCGCAACCATGCAGAGCCTCATCCAGTATCCCAGCATGCCTTGAGGCAGCTGGTCTCCTCCCATGGCCTGGTGGACGTGTGGAGAAGGATGCACACAGGCTGCAGACAGTACACATGGTCCCACGTTAGAGAAAACAGAATCTCTTTGGCCAGACTTGATCGTTTTTATGTTTTTAAGCACAGAGTCAGTGTTGTTAAAATGTGTAAGATTTTACCAGTTGGTTTTACTGATCATTCTTTGGTTTTATGTAATGTTTTTATCAGAAACATTTTACCCAAAAGCGCCTATTGGCATTTTAACTCTGTTTTAACTGTTGATAAATCTTTCAAGGAGGCTTTAAGTTATTTTTGGAATGATTTTAAACAGAAAAAAACCGAGTTTGTCAGTCTGAGGCAGTGGTGGGACCATGGAAAGGTTCAAATTAAACTTTTATGTCAGCAGCACACGCTCAATGTCACACGCGACATCACCAGATCTATCAGAGATCTGGAGACTGATATTGTGGATCTCGAGTGTACAAGTGAGTCCACAGGAAATCGAGGATATATTGAAATCCTCAAGACTAAAAAGATGGCTTTAGCCAACCTGCTGGACACTAAAGTACAGGGTGCGCTGGTCCGGTCCCGGGTTCAAAACATCACGGAGATGGATGCTCCATCGAGTTTCTTCTTTGGGCTTGAGAAGAAACAAGGGCAGAGGAGACAAATTCACTCTCTGCTCTCTGAGACAGGGCAAGAGCTGACAGAGCCAGGCCTGATAAGGCAAAGAGCTGTGGAGTTTTACGCCTCATTGTTTGAGAGTGAGTTCAAGGAGAACGAAGAACTGATGGAGGAGGTCTGTGGTGGACTTCCTCAGGTGTCTAGAGAGGCTAACCAGCAGCTCGACAGCCCACTGACTCCACAAGAGCTCTACGCGGCACTGCAGAGCATGCAGGGACGAAAGGCTCCAGGCATCGACGGCCTCACTGTAGAGTTCTACAAAGCCTTCTGGGACATCTTGGCCCATGACCTCATAGATGTTTTTAATGAGAGCCTGGTGTCTGGGTCAATGCCACTCTCATGTCGGAGAGCCGTAATTACCCTCTTGCCCAAGAAAGGCAATTTGCAAGAAATCAGAAACTGGCGTCCTGTCTCTCTCCTCTGCACTGACTACAAAATACTGTCCAAAGTCCTGGCCAATAGGCTGAAAGGAACCATGGAGCAGATTCTCCACCGGGACCAGACGTACTGTGTGCCCGGCAGGTCTATGGTAGATAATATCTACCTCATTCGGGATGTTTTGGAGGTCTCCAGTTCATTAGGCATAAACACTGGATTGATCTCATTAGATCAAGAAAAGGCTTTTGACCGCGTTGAACACGACTTCCTTTGGAAGGTCATGGAGAGGTTTGGGTTCAGCGCTGGTCTCATAGCCAAGATCAAGGTGTTGTACAGTGACATTGAGAGTGTGCTAAAGTTTAATGGTGGCTTGTGTGCTCCTTTTAGAGTGCATAGAGGCGTCCGACAGGGCTGTGCCCTGTCTGGGATGCTCTATGCACTCTCCCTGGAACCCTCCTACAAAAGATAAGATCATCTGTTCGAGGCCTGTTTTTACCTGGTTTTAACAGTAGTGTTGTTTTATCTGCTTATGCTGACGATGTCGTTGTTTTTATCAAAGATCAACAGGATGTGTGTGTTTTAAATTCTGTAATCGAGAAGTTTTCTGTTGTGTCGGCTGCGAGGGTGAACTGGAGGAAGAGCGAGGCTCTTGCTGTTGGTGAATGGCGGGAGGGCCTCCCTGTTCTCCCTCAAAGCCTGATATGGAGAAGAGAAGGCTTAAAGTATCTCGGTATTTATCTTGGGAACAGCGACATTGGAAAAAAAACTGGGAAAACATTTTAGAAACAGTAGATAACAAACTGGCTAAGTGGAGGTGGCTTCACCCACAAATATCTTTTAGAGGGAGGGTCCTAATTTTAAACAATCTGGTGGCCTCCATGTTATGGCACCGGTTAGCTTGTCTGGACCCTCCAACAGGTCTCATTGCCCAGATCCAGGTGAAGATTGTCAATTTCTTCTGGAACAAATTGCACTGGATACCACAGTCTGTATTGTTTTTATCCAGAGATGAGGGGGGCCAGGGCCTGGTCCACCTGGCTAGCAGGACAGCCACCTTCAGGCTCCAGTTCATTCAAAAGTATCTGACTGGACCTGAAGATCTGGTGTGGAGAGACGTGGCCAGCTGCATACTCAGGCGTGTCAATAACCTGGGGCTGGATGCTGCTCTGTTTTTAACTGATTTTAAATTCTTAAAGTTAGGTGGGTTGCCTCCTTTTTTATCAGGGTGTTTTTAAATCCTGGGGGCTTTTTAAATGTAAAAGAAGTGAGAAGTGTAACTCTCTGCACTGGTTATTAAAGGAGCCTATAATCTGTGGTGCAAAGATGGACGTGTGCTGCAGCACTGTGCCGGGGCTGATGGGGGTGCTGTGCAGCTCAAGAGTTGTCTGCCTCAAACAACTGATAGATGCAGCAGGACCAGAGCTCACAGATGTCCAATCTCTGGGCTCTGTGCTGGGGGTACGCTCTGTCCGGCTGACGCAGAGGAGCCTAGAGCTCTGGAGGAGGAGGCTGACGGAGAAGGAGAGAATCCTTCTCCTCAAATACGGCAGGGGAGAGGCTGAGCCGGACCCCACAGACCCTTATCCCGAGATCTACTTGTGCCCTGGTTTCACAGAGCTCAGCGGCCCCCTCCTGAGACACAATGATGGGAGTACATTGAGCCTACACAAGACTGACAAAAAAACTCTGTACACAAACTGTGTAAAAACTATCCACAAAACTCGCCTGTGTGACAGAGCGCAGTGTGTGTGGACTGAGAGGCTGGGTGGGCTGAGCCCCCAGTGGAGAACATTATACAAACCTCCTCTAAGAAAAAGAACTGGAGATCTCCAGTGGAGGATTTTACATGGTGCCATTGCCACCAATGCCTTTTTATCTGTTCTTAATCACAGTGTTGTAAAGGAGTGCCCATTCTGTGGACTGACTGAGAACATTTTCCATGTTTTTACTGAGTGCAGGAGATTGGCAGACATTTTTAACGTTTTAACTCGTGTTTTTAATCTATTTGGTGTCATTTTTACTGCCCCTGTTTTTATTTGTGGAGTTGGTTTTAAAAAAACAGAAAAAGTAAAGTGTCGACTCCTAAACTTTTTAATTGGTGAGGCTAAAATGTCGATATACCTGACTCGTAGGGACAGACTGCAGGGTGGGCCGACCCTTGACCCTGTGACCCTGTGGAGGTACAATGTGAAGGCCAGACTGAGGCTGGAGTTTTGCTTCCACAGGGTCACAGGGAATACAGATGTGTTTGAGCAGCAGTGGGCTCATGAGGAGCTGTTGTGCCGGGTGACCGGTGGAGAGTTAAAGTTCACATCCTTCCTCAACTGATCTATTGATTGTGTAACTGTTTGTTACAGTTAGTTAAATGTAAATAAAGTATTGTTCAAAAATCAAAAAAAATCTCTCATTCTCTCTCTGTCTCTGTCTCTCTCTCTCTCTCTCTCTCTGTCTCTGTCTCTCTCTCTCTCTCTCTCTCTCTCTCTCTCTCTCTCTCTCTCTCATTCTCTCTCTCTGTCTCTCTCTCTCTCTCTCTCTCTCTGTCTCTCTCTCTCTCTCTCTCTCTGTCTCTCTCTCTGTCTCTGTCTCTGTCTCTCTCTGTCTCTCTCTGTCTCTCTCTGTCTCTCTCTCTCTGTCTCTCTGTGTCTCTCTCTGAGCACTGAGGTGAGTAGTGAGAGGGAGGAGGTGGGAGGGGAAACGGGTGAGGTGACAGGTAAGGTGGGGGTGACAGGTGGTATTTTAGATAAAGATGCAGGTGAATTGGTCGAGGATGTGGGTGAAACAGGTGTCGGTGGAGAGGCAGGTGAGGTTCCTGGTGAAGTGGGTGAGGCAGGTAAAGTAACAGGTGAACTAGAAGAGGTAGGTGAACCAGGTGAGGTGAAAGAGGCAGGTGAGGTTGTAGGTGAGTTGGGTGAGGCAGGTGAGGTTGTAGGTGAGTTGGGTGAGGTAGGTGAGGTTGTAGGTGAGTTGGGTGAGGCAGGTAAAAGAACAGGTGAGTTGTGTGAAGGATTTGAGGTCGTTGGTAAACAGTGTGAAGCAGGTAAGGCGAGAGAGGCAGGTGAGGCTGTAGGTGAGTCGTGTGAGACAGGTAAACTAGCAGGTGAGCTGAGTGAGGGGAGCACAGTAGCTGAGGCTGAAGAGATGGAGGCCTGTGAGTCTGGGTGGGGGTCTGCTCCTCTTAAACAGCGCAGTAAGAGGAGAAGCATGTTGACCGTGGAGGTGGGTGGTAAAGCCGGACGTCTGGCCGGTAAACCGAGTGCTGCAGAGAACAGAGCAGCTCTATCTGACAGCAGTGACAGTGAAGGGTGTGTGTCTGACAGCAGTGACCTGTCTCACACTCAGCAGGCTGCTGCTCAGGTGTATACTGCCAATGTACTGAAGTCTTTTTTACAACAGACCAAAGGGATGAGGAAGCCAGTGTTAGAGCAGTACTTCCCTGATATGCAGGGTTTCTATAACTCAGCCAGGTATACTGTGAAACACAGAGCAGAGTCAGAGCTGACTGACCAAGAAATATTCAGACTGAAAAAACTGATTATTAAAGTCAGAAAACAACTCAGTTTTTAATGATGGTGAATGTAGGGATTTTATTTTTATTTATTTCATTGATTGTTTTTAGTCTTGTTCTTAACATCTCCATCATTATGAATGTTTTTAAAGTGGGCAGTCTGAATGTCAATGGTGCCAGAGAAACAAGAAAGAGAGCAGTAGTGTTTGAAACGGCTAAAATGAAACATATTGATGTTCTGTTTCTACAAGAAACTCACAGTGATGTTGGAAACGAGGCAGACTGGAGCAGAGAATGGGAAGGAGAACTGATTTTAAGCCATAACACCACCCTCAGTGGAGGAGTGGGCTTCCTGTTCTCCAGAGGTTTTACTCCAACCTCTCTGGAGGTCAGGCATGTTGTGGAGGGGAGGTGTCTTTTAGTCAGAGCTCGTTTTGAACATTTTAATGTGGTTTTTATCAACATTTATGCTCCAAACAACGGTGCAGAGAGGAAACACTTCTTTGAAAATATGAATGATATTTTAAACAGCTGTGGCCCGGAGGATTATTTATTTGTGGGTGGGGATTTTAATTGTACTGAAAATGAGATTTTAGATCGCAACCATGCAGAGCCTCATCCAGTATCCCAGCATGCCTTGAGGCAGCTGGTCTCCTCCCATGGCCTGGTGGACGTGTGGAGAAGGATGCACACAGGCTGCAGACAGTACACATGGTCCCACGTTAGAGAAAACAGAATCTCTTTGGCCAGACTTGATCGTTTTTATGTTTTTAAGCACAGAGTCAGTGTTGTTAAAATGTGTAAGATTTTACCAGTTGGTTTTACTGATCATTCTTTGGTTTTATGTAATGTTTTTATCAGAAACATTTTACCCAAAAGTGCCTATTGGCATTTTAACTCTGTTTTAACTGTTGATAAATCGTTCAAGGAGGCTTTAAGTTATTTTTGGAATGATTTTAGACAGAAAAAAACCGAGTTTGTCAGTCTGAGGCAGTGGTGGGACCATGGAAAGGTTCAAATTAAACTTTTATGTCAGCAGCACACGCTCAATGTCACACGCGACATCACCAGATCTATCAGAGATCTGGAGACTGATATTGTGGATCTCGAGTGTACAAGTGAGTAAACAGGAAATCGAGGATATATTGAAATCCTCTAGACTAAAAAGATGGCATTAGCCAACCTGCTGGACACTAAAGTACAGGGTGCGCTGGTCCGGTCCCGGGTTCAAAATATCACAGAGATGGATGCTCCATCGAGTTTCTTCTTTGGGCTTGAGAAGAAACAAGGGCAGAGGAGACAAATCCACTCTCTGCTCTCTGAGACAGGGCAAGAGCTGACAGAGCCAGGCCTGATAAGGAAAAGAGCTGTGGAGTTTTACGCCTCGTTGTTTGAAAGTGAGTTTAAGGAAAACGAAGAACTGATGGAGGAGGTCTGTGGTGGACTTCCTCAGATATCTAGAGAGGCTAACCAGCAGCTCGACAGCCCACTGACTCCACAAGAGCTCTACGCGGCACTGCAGAGCATGCAGGGACGAAAGGCTCCAGGCATCGACGGCCTCACTGTAGAGTTCTACAAAGCCTTCTGGGACATCTTGGCCCATGACATCATAGATGTTTTTAATGAGAGCCTGGTGTCTGGGTCACTGCCACTGTCATGTCGGAGAGCCATAATTACCCTCTTGCCCAAGAAAGGTAATTTGCAAGAAATCAGAAACTGGCGTCCTGTCTCTCTCCTCTGCACTGACTACAAAATACTGTCCAAAGTCCTGGCCAATAGGCTGAAAGGAACCATGGAGCAGATTCTCCACCGGGACCAGACGTACTGTGTGCCCGGCAGGTCTATGGTAGATAATATCTACCTCATTCGGGATGTTTTGGAGGTCTCCAGTTCATTAGGCATAAACACTGGATTGATCTCATTAGATCAAGAAAAGGCTTTTGACCGCGTTGAACACGACTTCCTTTGGAAGGTCATGGAGAGGTTTGGGTTCAGCGCTGGTCTCATAGCCAAGATCAAGGTGTTGTACAGTGACATTGAGAGTGTGCTAAAGTTTAATGGTGGCTTGTGTGCTCCTTTTAGAGTGCATAGAGGCGTCCGACAGGGCTGTGCCCTGTCTGGGATGCTCTATGCACTCTCCCTGGAACCCCTCCTACAAAAGATAAGATCATCTGTTAGAGGCCTGTTTTTACCTGGTTTTAACAGTAGTGTTGTTTTATCTGCTTATGCTGATGATGTCGTTGTTTTTATCAAAGATCAACAGGATGTGTGTGTTTTAAATTCTGTAATCCAGAAGTTTTCTGTTGTGTCGGCTGCAAGGGTGAACTGGAGGAAGAGCGAGGCTCTTGCTGTTGGTGAATGGCGGGAGGGCCTCCCTGTTCTCCCTCAAAGCCTGATATGGAGAAGAGAAGGCTTAAAGTATCTCGGTATTTATCTCGGAAACAGCGACATTGGAAAGAAAAACTGGGAAAACATTTTAGAAAAAGTGGATAACAAACTGGCTAAGTGGAGGTGGCTCCACCCACAAATATCTTTTAGAGGGAGGGTCCTAATCCTAAACAACCTGGTGGCCTCCATGTTATGGCACCGGTTAGCCTGTCTGGACCCTCCAACAGGTCTCATTGCCCAGATTCAAGTAAATATTGTCAATTTCTTCTGGAACAAATTGCACTGGATACCACAGTCTGTATTGTTTTTGTCCAGAGATGAGGGGGGCCAGGGCCTGGTCCACCTGGCTAGCAGGACAGCCACCTTCAGGCTCCAGTTCATTCAAAAGTATCTGACTGGACCTGAAGATCTGGTGTGGAGAGACGTGGCCAGCTGCATACTCAGGCGTGTCAATAACCTGGGGCTGGATGCTGCTCTGTTTTTAACTGATTTTAAATTCTTAAAGTTAGGTGGGTTGCCTCCTTTTTATCAGGGTGTTTTTAAATCCTGGGGGCTTTTTAAATGTAAAAGAAGTGAGAAGTGTAACTCTCTGCACTGGTTATTAAAGGAGCCTATAATCTGTGGTGCAAAGATGGATGTGTGCTGCAGCACCGTGCCTGGGCTGATGGGGGTGCTGTGCAGCTCAAGAGTTGTCTGCCTCAAACAACTGATAGATGCAGCAGGACCAGAGCTCACAGATGTCCAATCTCTGGGCTCTGTGCTGGGGGTGCGCTCTGTCCGGCTGATGCAGAGGAGCCTAGAGCTCTGGAGGAGGAGGCTGACGGAGAAGGAGAGAATCCTTCTCCTCAAATACGGCAGGGGAGAGGCTGAGCCGGACCCCACAGACCCGTATCCCGAGATCTACTTGTGCCCTGGTTTCACAGAGCTCAGCGGCCCCCTCCTGAGACACAATGATGGGAGGACATTGAGCCTACACAAGGCTGACAAAAAAACTCTGTACACAAACTGTGTAAAAACTATCCACAAAACTCGCCTGTGTGACAGAGCGCAGTGTGTGTGGACTGAGAGGCTGGGTGGGCTGAGCCCCCAGTGGAGAACATTATACAAACCTCCTCTAAAAAAAAGAACTGGAGATCTCCAGTGGAGGATTTTACATGGTGCCATTGCCACCAATGCCTTTTTATCTGTTCTTAATCACAGTGTTGTAAAGGAGTGCCCATTCTGTGGACTGACTGAGAACATTTTCCATGTTTTTACTGAGTGCAGGAGATTGGCAGACATTTTTAACGTTTTAACTCGTGTTTTTAATCTATTTGGTGTCATTTTTACTGCCCCTGTTTTTATTTGTGGAGTTGGTTTTAAAAAAACAGAAAAAGTAAAGTGTCGACTCCTAAACTTTTTAATTGGTGAGGCTAAAATGTCGATATACCTGACTCGTAGGGACAGACTGCAGGGTGGGCCGACCCTTGACCCTGTGACCCTGTGGAGGTACAATGTGAAGGCCAGACTGAGGCTGGAGTTTTGCTTCCACAGGGTCACAGGGAATACAGATGTGTTTGAGCAGCAGTGGGCTCATGAGGAGCTGTTGTGCCGGGTGACCGGTGGAGAGTTAAAGTTCACATCCTTCCTCAACTGATTCATTGATTGTGGAACTGTTTGTTACAGTTAGTTAAATGTAAATAAAGTATTGTTCAAAAATCAAAAAAAATATCTCTCACTCTCTCTCTCTCTGTCTCTATCTCTGTCTCTCTCTCTCTCTCTCTCTGTGTGTCTCTGTCTCTCTCTCTCTCACACTGATGAACTGCTGATATCATTGCTGTCCTTTCTGCAACAACACACAGAGGCCAAAATCTTTTCTATGATCCCCTTCCTCATGAAAATATACAGAACCAAGTCTGCAAGAGGACTCAACCTAACAAACATCAAACTCAGGAAGAGGTGGGTATCGTTATATATCTCTACCAGCATCCCAATAATGAGTGGCAGGAACAGCAGTGTGTAAATAAGCAGCACCAGAACCAAAATTCCCACAACAAAAAACGTTTTTCATCAGAGGGGACGGAGATGGAAGCAGACAGAGCTTTCAGGACCCCAACAAGGAAGAATATGAACAGTGGGAAGGGAAGGAGGAGGAAGGGGAGGAGGATCCAGAAGGAGATGTAATTTAAATATTCTGCTAATAAGTAAAGGACAGAAGAAACAACCCAGACCAGGACACAGATCAGCACAGAGCTCTTTATGGATCGTCTGCAGCGGTACCACAGTGGACAGACAACGACCAAAAACCTGTAATAGAAGATGGAGACATGGTCTTTGAGGGTCTTCACAATCATACAGTGGTATAATGGTCAGACACTGAAGTACATATAATGAGACAGATAGTTACCTTTCCAGGGCGATACACACCATGAAGCAGACACTGACCATCAGACTGTAGAAGTACATGTCATAGAAGATGGACCGTACGATCCACAGCTGATAATAATATGTTAACGCCTCAGCAACAGTGGAGCAGCAGAACTGAATGAGGTCAGAAAGGAGAAGGTTGATGACGTAGATCGGAGCAACATGATCGTTCTTCACCTGCAGGAAAATATTGATAAAGGTAAACAGTGTGTGTGAGTGTGTGAGTGTGTGAGTGTGTGTGTGTGTGTGTGTGTGTGTGTGTGTGTGTGTGTGTGTGTGTGTGTGTGTGTGTGTGTGTGTGTGAGTGTTTGTGTGTGTGTGTGTGTGTGACATACTTCACTACCATACAATAGGCTGACACTGTCACATATTAAAATCAGATTTAATTTAAATGATATAATATATAATAATAATTAGTGATGTCCGATAATATCGTCCGATATTCATTAAAAAATGTAATATTGGGAATTATCGGTATCGGGTTTTTATAACCGATGTTTGTTCTGGAGGCTTCAGCATTTCCCAGCCTGCATGAACGCAGCATGGAACGTTTACCAGCGCGCTAGATGACGTATAACAACAACAACAACAACAACTAGACTGGTTGGTTGCTAACGGTGGCTAACAAACAAACAATTTAAAGCTGAATGATTTTAATATTAACACAAAATAAGTTCAATACACCTTAAATATTTGACCCTGCTCTGAGCTGTTCTTTAATTTACATTAGCACTCCTTCAGGTGAATAATACAATTAAACACATTAACCAAAGCTAGTGATTAGCGTTAGCGCTCCTTTCAGTATTAATACAATGAAAGTTAAAGTTGTTCTCTTATTTTGCACAGACAGTGTTTACATTTGGAAATGTTGCATTTATGTATTCATCCAGTGGGGCATCGCCATAAAATGAGTCACAATGTGTTAATTCCACAACAGGAGATTTGTTATGTTGTTATGTTGTTATGTTGTTACAGTTTTGGTGTAAAAAGCCTGCAGATATCGGTATCAGGTGATATCGGTATCAGGTGATATCGGTATCAGGTGATATCGGTATCAGGTGATATCGGTATCGGGTGATATCGGTATCGGGTGATATCGGTATCGGGTGATATCGTTCGGTATTCGGGTGATATCGGTATCGGGTGATATCGGTATCGGACATTGAGAGTTGGACAATATCGGAATATCGGATATCGGCAGAAAAGCCAATATCGAGCATCCCTAATATATATATATTATATATTATAATGTAACTTTTAATTCTGTGATCAATTATTCCTGTAAATTCATTCATTCATTACAACACTTCGTCCCAGCCCCCTGACACCTAGCCCCCCAAGATCAACAGACAGACAGACTGACTGACTGACTGACTGACTGACTGACTGACAGTAATAAATAAATGTCAGTCATAATGTACATACCTCAGAATACAGAGCACAGATGGCAACCAGGGTCAAAGGAAGGCCGATACCAGAGATTATGTATGTTGCCACATCTAGGAAGAACAATGGATCAACGTAATAGTCATCGTTATCATAGTTGGAGGTGGTGTTGCTGTAATTGTAGCTGTTGGAGATGTTGCTGTAATAGTAGCTGTTGGAGGTGTTGTCGCTGTAATTGTAGCTGTTGTCCTGTGATGTGTTGTTAATGTAGAAATCTTCCATTGTTCAGAGTGAAACCTGTTTGAGAGATCAGGTTAAAGAAACAGAGACAGTTTTAATACCTGACCCTGTTCAGTGATATCAGTAAAGCTGTGAGGTGCAAGTTCACACAAAGACAGTTTACCTGTAGTATACGCACAATTAAATGTAATGTTTAATGTTCTTGTCCATTGGTTGAAGACATTTTATCTGTCTTCTGTACTCGATGCCCGACCACTGGTTGAACAACCCTCTGCTCTGATTTTAGCTTAGACTTTTATTCTGATGAAATTTTGGAATAAACCAACATTTTATAATAAAAATGTTTCAGGGACCTTTGCTGCATGTCATCTACATCTCTGTGTCCTCATGTCCTGTCTGTACTGTCTCCTGTCAACTACAATATCATTAACTGACTATAATATGTCTGTGGTTACATAACTCTGTTCTGCTGGGAGACGTTTCATCAATAACGTCACTATAATACCTCTCAGTGGATTAATGTTGGGTCAGAACTAGGGATGCCACAACAACAGATACTTCGTATCAAGTCGATGCCACTGTTTGAAAACTTGATGGTACTGGATGGTGCAGCATATACACCTACAAATATTCTACTCTGTGTTAAACAGGAAGAAGATGAACATGTAGAAGACAGTGACGAGTGCAGCTTTTACAGGAGCTCAGCCCCGCCCACAGTGAAACACTGCAGGTGGGGCTGAACTCCTGGTCAGAGGATGAGACAGAGAGCGATGGAGAGCCGCACACTCACCACACAACTGCAAGTGCAACAAAAGCCCCACAAACAAAAAGCAAGTAAGAGTAATTTATTCATGTGATCTGAGGAAAAGATGTTCAGACGAGGAAAATAAACACTCAGCAGAAAACAGTTCATTCAGGTAACTCAGGTAAAGGCTGCACTGAAGCAACAAACTCTGTAGGACACTTTTAAAGGGAGAGAGAAATTCTCTCCAGACAGCGACACAACCAACAAACACTACAGAGGGTTCCTTACCATATTTTATTGCTTACTTTGGTATTTAGTCTAAATAAATATATAATATACTTATATTAATAGATTACCTTTAAAAAATGTATAACAGCTTGGTTGCAGGCAATTTATTAACCTTTATTATTAATGAAAATATAAATGTTGATCAGGACTCAGCCGATATTAAATGGTGACCAGAGGGCAAAACATCTTAATTGGGACATTTTTACTGTGGTAACAACAGAATAATAATAATAATAATAATAATAATATGTAAACATGTTCTTGCTATATGGATTCTGTTCCTAAATATCTAAATATTACTGCTAATTTCTCATTTATTGTTTTAATACTTCATTGTGCTCTATCATTCTTTCTTTACCTCTTTTAATTATATTTGAAATATTATATATGTTTGCATGTTGTTATCTTCTTAACAATGTCCTGAAACTGTCATTGTTAAAATTGAAGGGAACAAAGTGAAAAACTACAAATAAAATAGAAAGTTGTCTGCTGGTCCCTGTTTGCAGTTATTTGATCCTTTTTAATCATTTCATTATTGCTACATATAAGAAAAAGTAATGAGACTAAACTTACCTTTGAAAGTCTTGAGACCCAACCTGAATGAGTTCCCTTTACTGTCTGATGTGTATTTATGATAACATGCAGCAGGCTGTTAATAATCTACACCTGCTCTCATAAGGAAGAGATAGACAGACACAAATATAGAAATGATATCAGAGCAACAGATCTAATCAACAGGAAATAAACACTCAGAGCTTATAAACTAAACATTTACAACATTTACATTGTGACAATGCATCAGAACAATTTACATCATATTATAAAATTAACTGGACAAAGACCAGAATATACACACAGACAAGCTTCTGATAATACACTAATCAGAATATATTATATTATAATTATAAGCAACAGGATACTTATTGGTGTAAGAGTAAAGAAGTGTAGACTGAGTGATGTACATACATAACTACCAACTAATGAAACCATCTAATAATCAACCTGCAGTCACTGCGCTCTCCCTCGCTGTCATTGGAGCAGATAGTGATAATAGTTCATATATTATTGTTAATCTCACAAAATACACTGCCTATATATCTGTGAGTGCAGGATCTGCCGTTTTGGGGCTAACTAATTGGTCATGATTTTTAAGCCATGAAAATAACTTAGAGAACACATATTTAATAAGAACATAACCACCGTTCTACCTAAAACACATTTGGCTGGATGGTTAAAAACCTTTGAAGCCATTTTCCTCAGTTTCATTGTTAGTGTAGTTACTGCGGTTTGGCTTTGTAGGGCAGAATAAAGTTATTTATTTTTAACATATAACAAAGCTAGACATGCAGGTTTTGGAGGAATGGCAGTGTTAGACATAAAGTAAGTACATTTACTAAAGTGCAATACTTAAGTACAGTTTTGAGGTATTTTTATGTTACTTGATTTCAGATACTCGACTACCTTTCATTGGGGAATATACGGTTGCACTAAGAGCTCATCGCACTGCGACTGAAGTGTCATTGTCATTCTGGGAACAATCAACTATCTTTCTCCACAATAACTGACTCCACCTTTAAGAAAGTGAAAAAAGAACTTCTGCAGTTAAAGAGTGATGGACCAGCCAGACGCTGCTGGGACACTTTCCTTTGGACAGAGCCAGGCTAGCTGTTTCCCCACAATGCTGACTACAGACAACTTATTTAAACAAACATGTTTAGAACTGAGGAACCATGATTCATGTTCTCATTTCAGTGAAACATCATTAACTGGATCATTAACTGACTGTAACCTGTCTTGGGTTACATAACTCTATCCTGCTGGGAGACTTTCCATCAGTAATCACATTGTCACACACAACTCTTTAGCATATCTCAGCTGTCATCATAACGTCTCTAAACAGCACTACGACCTTCTTATGCACCCATTTCATACTGATTCTCTTTTACATTCTTTTACAAAACCCATCTGTTTTTTGCATGTTATTTATACGCTGCTATACACAGTCAGATTTGTTTGAATTTGAATTTAAGGGAAAAAAAGGAGGAACTAAACTGGTAAAACTGGTAACTGGTTGAACTGCAGTATACTGTACACCTACCACTACATTTACAGTTCTTGTATATTATATTTCTCCTCTGCATCCACACAGTCTAATGTGAGTAATCTCAGATTGTTGTCATTGCTATTCGTGCTATAAACCGTGCTGCACTCTCAACAATGTCAAATTAGTCTTCTTCTTTTTCAAGGGTACTCTGAATACAACCTGCAAGTAAATTTAAATGGACAGTTCAGCCACAAATCAAAAATACATATTTTCCGGCTCACCTGTAGATTTATTTATCCACCTTCATTGTTTTGGTGTAAGTTGCTGAGTTGTGTAGAGATGTCTGCCTTCTCTCCAGTAAATAGAACCAGACGGGGCTCTGCTTGTGGAGCTCAAAGCTCCAAATCAATACAATTGAAGAACTCAACATGTGTCTCTTTCCAGAAATCATGACCCCGTTACTACTTAGACTTAGACTTCTCTTTATTGATCCCTTTGGGATGACTCCCGCAAGGAAATTGAATTTCCAGCAGCTTACAAAACAGTGTGGAAAAATAAAGAGGTATAAAAAAATACAGCACAAGATAAAACAATATAAACAATAAACTATTTGCTAGATATAGAAAGTAAACAATAAACAGTAAACAATAAACTCTTAGCTATATATAGAAAGTAAACAATAAACAGTAAACAATAAACTCTTAGCTATATATAGAAAGTAGAGATAAGAATAAAAATAAAATAAGATAAAATTCACGGAAAATGAAATCAAATAAGATAAATGTAGAGAACTGTAAAGAGGATAAATATAGATAAATAAAAATAAATATATAGGACAGTATTTGGCATTGTGTTGTTAAACAGTGGATAAATGACATTAGCAGAAATTAGCAGTTAAATTAAATTAAATTATTGCACTTAAGTGGTGGATCAAGTTATTGCACAAAGAGAATAAGTAAGAAGAGTGTCCAGGTATGTATGAGTAGATTATTATTGCACAGTTATTGCACAGTGAGTGGCTACCACTCCTTCCCTTCTGTCCTCTTTACCCTATTTCCTCCTCCCCCCGAGTGAGGAGTTGTAGAGTGTGATGGCACGACAGACAAACGAGTTCTTGAGTGTGTTGATCCTACAGTTGGGAAGGAGCAGCCTTTCACTGAACAGGCTCCTCTGGTTGCTGAGGACGGTGTGCAGGGGGTGGCTGGCATTGTCAATAATGTCCAGCAGTTTGTCCAGTGTCCTCCTCTCTGCCACCGTCACCAGTGAGTCCAGCTTCATGCCGACCAGTCTGGAGGTGTCCTTCTTGGATATGCCCCCCCCCAGCACACCACAGTGTAGAAGAGGACGCTGGTAACCACAGACTGGTAAAACAGATGTTGAAAGACCGCGATCTCCTCAGGAAGTACAACCTGCTTTGTGTCTTCCTGTACAGGTGTTTGGTGTGTGTTGTCCAGTCCAGTTTATTATCCAGCCACAGCCCGAGGTATTAGTATGATTGCACAGCCTCCACCTCAGCTCCCTCTAGCAGGACTGGTCGCGGTCTTGGTCTGGACCTCCCAAAGTCAATGACCAGCTCCTTTGTCTTAGAGGTGTTGAGCTGTAGGTGGTTAGTGTGACCCCAGAGAGCAAAGTCCTCCACCAGACTCCGATACTCCTCCTCTGTCAACCCTGATACACCCAACAATGGCTGTGTCATCAGCGTACTTCTGTATGTGACACAGCTCCGAGTTGTAACAGAAGTCCGAGGTGTACAGGGTGAAGAGAAGAGGGGCCAGCACTGTGCCCTGGGGGGCTCTAGTGCTGCTGACCACAGTGTCAGACGTGGTGTCCTTCAGCCTGACGTACTGTGGCCTGTCAGTGAGGTAATCGTAGATCCAGTCCACCAGATAGGGGTCCACTCTATATCTGACACAACAAACTATCAAACAAGTAACTCAAGCTTTGGTTTTGAGTAAGCTGGATTATTGCTCAATAGTTTGGTCCAATACTTCACTGGGTAATATCAGAAAACTGCAGTTGGTTAAAAATAAAGCAGCAAGTGTAGAGACTTCTTGTGGGATGAGAACAAACATTTTCTAGAATGCATGAATGAAGTGAAAATTTGATTTCTGTATTCACTGAGGCTTTTTATTAAGAACGTCATAACAACAAAGACTCCATTTATGTTTATGTCCTTTAGCACAGATACACACAGTTATTTTACAAGGCACGCTGCTGCGTACAGTAATATACAGAGCAATAGTAGAGTGGAACTCAGTTCCTAATCATATTATTCAACAAAATAATATATAGGGTTTTAAAGAAATACTAAAAGAGCACTATTTAAAAGGAAACTAAGTAACTACTAAATACTCTTTGGTGTGAGAGGGTCTCAGGGGCAATTGGGTGAAATGTTGATACTTATCTGTTAGATCATGTGGATGTTTTGTTAATTTATGATAAATTCAATCAGAGCCTGTTTTTAGTTTTGTTTTAGTTTTTGGTGTTTGTCTTAAGAGTGCGTGAATTGTTATTGTCTTATCTACAGTATATGTGTGTTATGATGTGTTGTGTCAGTGTATTGTAATGAATAATGTGAGTGTGTATATTTGGATAGTATTGTCACCATATAAACTGTTTGGACCCCAGGAAGAATAGCAACTGTTATACAGAAGCTAATGGGGATCTTAATAAACAAACAAACAAACAAACAAACAAACAGTATATACTAGCAGTAATAACTTTTTTGCTTTTTTTTTTAGCTAATATTTGTATTATTACTGTTTGGTATGGAAGCCTATTTCCACCAGAAAAAATAAACAGTAGAAAAGGGAAACTTTGGCTTGATAATAAAAATGTTCATGTTAAGTGAAAATGATGAGATAAAAAACTAAAATGTGTAAAAGATAAAAGTCCCCTGTTGGAGTCAGTCTTCAGCTCCGTTCTTTCAGCCTCATTAGGTTCGACAGTTCAGTGTCCGTCTGTCTCTCTGACTGTCGCCTCCTGGTGTCCTGCAGAGACATTACAGCACAGTCACAGAGTCAGTCTTACAGCCGAATATAGAGTCTTTAAATAAACTGTGTGAGAAGAAGCTGTGAACGTCACCCTGCAGGAGAAATAAAGGGCAGTGATGTACAACGTCAGACTCAGCAGCAGGAGGACCAGAGCAAAAAGGAAAACTGGTGGAAACGCTGAAACAATCACAGAAGATCAATTAAAGCTCCTGAATATGTTGGACAATTAGCATAATTAGCATTAATAATCAGCTATACGGACACTGCAACCTCCTTACCTCTTTGACCTGGGGGTGCTTTCTTCAGCAGCAGGTCTGAGACGGTGAGAGAGAGCAGACGGCTTTCAGAGGAGAACTTATGGGATGAAATGTAGACGTGATAAACACAGCTGTAGCTCCCTTGGTGGGCGGGCTCTGCAGCAGGAAACAGGAAGTGGGCGGAGTGATTGACAGCCGGCTGGGTGTAGTTGTATGCAGAGGTGGAGGAGGTGAAGGTGAGCTGGAAGGAGCCTCCCAGGTGCTGTGGCTCAGTGGAGCAACTGAGTGTGAAGTTTGAGCCTGTGCGCACCTGAAACCCCTGCTGCCGAGCCTCGGAGTCCCTGTCCGCGAAGAATGTGATGTTGGGCCGAACCAGCAGGTCTGTGAACGCAGAGAGATGATTGGCTGAACCAGCAGAGGTACGTTCATCCTGAAAACAGTGTGCACCGTTTATGCTATGGTTTCTGGTGTTTTCTGGGTAGACTGTGCGACAGGTTTTCAGGTATATTTCTGTCTGGTGGGCATCAGAGTCATTACCCAGCAATGTATATAAACCCAACCATCTTATTTTAATCTGATATTAAAAGTTATAGAACTAGAGAGCGTCTTCTTTTAGTCACGTATTCTCTGCAGAGCAGAGCAGACAGACGCTCCTGGTGGACTTGTGCATTGTCTAAAGGGTGCACAATCAGATCTGGCTGCCACGGCGCCCGATGGATTGTGGTAGTTAGCACATAACATTTGTGCTTGAAGAGATTGATGCATGATATCACTGATGGACTTACCTGAGCAGGTGATCTCCAAGATGTATAAAGAGGAATCTGGTTTTAAACAGTCCCTCACAGCAGATGCAGAGTGAACACAGTCAGTTCGGATCCCCCACACAGGTCTGTCTGAGGACTCCTGTCTCCACTGTATTGAAACAGTAGAGCCACAGTCCAGTTCTCTACAAACAACAGCTGCTTCATTCAGGGTCCACTGATAGTTCCAGTCCTTCACTGGCCTCCACTCTGTCCGCTGTTTCATCTCCAGTGTCCCAGTACAGGGACGGGATCCTCCCACCAACCTGACAGGCTCTGAAACAAGAGAGTCATCAGTAAAAGAACAAAGTGAGTGAACAGAAATCAAAGCTCCTCTTCTACCTGAGCAGGTGAGTCCGACAGCTTTTCCATGTAAGCAGGTGTTTCTGGCTGAGCCTGAGCTTCTACAGTCCAGGAGAGCAGACTCATGGCCTCCACACTGGAACTTTTTGGTCCACATTGGAGCCTCCACTTCTTCATAGAGCGCCCCCTGGAGGACTGAAGGAGCCCCACAGCCGAGCTCCCTACAGACCACCTCCGCATCCTGTTGGTCAAAGTCAGCTTCACACACTGAGGACCACCACTGGTTAGACTGGTTAAACTTCACCTCCAGTCTGCCTGAGCACAGACTAGTCCCATCCACCAGCCTGACAGAGTCTGGAGAGAGAGAGATTCATGTCAATAATGCTAATTTAAATCTAAATCAGGGACAAGATCACTTCTTTAGGACATCATTGTCCTGACTACCATTACAGTTCAGTCCAATGGGAACCACTGACTGTGGTGGATGAAGTATTCAGATCCTTTACCAATGTAGTAATGTTAATTTAGTCCATGAGAAATCTTACTTAAGTAAAAGGAGACATTGAACCCCCCCTGCCTCCCCCCAGAGGAGAGAGGAGAGTTGTGTACCTGGAGGGCGACTATGGCCGCAAGGTGGCTCAGTGGTTAACACTGTAGCACTTGGGTTCGATACCTGGCTGGGGCAGGGCTTTTTCTGAGTTTGCATTTTGTTCCTGTGTTTGCATTGGTTTACTTCAGGTGCTCTTTCCCCACCCTCAAAGACTTGTATGTTAGGTTAATTTCTTGACCAAGGCACTGGCTCAGATCTAAAGTTGGTCCCTGGGCGGCGAGCGGTAGCTGCTTAGCTAGACCTTAGGATGGGTCAAATGCAGATAATGAATTTCCCTACAGGAATCAATAAGGGATACCTTCAGTACTACGCATGGGTGAAGGTTCTGAGTGAGTGGCACGGGCCGGGCCCTGCTGTGACCGGCTAAATTGTACTTATGTAAAGTACTTGAGTAAATGTTACTTTCCACTACTGACTGTGACAGAGGATGAACACACTATTAGAGAAGGTATCACTGATGGACTTACCTGAGCAGGTGAGGTCCAAGCTGAAGGGAGAGGAATCTGGTTTTACACAGTCCCTCAGAGCAGATGCAGAATGAACACAATCATATCTGATCTTCCACACAGGTCTGTCTGAGGACTCCTCTCCCAGTTCTATTGAAACAGCAGAGCCACAGTCCAGTTCTCTACAGGCAACATCTGTGTCCTTCAGGGTCCAGTCAGAGTTAAACACAGGTCTCCAGTCTCCCTGTTTCACCTCCAGTCTCCCAGTACAGCGACTGGATCCACCCACCAACCTGACAGTCTCTGAAACAAGAGAGTCATCAATGGAACAACAAAAATACTACTTTCTGATGTAATTCTCCATTAACATATCTGTCTACATACCGCTGTGATTGTGGTTTTCTTCTGCATGGAGACCTGAGTCAGGAAGTAAAAATAAAAATCAACATAATGCAATCTGCTTGGAAGATAGAGCGAGGTATCATCAGCATAATAATGATAAGAAAACAATCTGAGCAGATAATCAGACAAAGGGAGGTGACAGCACAGACCCTTGGAGTAACCCAGTGGACAGGACTCTTCTTCTTGACATTTTAAATGATTGCTCTGTGATGTAGTGCTGTACCCAAGATGCCTATTTCGGACAGTGTTTCAAAAGCTGAAGACAAACCACGCAGCCATGACACAGCCAGCCGGCCAACCACAGCTTAGCTTAGCTACAGTTAGCTAGTTGGATGCCCCTGCCTAGCATTGCTTTTGGCTAGTAGAAAGCAATTGTTAACTTGGTATGTTACATCATTTTTTATTGGCTAAAATCCTTGATAGTATCACGGCTAGGAAAGCTAACCTATCCAGTAAGGCAGCATTTTGCTAGTGACATTATCACCAATAGGCTTACCTGAGCAGGTGATCTCCAGGATGTATGTAGAGGAATCTGGTTTTAAACAGTCCCTCACAGCAGATGCAGAGTGAACACAGTCAGATCTGATCCGCCACACAGGTCTGTCTGAGGACTCCTTTCTCAATTCTATTGAAACATTGGAGCCACATTTTAGCTTTCTACAGACAACAGCTGCTTCCTTCAGGGTCCATTGATAGTCATTCACTGGTCTCCACTCCCCCTGTTTCACCTTCAGTGTCCCAGTACAACGACTGGATCCTCCCACCAACCTGACAGGTTCTGAACAGAAACAATAGAGTCATCAGTAAAAGAACAAAGTGAGTTAGAACAGAAATGAACCAAATCAAAGCTCCTCTTCTACCTGAGCAGGTGAGTCCAACAGATTTTCCAGATGGGCAGGTGTTTCTAGCTGAGCTTCTACAGTCCAGGAGAGCAGACTCATTGCCTCCACATTCCCCCTCAGCCTCCACTTCTCCATAGAGCGCCCCCTGCAGGACTGAAGGAGCCCCACAGCCAAGCTCCCTACAGACCACCTCTGCATCCTGTTGGTCAAAGTCAGCTTCACACACTGAGGACCACCACTGGTTAGACTGGTCAGACTTCACCTCCAGTCTCCCTGAGCACAGACTAGTCCCATTCACCAGCCTGACAGAGTCTGGAGAGAGAGACATTTGTGTCAATAATGCTAATTTAAATCTGAAATTGAGAGAAACACATACAAGAAAGCTTCTTTACACTTTAGGATGACATTGTCCTGGTTACAGTTCAGCCCAATGAAAATCATCATCCATCCATTTTCTTCCACTTATCCGGCATTGAGTTGAGTCATTCCCAGTAAAGTTGTTCCAATAGAAGTCTCGGAAAGTCCTCTGATACTGTCTAAAATACGGTATTGAGTATTGGTGAGTATGCATGTCCGTGCACCAATCCGATACCATGTAATTTATTAAACCCTGCTACTTCACAGCCGTGTCCTGTTTGCCATTTCTATTCACAGGTAAGCAAAGTCATCACCCTCCCTACTATGACCCAAAGGGTTTAACCAGCGCCAGGCAATAAAACAATGATACCAATCGTACAGGCTTAGCAGTATACACTTATTGTTAAAATAACCATTATACATACTGGGTCAGTAATCAGTATTGGCTGATATGCAATCTTCAGGTATTAGAATCAGTACCAGAAAAAAAAATCTATCCAAAGCTCATGACCATAAATGAGGGTTGGAGCGGAGATCAACTGCTAGATTTAAAGCTTTCCCTTTGCAGGCTCTATTGCTCAAGAACAAGATCCCAAGTTACTTAAACTCCTTCGCTTGGGGCAGTAACTCAGTCCCAATCCAGAGGGAGCAGTACACCGTTTACCAGCAGAGAACCATGGCCTCAAGCCAGTTGTCTGCAGCTAGGTAGTCTTGGTTATATCACTTACCTGAGCAGGTGAGACCCAAGCTGAAGAAGGAGGAATCTGGTTTTACACAGTCCCTCAGAGCAGATGCAGAATGGAGACAATCATATCTGATGCCCCACACGGGTCTGTCTAAGGACTCCTTTCTCCAATCTATTGAAACAGCAGAGCCACAGTCCAGTTCTCTACAAACAACATCAGCCTCCTTCAGGGTCCAGTCAGAGTTAAACACAGGTCTCCAGTCTCCCTGTTTCACCTCCAGCGTCCCAGAACAGCAACTGGATCCTCCAACCAACCTGACTGTCTCTAAAACAAAAGAGTCATCAGTGAAACAACAAAAATACTACTTTCTCATGTACTTCTCTATTTATATATCCGTCTACATACCGCTGTGATTGTGGTTCTGTTCTGCCCGGAGACCTGAGTCGGGAAATGAGATTATACCTGTAAATATCAACATAATGCAATGAATCTGTTAGGAGGATACAGCGAGGTATCATCAGCATAACAGCGGACAATCAGACAAAGGGTGTACAGTGAGAACAGAGGGGGACCAAGAACAGACCTGTAATGGCAATTTTTAAGAACCTATACAACCCTTTGACCTGGTCATTGTAAAACCATACGCAACTGTTAAAGAGGTATTATATGCATACAACCATTGGCCCTGATTCTAACTACACTCTATGTCCAAGTAAACAGCGGGATGTTGAGACTTCACTAAGAAGGCTAGGACATGATCATCTCACCACACTATCTGTCGGTTTACTGTCCCACAACTCAGGAATTTGTCTCTGTGTTAGAGTGACGCTCCAACAGGGATAAAACCATACTGCTTCTGCCAATCGGGGCTCTTCGGACTTTCACATACGAGAGTGTGTGACAGTTGCGCTGAGACCATTCATGGATGACTTGAATAAAACCTTACAGAAAGACAAGATCATACTTTGCATACTTTATTAAACAAATTGCCACCACAGACCCTTGCAGTAACCTAATAAACTGTGAATGATCACTCTGTGAGGTAGGACTGCAACCAGACCCAAGATGCCTATTTCGGACAGTATGTCAAAGGTTGCTATGACGATCACTTATGTAAATGTAAGGAAAACCCTCGTATTATCCAAGAAAGTCCACACATTACATCACACAGTCCTACCTGAACTCCAGAGCAAAACCGAGAGCACCATCAACGTGTGATCCATTATCCAGCATCATCAGAAACAGGCTTTCATTGTCTGTCGTTGGTTCGGGTCTTTCTTTCTTTCTGTTCGTTCACAGTTCGATCCTGTTCTGTGAATCAGAGAGGACAAATACTTTTATTAATTTTAATGGATTAGTCAGTTAGTCTTGTATAATGATGGAAGTTGAATAAATGTTGTTTATCAGTGTATAAGCATTGGTAAACTGTCCAAATACAGTTGTTATCAGTGTAAACAGCAAAAATTACTGTAATCTCACAGATAATGACTTTTATTACACTTCTATAACATTCACATTAAAATAATAATAATCCAATAATTACAGCAATCTGCTGTAAATGGAAGAGTTCACCTGTATTTACAGATCATTGCATTGTTTTTACAGTGTAAATATCTTTAATAAACATTAAAAAGATTAAATATTACACAAAATGTTATGTCAAATTAAGAATACATAGAAAATTACTGTGTTTTTACGAGTTATTTTCTGTTATTTTACTGTATTTTTTTTTTTTTTTTACAGTGTGTTGTGAATATAAAACTAGACTGTGATTAATAGCTGTTGGCAGTTTTATCCAAACAATGTTGTTTGTTCAGCCGCACCCTAATAACTGTAAGTGAGCTGCAGTGTGAACACAGAGACACACTTTCTCTTTATATCAGCTGAGATATAAACTCACAGTGGACACTAACAACAAAGCACTGAAGCATGTGTGAACTTTTATTACTCAGTTATTTTCTATGCTGACATTTTACAACATTTTCAACATCATTAACCACTTTAAATACTTTATTCATGTAGAACTTTTATCTGTATTATACTTTTACTTCAGCAGGAAGTGTTTTATTTTGAAACAGTGTGCATATATTATATTGTTGTTTAATCATTATTATAGTTATTAAAAACAAACGTACCTGGAGGTCTCGAGCTCAGTCTCACATTGAGAACCACCAACAGTCCCAGAGAGGACAGAGACACCTGTGAGGACACCTGGAGACAAACTCCACCCACAAGAATCCACACTTTCACTTTTATATCTTCTAATAAGCAGGTTTATCCATGCAGACACTCCCAAAAACACTCGCTCATCCAGAGAATGAAAGAAAATCTCTGAAAGCAATAAACAGTTTGTAAACTCGCATAAAAAAACAGACCTTAAAACTAAAAACCTAAAACAAACTCTTGTCTGTGTTTAAGAACATATTCAACTTCATAAGATAATATTGACGTACATTACAAGTTCCTCAGGATTCTGTGCTCGGACCAATTCTATTCACACATCTGATTAAACTGAGATGTTCTGTTTTATACCTGATTACATTAAAATATAAACAATGAACATTGCAAAAGGTTTACTGTAGTCAGAACAAAGTCTTTATGAAGCTGAAACAACAAAACAAACATCAGTGAAGACGAAAAACACACAAACTTAAAATGATACATTTGTAGATAAGCAACATTTAACTGGTGAGATTTTGAATGGGGTTTGGTGTGAGTTTGTCCCTGTGGTTGAGCTGTGAACTGAAACCAAAGCTACAAAATCACAGTAAGATCAACACTGCAAAAAGCTGCAGTCACAACAAAGTTCATACAAAGTTGAACCAAACTCCATTAGAAAAATAGAGTATTTTAGGACTTCAGGGCCCCTGTTCACCCTCACATTAAACTACAGAAATAAAATCAGGGATAATTAGTCCTGATGGTGTCAGCAGGCGTTCGGCACTGTGCTTGTTGTTTATGTTTGTTTATTTCCTCCTCAAGTCAAAACAGGAAGAGCTGAGAGCGGCCGCTGATTGGCTGAGAGACCCGGCAGCTGGCAGCACGAGCCACCAGCCTCAGTCCCGTCAGAGTGACGACAAAAACAAGTTAAAAACAACAAAACAAACAAACATCAGAGGAGAAGAAAATAAACAACAACAGCAGCAGCGAGCAGGGACCAACATGCCCACGGAGCTGTCTGCAACGTCAGGCCGGTCAGCGAGCGTCTGTCTGCGGGGAAACAGCGTGAGGCAGCCCGGGGCATCATGGCCGCTGTGACCGCCAACACCCGCACACTCATGACGGATCCAGTCCGACTGTCGGAGCGCAGCGGCCGGGTCGCGGCTCCGGGAGGCGGCGGCAGGTCGGCGGAGACCTGGAAGAGAGACATCCTCCGTCAGCTGAGGCACCGAGACCTGAGCCAGCACGACCGGTTCCAGGACCTGATCCGCTTCTGTACGACGGACAAGTACAAGTTTAAATCTGTGTATAACAGACAGGCCCAGTGTGCGCTCACAATGGCAGCAACCAAACTCCATTCAAAAATCTGCTCATTTAACACTTATCGAGGCTCAGAATGAGTTCTTTCAGTCACAGCTTCAGGAAGAAAAGTCCGACTTAAAAACAGTGATTTTCTGAATGGAGTTTGGTTGGAGTTGACCTAAACATTATTCTGAAATGTATAATATGTTAAAGTAGGATACAATAGAGATTAATTCAACTGTCAGCTAATAAATAACAACTCTAAATAAAAACAGTGATTTTCTGAATGGAGTTTGGTTTAGAGAAACCCTACCACATGTCATACCTGGTAATCAATCAGGATCACTTTTATTGGGCAGGTATGCATATAAGTTACAGCTACAGTGGAGCCAAGCTTTATTTTGAAAGTATAATCTGTTAAAGTAGGACACAATAGAGATTTATTCAACTGTCAGCTACTAAATAACAACTCTAATTAAAAACAGTGATTTTCTGAATGGAGTTTGGTTCAGAGAAATCCTACCTGTTAAAGATTCCAGTACAGCTGTTATTGCAGTCAGAGCTCTAATTAAACCCAGATGTTCTACAGATGTTTGAGCCAGCTAAAGACGGGGATAGTGACATTTTTAATTCTGCTCATTTTATTTAAATATCACATAATAGATCCAAAAAGAAACTGTAAAAAATGAAATAAAACTTCCTGTCCCAAAATAAAGAAACTTGTTAGTAACCTGAACCATATGTTGTTCCACTTCCTCCGTACAGTGACTCATCTGTGACGGGTTATCAGTCCGCTGCTGCGTCATCGTCTGCACGACGCTGATGGAAATATGTATTTTACTTAAAAGAGGAACCTGAAGAGTCAAATTAAAAGTCACTAAATTAAAATGATGCGTTAGACGTTAGAATATTTTCCTGCTCTGTTTTTTAAATGTCTCAATCTTAAACTGGTCAGAATTTGAATGGAGTTTGGTGTGAGTTTCTCTCAGTGGCAGCAACAAAATCACAAAAGTATAAACGCTGCAAAAACTTTACTGTAGTCGCGATAAAGTGACGTTGAGCCAAACTCCAGTAAATCCAGTATTTTAGGACTCCGGAGCTTCCGTAGGTTCAGCATCAAAACACAGAAATAACAACAGTTTTGTTGTTGTTCTTTGTTTATTTGTTTGTTTTTCTGTTATTTTCCAAGTTACTAGCTAATGTTAGCATGTGTTAGCCCTGTTGTTGTCGGTCGATACAGATAATAATATTCCAGCAGCCAAAAAAATACAATAAAATAACTGAAAATATCTCATAAAAATACAAATTTTATCTTTAATTTTAATACATTTTTATGTCATTTTTAGTCTTTTTAATGTTTAATTAAAGATATTTACAGTGTAAACAATGATCTATAAATCCAGGTGAACTCTGCTATAATACAATAATCAGACTTACATTTACAGCAGAGTGCTGTTATTATTGGATTGTTATTATTTTAATGTGAATGTTAAAAGTTCTAGAAGTGTAATAAAAGTCATTATCTGTGAGATTACAGTAATTATTGCTGTTTACACTGATAACAACTGTATTTGGACAGTTTACCTTATACACTGATAAACAACATTTATTCTACTTCCATCATTATACAACATATCTGTCAGTTAACTCACTAATACATTAAAGTTACACAACTAATACTTTATTTACTGTTAATGTCACTGATTTTATATAATTTTAGAAATTATTAACAGAATTAAACTTATTTATTAAACTTTAATTTAACAGTTTAATAAATTAAATAAACAGTAAATATAAATTATAGATTTGCAAAATGTATTTAAATGTCTTTAAATAATCAGCTATGAGACCAGGACCCAGTTTCCACTGATGGTGTTCTTTGTGTTTTCAGACACTCAGCTGTTGGACAAAACCAGTCTGGCCAAAGGAATCCTGAGCTGCTCCTCCAGGTACTCACCTGCTGCTGTCTGTACCTGCAGGCCTCAGACAGAACTCCCTGTGTGGTGATGATGATGATGATGATGATGATGATGATGATGATGATGAAGGTGTGTTTGTTTTGTGCGTGCAGACGTCTGTCCTCTGACAGCAGCTCGCTCTCCGCTCTGCGTCACCAGAACAACCAGCTGAAGAAAACCACCGGAGAGGTACCGACACACCTGCTCCGATTACTGATCATTATATTATTGTATCATATTATATTATATTATATTATATTATATTATATTATATATATGTTATTGTATTATATTTCTGTTCCATCAAAATATTCCATCTTCTGTTTTAAATTGTTCCCAATTATTCCGACCTTTTTATCACAATACTCCGACTCCAAAAATAATCCGACCTTCCTGTTGATTTAGTTTTTCTGACAATTTTATCAAAACATTTCAATTTGTGTTTCATTCAGCATTCTCAAACATTCCTGCGGTTTTCTGAAAATGTTCACAAATATTTCAACCTTTGTCTTCAGACTTTTTTTCTCAACTTATTCCCGATTATTCCGACCTTTAACTTTCAAGATCTTCACCATTTTATACACCAAATATATAAACTGGTCTCATATTTATAATTTATCATCATCCTCAGTCTCCTGCCGTGTCTGTCTGTCTGGTTGCAGTTGGCCTATCAGGTGGTGGAGCTGCAGCGGCAGATTAAGATCAAGGAATGTGTTCTGGAGGAGCAACATGCCAGGTGAGTAACACACCTGAACCTGTCTGCTCACCTGTCGGCTCTGATGGGGACGAACCTCACAGCCGGTTCAAACTGTCCCTTCAAGGTTGATGATTCACATTCTCAAGTTTAAGACACTTCACTGCCCTCAGCCAATCAGAACGGAGGATTCTGAGAGAGTTTTTATGGGTCGTCTTTAAAACGCCAGCAGTGTACTCACCATACAAAACCCTTTAAAGGTTTTATGTATGTGAGTACGTCGGTGAGTTAAGGATTTATTTCCACCAAACCAGAGTTCCTGTCCAGTTTTGGATTATCTTCCAGGAAAAATGAGTGTGGTCCACATTGTTTTGGTCTGAGATGCTCGACTGTGACACCTAGTGGCAGTGAATTTAATGTATATAACCTTTAACAGATGTTCCGCCTGGTGTTTAGTTTGTTGAATGTCTGGAAGTTTTAAACATTAAACTGTCGACGATGTGCTCAGGCTGTTGAAGGAGGAGCGCCGGCTGGCGAGTGCGTTTGATGCTCGTCAGGAGCTGCTAGAGCGGGTGGAGCAGGTTCAGGCGGAGAACGGGGCGTTGAAGACGGAGTACGACGCCCTGCTGGAGCGACAGCGGGGGGCGGAGACGAGCCTCAGAGAGGAGAAGGTCCGAGGAGGGCACCTGCTGGAGGACATGATCCAACTGAAAAAACAGGCCGCCGCCCGCATGAACAGCCGCAACGAACGCAGGTCCAGGTACCTGAACGCACCGCACACACCTGAGCACACCTGTTCATCACACAGCTAAAGAGCAGGTACCTGAACACACCTCCGCTGTCTGTGTGTTTCCACCAGAGCTCGAGAGGCCAACCTGCAGAAGGAGCTGCAGACTGCTGCGAGGTCAAAGGTCACCGTGGACAGGTAAGATCCACCTGAACTCATTTCTACCAGAACATTCCCAAAACACATCTGCGTCTAACATCTGCATTTTACTGCAGCTGCGTTTCTGTCCCAGAACAGGAGGTACTGAACCCTTCGAGGGCCGAGAAAATAATCTGTCAGAATATTATTATTATTATTATTATTATTATTATGTTGAGAAAAAGAAAGAAAAGTTTTTTTTAATTTGGAAAAATAATCTGAAATTAAAGAAAATATTCAGAATATTTTGTCAAAAATCTGAATGTTGAAAAAAAGACTTAAGATTAATTTTAAAAAATCTAAATATTAGAAGAAAAACAGTCAGAAATGAACGTAAATAATTGTATTTTAAAAAAATAGTCCGAATTTTTTAAAGAAAATAGCTTGAAAATATTGAAATTAAAATAATAATCAGATAATTACGAGACAGAATAGTCGACCGGAAACTCAGACAGATCTGAACATGAACAAAATTAATTATTAATTAACGTCAGTCGGACAGTTGAAGACAGTAAGAGGCTCTTATTTTGGTAGTTTCATCTTCGGACTCTCAGGACGTCGTCTGAGGAGAAACTTGATGATGAAGATGATGAAGATGATGTTCTTGGTCAGTTGATTTTGTGTTTCAGTCCTTCCAGCGCTCCGACCTCCAGATCCACGTCTCCAAAGAATGAAAATGGGTCCACAGAGAGAAAACACACCCGACTGTTCAGGTTGGACGCCGTCACAAACTGTCATTAAACGTTATTGAATTATTATGAATGAACCTTCCTGGTTGCTGTTGTAAAATGATTATTATTGATTATTATTGATTATAATTCCTGTTTCTGTCTCTCAGATCAGCGTCGGTGACGTCCCCGAGGATCCTGTCCTCCATCAAAGGGCTGTTCGAGTGAGTCCTCCGATCCGCCCGGCTGTGATCTGAAAACTTTATTTATTCATTATTCACGGACAGGAACGTAACGGTCATGTGACTGTGTGTGTGATGTCAGCAGGAAGAGGCGGGGCCATTCAGTCTGCAGTCTGGAGGAAGATCTGATGTGTCCTGTAGGGGTCTGTCTGTCAGCCCGGGTCCCCGTCAGAGCTCGACAAGTACTGGTAATACTCTCAGAGAGAGTACACACCACTTCTGATAGGTACTGACCTCTGCAGACCGGGAACCCCCCACAAGAGCTGCAGGGTCGGAGATGTTCTGACCCAGTCGGCCATCACAATGTGGTTCTTGTCTCATAAAGAAGCTCTGTCTCCCCCCTGTGGACACAAAGCAAACTGCAGGAGCAGAACCAGCTCTCACTCTAATAATATTAATGTCACTGATGTCTCCTGTTGATAAAGTTTAAGTGAATTGAACAGAGATAATATGAAACACACACAGTAAGCAGCTCCTCGGTCAGCGCCTCATTACCCATCATGCCTCTCTCTGTTGACCTTCAGTCACTTTTTAAAGAAGCTTTCTGTGGACTCACCACCCTCCATCAAGGACTCTTTATTTGACGTTCCACACATCCTTGAAAACCTGGAAATTGATTAAAATGAGCAAATATCCTGGAAATAATCAAACAGGGTTCTGATATTATTGATTATTGATTTGTATCATTACCTGTTTGATTCTGTTGTTCTTTTCTTTTTGTGTCAAATTTAGAATCACGACTCAAACTGCGGTGACATTATGTGTCGATCAGTAAAATACAATAAATCAATAAATAAATGAGAATAAATAAAGATTTATTCAGTGAGTTGCAGTCTGTAACGTCCCCACTAGGTGTCACTGACCTGCTGCGAGGAGCTCGTTCTGACTCTTTCCTGTTTCCTGTTTCCTGTTTCCCGCCCTCTGTCACTCAGGAGGCCCACGAGCAAGGCATCAACGCTGTGAGGTTCAGCTCCAGCTCCGACCTGCTGGCCACTGGAGGAACTGACCGAGTCATCAAACTGTGGGAGGTCAGAGCGGGTGCGTTATTTATTTTACTTTATTATGTTGTTGTTGTTGTTGTTGTTGTCGATGTTTGTGACCTCACTGGTGATGTCATCAGGCTCGCTGACTCACAGAGCGACTCTGGAAGGCAGCACAGAGGGAATCACCTGCATCGAGTTCGACCCAATGGTAAAATCCACTCCCGAACCAGAACTTTAGTCTCCCCTGCCGTACCTGGATCAGGTGTTAATGATCTCTGTGGACTCTGTAGGGTCGGAGGATCCTCGCCGCCTCCTACGATAAGTCGGCCCTGCTGTGGCGACTGGAAGACTCCGTTCCCAAGGTAACCAAACGCCATAGAAACCTTCGTACATTAGAGGGACCGGACTGACCACAGATTCAGTCTACTGCAGTCAGCCACCAGGGGGAGATAGATAGAGAGAGAGAGAGAGAGAGTCTATACTGCAGTCAGCCACCAGGGGGGATAGAGAGAGAGAGAGAGAGAGAGAGTCTATACTGCAGTCAGCCACCAGGGGGGAGAGAGAGATAGAGAGAGAGAGAGAGAGTCTATACTGCAGTCAGCCACCAGGGGGAGATAGATAGAGAGAGAGAGAGAGAAGAGAGTCTATACTGCAGTCAGCCACCAGGGGGAGATAGAGAGAGAAGAGAGTCTATACTGCAGTCAGCCACCAGGGGGAGATAGATAGAGAGAGAGAGAGTCTATACTGCTGTCAGCCACCAGGGGGAGATAGAGAGAGAGAGTCTATACTGCAGTCAGCCACCAGGGGGAGATAGAGAGAGAGAGAGAGTCTATACTGCAGTCAGCCACCAGGGGGAGATAGAGAGAGAGAGAGAGAGAGTCTATACTGCAGTCAGCCACCAGGGGGAGATAGAGAGAGAGAGTCTATACTGCAGTCAGCCACCAGGGGGAGATAGAGAGAGAGAGAGTCTATACTGCAGTCAGCCACCAGGGGGAGATAGAGAGAGAGAGTCTATACTGCAGTCAGCCACCAGGGGGAGATAGAGAGGGTTTAAGTCACTGCTGGTAGCAGTTGAAGCTCTTTGTTTCAAACAGGAATTGAAAATATTCAACTCTCACCTGTCTCTCTCTCTCTCTCACCTGTCTCTCTCTCTCTCTCACCTGTCTCTCTCTCTCACCTGTGTCAGCTGACTCTAACAGGTCACAGCAGGAAGGTAACAGCGGCGAGGTTCAGCAGTCTTTCTCACCAGGTGGTGACGGGCAGCGCAGACAGAACCATCAGACTGTGGGACCTTCAGAGAGCCGCCTGTGAGTCTGATCAATAACTGATCAATAACTGATCACTGACCGATGTGTGGTTGATGGCTAATTAAGGTGTTTTTACCTGTGCAGGTGTGCAGGTCGTGGAAGTGGCGTCGTACTGCAGTGACCTGGTCTGCTCTGAGAACTGTATCATGAGCGGACACTATGACTGTAAGATCAGAGTCTGGGACACCAGGTAACCCCTCACCTGAGCCCTGAGATCCCTGTAGATCTGATCCTGGTTCAGGTAACCCCTCACCTGAGCCCTGAGATCCCTGTAGATCTGATCCTGGTTCAGGTAACCCCTCACCTGAGCCCTGAGATCCCTGTAGATCTGATCCTGGTTCAGGTAACCCCTCACCTGAGCCCTGAGATCCCTGTAGATCTGATCCTGGTTCAGGTAACCCCTCACCTGAGCCCTGAGATCCCTGTAGATCTGATCCTGGTTCAGGTAACCCCTCACCTGAGCCCCGAGATCCCTGTAGATCTGATCCTGGTTCAGGTAACCCCTCACCTGAGCCCTGAGATCCCTGTAGATCTGATCCTGGTTCAGGTAACCCCTCACCTGAGCCCTGAGATCCCTGTAGATCTGATCCTGGTTCAGGTAACCTCCACCTGAGCCCTGAGATCCTTGTAGATCTGATCCTGGTTCAGGTAACCTCCACCTGAGCCCTGAGATCCCTGTAGATCTGATCCTGGTTCAGTTTCAACTGTCTGATACCTCATTCATTCTCCCAGCTGTCGCCACGGCGACTCCCCGTCTCCCTCTGTTACCTAGCAACAGCTCTTGCCTGTAGAGTCTGAAGCAGCTGATGATTGACAGCTCTATCCTCCAATCACACAGCAGCATTAACTCTCCCTGCACCTGATTGGACGGTTACATAATTCACTGAGCTGTGATTGGTTTAATAATAACTTATCTGTCTGAATTTATTATTTTTTTAATTTAATTTTATTGTAGAGCGCTTAGATAACCAGATAAAGCAAATAAAACATAAAACTGAACCACAGCAAAGGATCATTGAAGCATTGAGCTTCCCAGGAGGCAGCATGTGACCTCCGCCCACCCTAGATGCGATGACACTGTTCAGGATGTTTTAAAGTGAGAAACACGTAACCAACAATGTCCTCAACAGTGCTTACAACATGACTTCAGGATCATTTGATTATTTTTATTTAGTAAAACATCAAACTAAAACACTGCAATGGATCATAGAAGCATTGAGCTAAAATAAAACAAGGTTCAAGTTTTAATATATTCATCTTTAAATTCATTAAAATAACACGCAGATCGACCAACACTGAGTACAGAACAAAAAATAAAAACTACTTAAAAATAAAAGCTGTTAAATAATAGGAATGATAAATGAAAAACTTCATTAAATGAGCTTAAATGACCTCCACCAACCCTCGATGCAATGACACTGTTCAGGACTGTTGGGGTTGTTGACTGTGATATTAGGAGAGCATCTTCCTGATGAGCAGAGCTTGAAGTCTCTGGCAGCAGAGGTCACCAAATCTCTGTGTTTTTCTTCAACATATCAAAGTGACATTCAACAGAATCTGACTGACTTTATTTAGTTTTTGTTTGTAATCATTAAAGGAGAGATGTGTAATTTCTGGACACATGCTCCAAAAACACAGGAGGCAGCATGTGACCTCTGTGTAGGATTGTTTACAGTGACATAATAATAAACAGTGTCCTCAAAAGAGCTTGGAATATAAAGCTGTAGGATAATTTTCCATTCTGTACTGTGAGCCCAAAATAAACAGTTTTTACTGTGATTTAATGTCAATAAACGGATCAATACGATGCTGAAATAACGACATCACAATGGCGATTTCCTAAAAAGTCTCAATTCAGACATTGTTGGGTCTGTGTGCAAGACGACGAGCAAACAACTTTTAAAATGCTTATTTTCTTATTGGAGTTTGGTTGACCAGAGCTGTGCTAATTTAGCTCATAGTAAAGTGCAACCGACAGTTTCCTCTCGTCGTCAGATCTGATGAGTGAATGTAAACAGAGCTGACATGTTGTCATTCAGGACGGTCAGCTGCGTTCAGGAGCTTCCCGCTCAGGGTAAAGTCACCTCGTTGGACATCAGCTCCGACCACCGCAAGCTGCTCAGCTGTTGCCGCGACGACTGCCTCCAGCTGGTCGACCTGAGGAGGTGGAGCAACGACCGCATGTGCTTCAGGTAGAAACGTGACGCTGTAATGAAGTTAGTTTGTTGGTTATGAGCAGCTGTTTATTGATTCTTTGTTTGTGTTTGTCAGAGAGGAGGGCTTTAAATGTGGCAGCGACAGCACCAAAGCTGTGATCAGGTGAGTTCATCCTCATCAGCAGTTAACCTGCACAGACTGTTGTCTGCAGTGTTTCTTTAGCTCTAAAAGCACCATTTGGAAGCAATCAGCTAACGTCTACAAATGGCCGACACCCACCACAACAACAGAGTCCAACACAGAGTCCACAACAACAGAGTCCAAACACAGAGTAACAAGTCAACGATCCGTCCAAGTACACACGATCCACAACACGTCACAACACAGAGTCCACAACACAGAGTCCAACACAGAGTCCAAACACAGAGTCCACAACAACAGAGTCCAACACAGAGTCCACAACAACAGAGTCCAACACAGAGTCCACAACACAGAGTCCACAACACAACAACAGAGTCCACAGACACAGAGTCCACAACACAGAGTCCAACACAGAGTCAAAAGAGTCCACAACACAGAGTCCACAACACAGAGTCCACAACACAGAGTCCACAACACGAGTCCACAATCCAACACAGAGTCCACAACACAGAGTCCAACACAGGTCCCAACACAGAGTCCACAACACAGAGTCCACAACACAGAGTCCACAACACAGAGTCCACCACACAGAGTCCACCACACAGAGTCCACAACACAGAGTCCACAACACAGAGTCCACAACACAGAGTCCAAAGTCAAAGCTAACATTACTGCTAAGGCTAGTGGAACATATTGTCTGATTGTGCTTTAAGCTGGATAATGTTAGCTTGGAGATTACTTTGTCAGGCAACACTGGGTAACATTGTTCAGCATGGCTGGGTTGTACCTAATAAATGATGCTAATGGTACAAAGCTAACGATAGCCTTCTTCTATCTAGGAGCGATGCAAGGCAGGGGCATCCAGCTAGCTAACTGTAGCTAAGCTAAGCTGGGATTGTTCAGCTGGCTGTGGAGCCTTTAGAAGTCCATGAGTCACTCTCCTCAGCTGAACAGTGAAATTCAGACACATTTCAGCTGAGAGTAAAACCTGAGCTCTCACTACAGTCGGTCCTCTCTCTGCAACACCAGAACAAACAAACCAGAACTACAGTGAACATCCCTGAAATCAGATTAAGTTCTGAGTTTAAATTCTAATGTGCTCCTTTTTTTTTGTTTTCCACAGTTTCATTGCTGGTTATTAAAAATGAAATCAATTCACTCATCTGGGAGGAAAAACCCATCTGATTAGAAACGTAACCTGATTTCTCTGAGTGTCTTTGTTCATGTAAACGTTGTTAGTGAGTGGGTGAGATGATGGAGGAGGAGATGAGAGCAGAGTGAGGTTCTGTGTGTTGTTTCACTGATTCCACCTGTTCCATCGAACGCACAACTGATTGATCATCATGGTTTTGTGCAGTTGAATTGTGATCGGGTGTGTTTCTGATCAAAACATTCCTGCAGAAAGCTGAGAGAGATGAAAACCGAGAGAGTCAGAGGGTTGAGAGATGAGATGCTGCGTGGTTCATTTTCTGCAGTTTCCATGACAACAACAGGACCAGGATGCTTCGTGTCTGTTGAGAGAAACACTAAATATATAAATGTGTTTCTACCCAGACGCACACAGACAGACAGCCAGGGTTCCCTGCTGGGTTCTCTCTGAGGTTCCACTCAGAACAGCTGGTAAATCATCATAAATCTCTCAGATAGATCCATGAGATGAAATATTAATGTGTTCAAATTCACAGGAACTCTTCCTGTGGTGCCGGTTAAATGAGGAAAGACAGTAATCAGCTCTTTAATGTCTCTTAGGTGGCAGATTATACAGCAATTAGAGTCTTTAAACAGTATTTCTGTGGATGAATTCGTCAGATCTGAAAAGTCTAAAAATCTGATCAGATCCATTAAAAAACAATAAATATTCATTTATTATTCCAAACCTTATTTTTCTTTTATTCAGTCACTCAATAATTTACAGCCACACGGACTTGCTGGTCTTGACTTTGGACTGTTGGTCTTGAATCCTGGACCCGACGTTCTGAAGGGAGGGATTTCTCAACACATTTGTACATTTGAAAAACCTCAACACTTGATTCAGGGGTTGCAGAACCTTTTCCAGGATCCTCCACATGGTACAGGTTCACAACCCTGTTAGAACACTTCACCTTCAGTCTAACCTGTTGTTCTCTCTCATCAGTCCAGATGGGTGCTACCTTGCAGCTGGATCGGCAGACGGTGCTGTTTACATCTGGAATGTCTCCACTGGCAACCTGGAGACCCGCCTACCTGACAAACACAGGTAACAGACCAAAGATATTGAACAGCGGAGGATTTTACCTAATTTCCCAGGTTTAATAGAAGGATCAGAGGCCCCAAGATGCTTCCCTGAGGGATTCCAAGAGTTATTGGAGACAAACAACAAGAATATTTACTACATTTCTTACTAATTTAACTCTATGTTCAGGTCCAGGTTTATTTGTGTCCATTTAGCAGCCTTTAAACAGTGGCCCCAGGATGCTTCCCTGAGGGACTCCATGTGTTACTGAAGTCATAGAACAAAAAGATTATCTTCCAATAAATGTTGTACAGTTTGTTTAATAATGTCTCTCTCTGTCTTTAGTTCATCCATCAGTGCCGTTTCCTGGTCTCTGTCTGGTGAATACGTCGTCAGTGTGGATAAAAGCAGGCTGGCCGTCCTCTGGACCGACATCTGAAACGGCCAGTCTATGAAGAAGTGTCCCAGCAACAAACTAACTGATCTGAGAGCTGCCAAAGGGAACCTATTTTTAAGCTATTTGTTGATTGGACCAAAAGGGTTGTAAAACGTTCTTCTCAAGTGCCTTTTTTGCATTTTATAACATAACTTTAGAGCATTAATACAGACAAAAAAAAGGGAAAACCGATAGTTTCCGCCAACATTAAGTTTTATTGACAGTAAAGACGAAAGGAAACCAGCAACCAAGACATTCCTGTAATGTTTGAAAAGAGCAACTTTATTGTAAGACCAATGTGTTTAAGCTCATCAGTCATCATACAGGACATAATATATACTGGAATATTTAACGAAAAGGTTAAAAAATATAAAAACACATCGAGTCATAAACAGAATCATAGAGTAAGAAGTGAGACATCATATTCAGTCTTTACCTAAATGCTCCTATTTTGTTGGTCCGTTCAGGAAGTTGTGATGTTGCCAATCTCAGTGCATTCGGCTCGACCTTGTAATTTCATCCAATTACCAAAACTTTTGACGTCACCAAACTATTAGGGGAGCGAATCTTTCTTTTGAACCTGAAACCTATTGGTCTCAGAGTAAAGTTTTTATTTTTATTATGTACTTGAATTTTGACCTTTCAGACTTTTTGATTCTTTATTCACCTTTGGAAGAAGCCTGAAATCCTCAAGTGATAACAGCTGATTTCTTCACACACAAATTACAGACAAAAGATGAGGCATTTGCAGAGGTCAGATGCAGCTGTGCAGCTCTCGGCGGTGGATTTACATTTAAAAGGCGCCCTGCGTTAATCCTCTGTTTGCCTCCTCGGCTTTGAAGACTGAAGTCAGCGGCTTCAAAGAGAAAAGTCGGCGGCCGGAGGCTCTGATGGAGCCTGAACACATCGGCATGAGACTCATTTACATCCAGCTTTATGATCTGATCTGACCTCTGCCATCTTTATGTTAAACTGATCATTTAGTGACAGTAATCAACAAGGCCACCAGACCTCAACATGAAGCTGCACAGTCCGTCTACAGACACACTTTATAAATTAATGTTAAACTTATTTATAGAAAACAACGGCTGTTACCCAAAGTGCACTTCAGAGAGATTTCAAATACAATTAAATAACAAATATTTGTATTGTTATATTCATAATTAAGAGAACTAAAATGCAGCTGTAAAACAGGATTTAAGGCATTTGTGACATTTGTCCTAATCCAAGTCCTTTAATAGTCCGATATGATATTTATATCTGTGCTGTAGTCAAGACAGTTGAGACAAAACCAAGTTGAAAGAGGTTCGAGTCCAGGTCATTGACACAAAGTCCAAAGTCAAAGCTAACTTTACTAAAGTTGTGAAAGATATTGTGCTTTTAGCTAGATGTTAGCTAATGTTAGCTTGTCCTTGTTTATGATCGGTTCCAGAAAACATGTCACATGTCCTGGTTCACTGAGCGCTTTTATAAAAATATTTCTGTTGATGGTTGTTTCCTGTCAATCAACTGACTCCATTACATCTCTTAAAGTGGATGTTCAGACGTCAGAGGGCCCCTGATGGTTTTATTGGAAACCAAACTTTTTCTTTTTCATGTTTTCTGTGTTATTTATTTGTTCAAAGTATTTCTTGTTTAAAAGGGAACATTTGTTAGGATGAAAGGAGGAGCTCGGGACTGACGAAGGGATAGAAACAAAATATGAATTAATAAGAGAGACAAAGTGCTGCTGCTGTCAGTTCAGCCTGAGTCCAAACTAAGGGAATAACACTGCAGTATTGTGAAGGATAGAACATATTTAATTGTTTATTAATACAGTTAACAAATAACAACTGTAATCACATGAAATATGTCTTCATAATTTATATGGATAAATAAATAAATAAGAAATGTTCTCGCGTTGTGGTCGGCGTCGGTCGTTTTTAGACGTTAGTTCAACAACACGAGAACATTTCTTCTTTATTTATTTATCCATATAAATTACAGAGTCCAAAGTCAAAGCTAACATTACTGCAAAGCTAGTGGGACATATTGTCTGTTTGTGCTTTTAGCTGCATAATGTTAGCTCACGTTAGCTTGCTGGCTAACTGACTAATAGTGCTTTGTTAGCCCCCAGCTAACAGCGATGCGAGGCAGTGTCCTTTGTGGCGTAGGAACATTACAGATATAGTAATAGTTATAAATATGATTGTCATTCATTTTTCAGCATTCAGTGTTAATTTCAGCGTTGAGTCTCGTGTACGTCATGTGACTGTTTTGGCTGCAGTTAGCTTAGCACCGCTAGCTACTGCACAATGTTTGTGTGTTAATGTCTGGAGGGGTCTTTAAGTTATCTCACCTGCTCACCAACATAAATGCTCCGACTGGTTGTAAAAAAAGTGGAAAACATTACGATTTATTGAAAATATAATATTGAATTGATGTTGTTCTGTCAGCGGGGATGAAAAGGTGTTTTAATATCTCTTTAATGTTTCCACTCTGCTGTCTTTAGTTCTAATAAACTCTGGTTTCTAACCTCCCGTCCTTCATATTGTCGTCTCTCTTTATTTATTGGAACTGTTGAAGCCTCGTCATCGGGTTTTAAAAATACGAGGAGACGATGAGGACGCTGCAGGCTGTTTCACACTGAGGTCATTAATGAGGAAACAGGAAGCAGCTGCTGCCTCCCACCTGATCGGTTTGATCTGGACCTATAGATCAATAATAAAAGCTGATCATAACAGCTGTAAGTTCCCACTCTTTACTCTGTATCATCAATCTTCATTCATGAGAAACAACTTACTTGGACATACGAGTATAATCAACACTCAGAAACAGACAGAAGAAGGTTAATAGAGTTGAATAAGTTATTATGAAATATTTGAAAGCAAATCATTTTTTTATAAGCATAATATTTAAAAATAACTCCACTAACAGTAGTTGTTGTTGTTTGTTCCACTAACAGTTGTTTGTTCCACTAACAGTAGTTGTTGTTTGTTCCACTAACAGTTGTTTGTTCCACTAACAGTTGTTGTTGTTTGTTCCACTAACAGTTGTTTGTTCCACTAACAGTAGTTGTTGTTTGTTCCACTAACAGTTGTTTGTTCCACTAACAGTAGTTGTTTGTTCCACTAACAGTTGTTGTTGTTTGTTCCACTAACAGTAGTTGTTGTTGTTTGTTCCACTAACAGTAGTTGTTGTTTGTTCCACTAACAGTAGTCGTTGTTTGTTCCACTGACAGACTCAGGTTGTTATTGTCAGTGTCTGACAGCATTATAGAAAGGATCCCTACAGAGATAGACCTTTAGTTTAACCACAAACAGCCGTAATATCACTATCACTCTCCACCAGACTCCAGAGACACAAACACTCATTTTACCTTCAGATCATCGTAACTTCATTAAAGTCGACAGAAACAGAATAAAACTCATTCAAAGTGTCTCTGTTAGTGTTTCGAACAATCACAAATATTTGTGAAAAGAGCAACAAGCTAACGTTGTTGTGACTTTACCTACTGACAGGCTCACATTGTGTTTGAGTGTCACACTTTGGTCACATTCTCAGTTAAACGTGTTTGTACACATAAATAAATCAAATATTTAAATAAATAAACTGAAATATTGGCACATTTCGCACTCCGTACAGCAGCTCTGTTTTTTGTGACGCAGTTTCACTTCTGATTCTGGAGCGTTTGTGAAGTTTAGAGCTCAGTTATGAATGAAGTATTTATAGATTAATTTATATGTCAATATTTTATTTATTTACTGAAGGATGGCGGAGGTCAGCTGTCAGCGGGACGTTAATGACAGACTGAAATAAAACATCCTCTGGGTGTTTGTTATGTTTTAACACATTTTACTGCTAATGAGTCTGAGAGGAGGGAGGGAGGAAGAGGGGGGAGGAAGAGGAGGGAGGGAGTTAAAGAGGAGGAGGAGGAGGAGGAGAGTGCTGGATTCAGCCGTTCAGAGCTCAGATGGAGGTTTTTCCTCCCGCTGAGGAGAATCTGACGGCATGACGACGACTTCCTGAGAGAGAAATACAGAGAGAGGGAGAGAGACAGAGAGAGAGAGAGAGAGAGAGAGATCTTCCCCTCAGTTTCCACGGTGACGGCATCCCTCCATCCTCCTCCTCCTCCTCCTCCTCCTCCTCCTCCTCTTCTATCAACATCTCTCCGTCCGGCTGCTGTCGGCTCATCGGCGTCGTCAGGATGGTGGATAAAGGAACCAGGTAGGATATAATGTGTGACAGCTGTATGTGTTTGTGTTTCCTTCACATCGTTCTGTCGGTTCCTCGAAGAACCTGTGTGTGTGTGTGTGTGTGTGAGAGAGAGAACCACACACTGTGTTGTTGTAACATTACATAACGTTCTGTCAGAACCTCCAGCACTGTGACGTCGTCGTGGATTTCTCTATAACAACATAACACAGAGCTATTTTGTTATTGTGGCATACATTTCTGCTTTTATTTTGATAGTACAGACGGACAGGAAACATGATGGGGTAATTCAGTAATCAGTTACTCTTTAAGAGAAGTAATCACATTACTAATTACTCATCAGCAAGGTCTTCAAAATATTGGGGGGGCTAAAGGCCCTCCATCGCAATCGAACATGTGACTTTGTGATCACGTGTTTCAGGCTCAGTAACGAGTAGAAGAAACTCCAACATGGCCGCCAGAATTGTTACTTCCTGAACATGAAACAGGAAGTGCTTCCTCATATTTACGTTCCTGAACAACAGGCTACATTCTAGCTCTTACTAACGACTTAAATCAGTCGTTAGTAAAAACAGGCAGCTAGATATTGATCGGTAGATATTGATTAGTAGATATTGATCGGCAGATATTGATCGGTGTTTACATCGGTTTGTGTTACGTCCACACTGCGATGCAGCTAGTGCTATCAGCTAGCACCAGCGGCTACCTCCCGGGACCGAACACACTGCGTCAGTTAGCGTAGCTGCATGTCTGACCGAGCTAACGGCAGTTAGCGGCTGGCTACCAGCTAGTTACCTAGCTACAGAGCAAAATGCTAGCTAACTTGCTACTTTCCATGTTGAACCTCCATGTTTGTACAGTAGCCCAGAAAGGACAAACCAAACACTGGCTAGATAGGAACTTTAATGTTTTTTCGTGAGTTTTGTGGCCACCGTAGTTTCTCCCGCGTGAACCCAAAACAACTTATTTTACATACGTTGCCTCGGTTACGCCGGGTACGTAACCAAACTGTGACCGTTTCAAAATGTTAACCACATAAGCTTTATTTTGAAAGTCTAACCAGAGTACGTATATTGATTGTCTGCCTACCTTCAGGTGTGATGGTGATACTGGTATTATATGAAACTAGATGGACTATTGGTACCAACCATGTGATGCTAAACAATAACACATTCGTTGCAGTCTTATGAATATGAACGTCTGTACAACATTTTATCTTCATCCGTTTGATAGTTGTTGTTGTTCAGATGCTAACTGTAGCTACGTAGCATCAGAACTCACTGGAACCAATTCTTTCTTCTTCGTCAGAGGTTATTTTAGAGACATCTCAATTCGCTGGAGTAGCGAGGATGCAAAGGTTTATTGTTCACTGAAGTGTTTTTGGTACCTGTGCCGTATAAAGGAGTCTCATGGAGGTGAGGAAAGGAAACAAGGATGTACAAACTAAGGACTGAGGAGGGGAAGCTCCTCTGGTTAACGTTCAGTTAAACACAAACACGTCCAGTTTCTCTTTGACCTGATGTTATTGTTAAAAGAGAAATGTTGAGTTTCCTCCTCAGACTTTTGTTGTGAAGTTGTTGCGGTTCAACCCAGAACCGGATTGAGTCCACAGAACATTTCTATTTGCTCTCTGCGAGGTTGAGTGTTTCTGTGTTTGCAGGCTGAATGATCTGAGTGTGTGCTGTCGGCAGAATATTAATGAGCTCAGTGTGATCTGTCAGACATACAGAGCAGCTCACACTGCCACTGCTGATCTGCACCAAACCTCCAGCAAAAACTTCACAATTCTTCCCCACCAGGACGAGTCACTAACACAAACTGCTCATTTCAACTTCCTGTTACAGCGTGAACAGCGCCTGTCCTCAGCCTCCGTTCGGATTAAATGAACCCTTTAACAGAGAATGAATGTGTTTCAGGAAGATCGACAGACGGATGCAAACAGGAGAAAGAGTACTGACCTATGCCCTGTATATACAGCATGACGTCTGTCCTTTATCCTGACAGCAACAATCACTGTTTTTCAACCAATTTTCTCTTTTTCTTTACAGATATTTTGCATTCAGTTTTAAAGTGTCACAAAGACAAAAACAACACTTGAATAAAAAGTAGAAATACTGATTCTTTACTCAGTAAAAGTTAAAAAGTACCGGCTCAGAAATGTAATCAAAGTAAAGTACTCTCTGGGTATTTTCTGAAGGACATTTCTACAAGCTTTCTGTGCAAAGCTAACTGACCCCTCAAACAGGATGGACACCCTCTCTGGTTGGTGATCCTCCAGGTTTTCGCTGCTTTTTCTGGGATTGTTGGGCCCAAAATTCCTGATTTCACAGCAGCTTGTCTAAAGAATTATGATGTTTTTAGAAATTGTTTTGCATTGAATTTGAGGGAGAAAAGTCCAAAAATAGTATAATTCATTAAAAACAAAGGCACCTGGTTCCAGGAGAATAAAATCTGTGGTAGTTTTGTGCAGGAAATTACACTGACTGCAGTGGATTACATTGGTTCAATCTGCTAAAAAGTTATAATTATGAGCTAATGACTCATACCTACAAGATAATAACTCAATACACATAATAGTTCAACGTACAAAACTAAAATAAATAGTTTGTTAATTTAAACTCATTTTCTGTTTGTTATCTGACAGGTTTGTGATGTTTTACTGCCTGAAACTTCTTAAATAACTACTGAATAAATACATTTCTATATATTTAATGTCTGCAGTGGGTTCAGCTGTTTATAATAGAAACTGAGTGTGCTCATAAACATTGTATTTATTTAAAATCGGGTGTTAGTTTTATTTTATTTGACTGTTTAAATCAAATTTATGTGCGTTATATCCTCCTTTACAGCGTGTCTTAATGCCTCTTTGTCACTGTGAGTTGTTGCTGTTGTTAAAAGGTGCTGTGCTGATGAACTCACTGTGTGTGATCAGCAGCTCACTGATTTATGACTCAGGTTTTAAAAGAAATTGGAGTGAATATAAATTCAGTCTGACGCTGACCGGAGGCCAGTGGGGGGAGGAAGAGGAGGAGGGTGTGAAGTGGTCGTGCAGCAGAATTATGAGCCGACTGTAATCTGCAGACTGGTTTTAAATACAGGACGTTCGAGGAGTGTGACAGTTACTTTGGTTACCTGGCTGAGAGGCTGCAGGTGTTCAGCTCTTCCTCTAACAGCTCGCTGTGGCTGCTCTTCTTCATCCATTCCTCCCTGACATATTTACAACTGGTCCACTGTCAGAAAATGTCCAGAATAACCGTTTGTTGTCTCGTTTTGTAGACATTTTAGATCAATTACAGTGGTCAGCATTGCATATGTCAACTTGTCTTTCTACAGTTAAATGCTTTTAGGTGCAGTGAGAAGGATTTAACTCTTAATGATGAGATAATAATTCACAATTACTAGATAATAACTGATAATTATGAGATAATAACTCATTAAATGCTTTAAAAGGTGCAGTGTGTAGGATTTAGTGGCCTCTAGGGATGGGATGATATGAAAATGTAATGTCACGATACTAATTTTCCCTTGTTGTCTTGAACACAGCCTGAGAACTGGAGTCCAGTTTAAGTCAATAGATCCTCTTTATCGTCCACCTGCAACCTCTGTGTCATTCTGCAGCAGTCAGGTGTGACATCATGATGATGTTGTGGCGCTCAGGTGTCAGTATCGGGGGAGTCTTCAGGCCGACACAACAGTCAGATATTGATCAGTCACTTAGTGCTCCCTCTCTGATCGATCAGACAGACAGAAGCTCTGCAGCTCTTCAGTAACACTTCATCCACTGACAGACATTAACATAAAATTACTGAGAACATTCAGATAAAGAAAAACATGACATATTCAAACATTAACGAAAGTAACGTTAATCTACATTGAGTTATAGTTTTCTTTTTTGTCACTGAAAAAGGTCATTAGAGAATATCTAAAGTACGGCTGCCACCAACTAAAGATTGTCGTAGTCGACTAGTCGTTGATCGTTTCTGATATTACTGTATTGATTATAATCTGTATAATCTGTTAAACACTAACAGAAACAGCAGTAATGAGTCTGAATGTGTCAGAACAAGCAGTAAGGAGACTGAACCTTTAGTTCATTTATTCCAACACAGTGTAACATCACACGAATAAATAACTTCCAACTTCACGGAAACTAATCCTGACTGATCGATATGATGGATGATGGATAACGTTAACAGTTACTGACTAATTAACTGGCTACAATCTGGCTCCTCTTCCTCTGTTTCATTCCTCTCCTGTTGCTGCCCGAACCTGCCGGGTCTTCATCCCCAGAGTCAGAGTCCTGGTCGGAGCCGCTGGACATCAGCCGGCCTCCGTCAGCCGCCCCGCTCCGGTTCTGTGACTCATTCGGGCCCCGCTCTGGTTCTGTGACAATCCTCTGATACTTTGGTCCCGGGGGACGATGAGCAGTTTTAATGTTGGTTTGGTTTTTCGGAGAGCCCCGCAGTCGCTCTCCACCCACTCAAGACCCAGTGCATGATGGGAAACTCCTGATCAAAGAGCTGATTTTCTGCGCGATTTTAATATTTAAGGTTTAATCTGTTACAAACAATCAGATGATCAAACAGGAAGTGAACATTTCTGTGACTTCCTGTTTGCTGCTGTCTCTCAGGGTGAGACCAACGGGAGGCAGATGGTTGTTGAACTCAGACACTTATATATACACGGTAGGATCAAACATTATGATCTATCTGTCTATGAATCTTTCATTGAGGTTTTCTCTTCCTGTCTGACCGTCAATCTAAGTGAAGCTCTCAGTATCTTCTCTCTCACTTTTAAATGCAGAGGGTGTCAGTTTGCTTTCAGAAAGAACTGAGATATAGATACTGGTAGATAATATTACAATCTGCTGTTTTTAATTTAAACTGTTTTTTCTCAGTGTATAAGCATTGGTAAACTGTCCAAATACAGTTGTTATCAGTGTAAACAGCAATAATTACTGTAATTTCACAGATAATGACTTTTATTACAGTTCTATAACTTTTAACATTCAGATTAAGAAAAATAAAATAATAACAGCACTCTGCTGTAAATGTAAGTCTGATTATTTGTATTATAGCAGAGTTTACCTGGATTTATTGACCACTGCATTGGTTTTACAGTGTAAATATCTTTAATTGAACATTAAAAAGACAAAAATACACAAGATTTTATGCAGAATTGAAGCTACTGTATTTAAATTATAGAAAATTACTGTATTTTATAAGTCTTTTTTTTTTATGTCCAGATGCCGAAATATCAGTAGTGTGTCATTTTATTTAAATGATACAATATTAACTCCTAATTATAAAAAACAATGATGTCTAAATACTAACTCTATTAACAAGCAAGAAACATCTTTAATTGTCAGTTAATCAACTGTTTTCTCAATTAATCGATTTCATGTCGGCAAACAAAATAGTGAAATAAATCTCAGTTGACGTCTTGACAAAGAAATTCAGTTTCCTGCGATAGAAAACAGAAAATCTGCGTCGTTTATTGGAGTGTTTGATTGATCAGCGTCTCATTAATGTTAATGCTCGCACACCCGTCGTACGGTTGATGTTTGCTGTTTGATTTGTGTTTTGAGATGCAGAACTCCCCCCTGTTAAGATTTTATTGGACTAATTGCAGAGATGATGGCGAGCAGGTAATCGTACGCTGAGCAATCTCCCAAGAGTCCCGCCGGTTTCCGGTTAAACGGCGTCTTGATGCTGCTGATTGATGAAGGCCCATTCGGGAGGAAGCTGAAAGCTAATGGAGCTGCAGCAGCTAATTTATGACAACATTAACACAAAGGGGGGTGGGGGGGTAATAAGAGACAGGAAACTGCTGCTGATGGTGATGAAGAGGAGGAGGATGATGAGGGTTTCAGTCATGATTGACAGGAGGTCCTTCCAGAGAAACGCTGATCAACAGTCTCACATTAGCCACTGTAGCTCCTTTACCTCAAACAAGCTACCAACTGATCAGGAATTTAAGGATTTTTTAGGCCATACAATGAAAATAAATTATTTATCTGTACAGTTTGTGCTGAAACAAACATGACATTTTAGAGAAGAAGCAATAAAACACAGAATAATTTGAATTAAAACAGTAAAACCTTTGTAACTAACAGCTTCCCTGCGAGGAACTATTCGGATAAAGTACACAAGTAAAAATGTACCAGCATATAAAAGCTACTCAGGTCAACACAGAACCAGCTTCACTTCACTGCTTTTCTCTCTCTGTGTTTATTTTCAGAGTGTTTAAGAAAGCCAGTCCCAATGGAAAGGTGAGTCCTCTTTTTCTTCAACCTGCTGAAAAACCTGGCTCACATTAAAGTATGTGACCTCCTGGATGTGTAGACACCAAGCAAACTTAAAAAAACACAACAGCTGAACAAAAGAAGTAAAATAATCTGTAAATACAAGAAAAAGCTGTTTGTTGATTCTGATTGGCTGATCTGACTGCTGTGTTCCTCCCTCAGCTCACTGTCTATTTGGGGAAGAGAGACTTTGTGGACCACGTGGACCTGGTGGAGCCTGTTGGTGAGATCAGTTTTTACTAATATTAATTATTGAAGGTCATATTGTTATTGGGTAGTCTTTATTTCAGTTTGGGGTTAGGTTAAAATCTGAATAAAAACCTGCTGTCTTCTGTTTATCCACTTTCTGACTTTTCTTCCTGCAGACGGCGTCGTCCTGATCGACCCGGAGTACCTGAAGGAGAGGAAAGGTAAGAAATCTTTGAATGCTCCTTTTAGTCTATGTAACTTTTATTAGAAAGAACAGAGGCCCCATGGCGCTTCCCTGAGGAACTCCCCAACCCTTTGAAGCTGGGCAGAACAAGAGGCTGTTTTAAGTCGGTATAGCTATAGTAAGAGAACCACATAGGATTATATATTCTCACTTAGATCACGTATGAAAATCTTAATACAAAAATTCCAAGAAAATATACTGTGTGTGTGAGCTCGCTATTTCATTTCCTTGCTGGGAGCTAAAGTCCAGATTTCCTCTTTCGCTTCTCCTGTGGAATCCCTCAGGGTTCTGTATTCGAACCGATCATTTTCTCTGTTTATATGCTCCTGTTAGGACACATTAACCCAAAACACAGTTTCTTTTTTCACTGTTACACTGATGACACCCAGATCTATTCACCCCTACAGCGTGATAACTAATAATAAACAGCGTTTACAGATACCTTAAAGCGAGTTGTGTTTCAGGTCTAATAAATTACGTGGTATGGTATCAGTACACAGACACACATGTTTGCCAGTATAGGAGGAGTTTTAGTAAATCCTTTTATCATCTGTCTTCAGAGATCAGTTTCATTTCTGTGTCCAGTCCAGAGAAAGGTCCAGGATGTTTTTAGCCTAGCTTAGCTTAACACAAATACTGAAAACAGCTCCACAACAATATTTACAGAAGTTAATGATCGTGTATCAGGATGTGATTCTGTGTTGTTTTTGTTCCCATCAGTGTTTGTGACTCTGACCTGTGCGTTCCGTTACGGTCGCGAGGATCTGGACGTCCTCGGGTTGACGTTTCGGAAAGACCTGTTTGTGGCGAACGTCCAGGCGTTCCCTCCACTCCCCGAAGAGAAGAGTCTGACTCGTCTTCAAGAACGCCTGATTAAAAAACTGGGAGAACACGCCCACCCGTTCACTTTCGAGGTACTGAGCCTGCCAGACATGTTGAGTGACCATTCATTTATTGATTAATCATCATCAAGAGCCATCCAGCATGATTAACCTTCATGAGGTACTTGTTGCCCCTGAATTTGCCTGTCAGGCAGCCGTTTGTGTGTTTTCAGTTTATTTCTCATGTTTTTATTGTATTATTAGTTTTTTTAGTGTAACTTCAGTTTGTTTTTAATGTATTTGTCTTGTTTTTAGTGTATTTTTCGTGTTTTTAGTGTATTATTTCGTCCTTTTCATAAATGCAATAGTCAGTCACTTGTCTTGAGAAAAATATTTACCTATCATTTTGCAGCTTTTTAAAGATATGTTTTCCTTTGTGTGTTTTCAGATTCCTCTAAATCTGCCGTGCTCTGTCACCCTGCAACCGGGCCCAGAGGACACTGGGAAGGTAAAGACTTTAACTTCTTTTTCATAGTCTGCAGCTCCTCCAGCAGCAGGTTTAGGGTTAAATGCTTTCCTCCAGGGCGCCATGTTTATCTATCTGAGCTGTAAAAGTAGTCAAAGAGGTTAACATATGAACTGTTCTTGCTGTTGTGTCTTCAGGCCTGTGGAGTCGACTTTGAGGTGAAAGCTTTCTGTGCAGAAAATGTTGAAGAAAAGATCCATAAAAGGTAAAAGTGATCTGCTGCAGAGAGAGATGAATTATGAATGAAAGTGAAATCACTCGTGCATTAGCAGCTTCCTGCACACAGAGAGGAACGCTGCTGACATAATCCAGAGTCGTAGCATCAGTGTTGTTGTTGTTGTTGTTGTTGTCGTTGCAGGAACTCAGTGCGTCTGGTGATCCGGAAGGTTCAGTATGCTCCAGAGAAACCTGGTCCTCAGCCCACAGCAGAGACCACCAGACAGTTCCTGATGTCGGACAAACCTCTGCACCTGGAGGCCTCTCTGGACAAAGAGGTGACAGAGAGAGCTAAACAGACAGAAAGCAACCGACACACCTGACCCATCCATACACACCTGACCATCCATACACACCTGACCATCCATACACACCTGACCCATCCATACACACCTGACCCATCCATACACACCTGACCCATCCATACACACCTGACCCATCCATACACACCTGACCATCCATACACACCTGACCCATCCATACACACCTGACCCATCCATACACACCTGACCATCCATACACACCGACCCATCCATACACACCTGACCCATCCATACACACCTGACCATCCATACACACCTGACCCATCCAACACACCTGACCCATCCATACACACCTGACCCATCCATACACACCTGACCATCCATACACACCTGACCCATCCATACACACCTGACCATCCATACACACCTGACCCATCCATACACACCTGACCATCCATACACACCTGAGCCATCCATACACACCTGACCCATCCATACACACCTGAACCATCCACACACACTTCTGCTTGCCTGGTGTATTTTTCATGGCTTTAGTGTATTCTTAGTGTGTTTTTTTTGTTTCATTGAGCTGGACGGACTCACCGAGAATGAGCTGTCAATCACAAGGTAGCCCCGCCCTAAAGCATACCCTGCTTTATGGTCTATTTTACTCTAAATGGGACCATCAGTTACTAAATGAACATCATGCTGTATGGAAGAAGACTGAAACTAGAGACTGAGACCAGAAACTCATCAGGAAACTGTTTACTGAGCTCATAAATTCTCTATAAGACTCAATAAATAATCATTTCCCCCTGGGATTATTAATGTATTTCTGATTCTGAATACTATCAGAGTGGAGCTGCCCCCTGTTGGCTGTTAAAGAGAATGCAGGTTTAAGACACTTCCGTGTTGGGTTTACTTCACAGACCTGGCAGCTAAAGTCTGGCTCAGCAAAAGAGGTCAAAAGGTTTGTCGCTCGTGCTCATTTAGCCTGGCCTGGTGTCGGTCGATGAACTGACTATCAGTAGAAAACCACACAGCAGTCTAAATATAACTCCATCTAGTAGAACAGAACAGGAAGTACAGACAATCCTAAGATACAGATTTAAACTAAATGATCATTGATATCTGCTTACAACCTGATCATTAAATGTGTTATCCTTTAAGATAAAGGTAATTATAAAATTATCTCTGTGTATCTGCCTGTTGTATTAGATCTATTATCACGGGGAGCCAATCAGCGTCAACGTTCACGTCACCAACAACACCAACAAGACGGTGAAGAAGATGAAAATCTCAGGTACCTCAGAGCAGCTGTCCTCTCTCTCTGTGTCGCACTCGTGTTACTGATCACTGGTTTGTGTTTCCGCAGTGCGACAGTACGCAGATATCTGCCTCTTCAACACAGCTCAGTACAAATGTCCTGTGGCCACCGAGGAGTCAGAGTGAGTCTAATTTCAATACGTTCTCTTCACAAGGTCCATTCAGGTCCATCGAGTTCACTCAGCTGAATAGATTAAATTGTAGATGTTCAGGGCTAATAAATTAGGTGGTATCGGATCAGTACACAGGCACAAACGTTGTTGGAGGAGTTTCAGAACCATCTTAGTAAGGATTCTTCAATGAGTGACTTTTTGAGGAAATATTTAGGATTGATCAGAGGTCCATAAAGTGCTAAAATAATTGTTTCAAGTGAATCAAGTTTAAGGATTTGGTTGACAAAATTACCACAAAGATATTTTCTGTCCTCAGTGACGTGGTTGCTCCCAGTTCGACTTTCTGCAAAGTTTTCACTCTCACTCCGTTCCTGGCCAACAACCGAGAGAAACGAGGCCTCGCTCTGGATGGAAAACTGAAGCACGAGGACACCAACCTGGCCTCAAGCACACTGTGAGTCCCATGGCACTCGTGATGCCTTCCAGGGCCTGTAAGAAAAAACAGAAGTGCGAGTTGCCCTTCATGTCAGAACTGGACAATTTGAGAGTAAACATGAGGAGAGAGACGGGCAGGCTGGAATTGAACCGCCAATCCTGTGGTTACGTAGCATGAGTAGAAATCATTGAGCTACTAAAGCACCATTGTTTGTATAATTATAAATTCATTCATTAATTAACCAGTAACCGTCAATCTACATTTGGCACACGAGTGTCATGATAAGTTAGGTTGCACCTACTACGTAACCAAACCCTACTTCCTCCACTTCCTTATTACTGTTAATACTGTTACTGTTCTGTAATTATGTTCAATTACAGAACAAATAATAATACTACTTTGTTTTCTGTTAATTGTAATTAATTGTACATAATGATCTGCTGAGAGCTGAAATGACTCGATTTCTCAGACTGAATATCTATATCCTGTCTTAGGTTAAGAGAAGGAGCCAATAAAGAGATCCTCGGCATTATCGTGTCGTACAAGGTCAAAGTGAAGCTGGTCGTGTCCCGAGGCGGGTCAGTACACTCTGCTTTGTGTTTACCTCAACGTATAATCAGCTGAGCTTTACAGTCCAACTGAATTCATTATAACAACCTCTGTGAGTCCGTGCGTTACTCTGACTGGTCCGTGTATGTTTTGGTCATTGGATGTTCCTTTCAGAAACGGGTATTAAAAACAGAAAACGAGTGGTCATTTGATTTTCGTTTTAAAATACAAAAATTCAAATTGAAATACAAGGCGTTTTTCTTTTTCATGGTCAGAAAGGGATGGGCGAAATTAAAAAATTATTCGATTTTCATTTTCTATTTCATATAACAAAAAATAAAATCACTAGAAAACAGAAACAGAAAAAAGGCCTGTTGTTTCATATTCTGAGACCGGATGTTGTCATTTACAGGACGGTGCTGTGGAGAAGAAACAGTAGGCTAGTAGACTGCGGTCAATCCAGCCGTGAGTCCGATCTCCGTGGTCAAATCAGCCGCACTTAAATTTAGAGGGTACAAGTATTCTCAGCATTATGGTAAATGCGGAGAAACAACGTATTTACTTCCGGTTTTCAAAATAAAGGTATTTAGAACAGTAAGCTATAATTAAAATATGTTACATTAAAGTGTTTCATGCGCCCCTGATGAACAAAAAACACTTTATATCAAGTATCTTTACTGCACCAGTGGGGAGAAATGCCAAAATAAAAGTCTCATATTTATGCCTCCAGAGATTGCATATTTGACCATATTTGAGGTACTGTAAAAACATATTGCTCAGTGTTTCCTGGCTACTGATGGTATATTTGACTTTTACACATCTAAGACTACAAAAATACTTAATATCAAGCATTTTTACTGCACCAATTTGGAGAAATTGAAGAATAAAAGTCCCATATTTATACTTCCAGATTCCATATGGATATTATTGAGCAAAGTGTTTTTACAGTAGCTCAAATATATGAAAATACCACTTGGAGGTACAAATATGGACTTTTATTGTTGAATTTCTCCAAATTGGTACAGTAAAAATGCTTGATATTAAATATGTTTGTAGTCTCATATGTGTAGAAGTCAAATATACCATCAGTAGCCAGGAAACACTGAGCAATATGTTTTTACAGTATCTCAAATATGGTCAAATATGCAATCTCTGGAGGCATAAATATGAGGCTTTTATTTTGGCATTTCTCCACACTGGTGCAGTAAAGATACTTGATATAAAGTGGTTTTTATTCATCAGGGGCATGAAACACTTTAATGTAACATATTTTAATTATAGCTTACGGCTCTAAATACCTTTATTTTGAAAACCGGAAGTAAATACGCTGTTTCTCCGCATTTACCATAATGCTGAGAATACTTGTACCCTCTAAATTTAAGTGCGGCTGATTTGACCACGGAGATCGGACTCACGGCTGGATTGACCGCAGTCTACTAGTCTACTGTTTCTTCTCCACAGCACCGTCCTGTAAATGACAACATCCGGTCTCAGAATATGAAACAACAGGCCTTTTTTCTGTTTCTGTTTTCTAGTGATTTTATTTTTTGTTATATGAAATAGAAAATGAAAATCGAATCATTTTTTTAATTTCGCTCATCCCTTTCTGACCATGAAAAAGAAAAACGCCTTGTATTTCAATTTTCATTTTTGTATTTTAAAACGAAAATCAAATAACCACTCGTTTTCTGTTTTTAATACCCGTTTCTGAAAGGAAAATCCAATGACCAAAACATACACGGACCCTGACTGTACGTTTCGCCTCTGACTGTACGTTTCGCCTCTGACTGTACGTTTCGCCTCTGACTGTACGTTTCGCCTCGATTCACCCGATCTTCAGACCTAACTGGGGTCCAGAGTTTTTTGCTCGCTATATTTTGTTGACTTGATGATTTTTGATATTTTTTTCTTCTAGTCAAATGATTCCTTTTTTCTATGTTTTTTTCTGTGGAGAACGGCCACAATCAGCTGGAACACTTTATAGCTACCCTGTACACTCATTCGTGACTCTGCGTTATTCCATGGTTTTGACCGCCATGTTCCAGGTGGCCGTGGCGCGTTCCACTTGCGGTGCGGTCAGAAAGAGTAGATTTCAGTTTGACTTTAAAGCTCAGTTTCAGTGTGTTGTGCGCTCAGTCTCTGTTGATCCCTCCAGCCATCCATCACTGCAGACAGTGGCTGTTATTGTAGTTCTGTAGTTCATTGTAGTTTGCTCGCTGTTTGGAAACGAAATAGCGTGATTCATCCTGACATTTGGATGCTCTGATTCTAAATCTCGTCCCTCCTGCGAGTGAAAGTGGACGGCGGGTTGAACAGAAACAGATCACACAGCCGGCCTTTAGCGGCTCTGTGACACCACAAGTGTTAATGATCAGTAGAAGTGCTGCTGCTGAGACACTGAAGCTGTTAAATGTTTATTGATTTCAGGCTCCTGGGAGATCTGGCGGCGAGGTAACCTTTCACGTTATGTCACGTCACTGAGATCATCGATGAACACACTGATACAAACCACACACTGAGATATACACTGACTGTGTGTAATAGAGCTGCTGTGGATCGCCTGTAATGCAGATAATGATTTGTTTTCCAGCGACGTCTCTGTCGAGCTTCCTTTCACATTAATGCACCCGAAGCCGTTAGAAGAGTCCATCTACAGAGACGGTGAGTTCAGGTCCCTGCAGTCTGTAAATGACTCCGTTCATGTCCTGATACAACCGGCTGCCTCAGATCAGTTTGGATGTTAGTAAATGGTTTTCATACATTATGGGGTGGTTGTGGTGGACGACCGTAGGGCTTTAAATCTCTGCCCGAACCCGATTAATGATGCATTCATTTGATATTTATTAGTTTTAATAATAATTTAGCTTGTACTAAAGTATTTAAATGATTTATTTATCTATCTTAAGGTAAATTCGGGTCGGTTTCGGGCCCCAGACTGCTTCCGTGATTTGGGCTCACACACAAAGTCTGATTTTTCGTGCCCGATCAAAACTTTTCATATTAGTCTGCTGTTAGCTTCAGAGAACTAAAGCACTGTGGGTAATGTTAATGAAAGATTGTGGGTTACATTAAATGCATGCTACGTAATCAGGATATAGAAAAGGTAACTGTAATCCATTACAGTTATAAAAAAAGATGTAATCAGATTACAGTTGGATTATTAGCATTTATTATTATACAGTTTTAAAATACAACAGTTTGTCTTTAAAGTCCAGGTAAAACTGCAATCAGAGCGCTGTTAGCTTCCTCATATTTATGTATTTCATGTAAAATCAGGCAGTTAGGGAACCGTAGCAAGTACTGCTGTGTGTTCACGATCAACAGAAGCAGCACAGTTTATTTCTGTTCAGCTCAGTTCAAATTATACAATAATTATGCTGTTGTATATTTGAAGTTCTGGTTTCCCACCACAGAAATATGACCCATAATGCACTTTGTCCTCTTTGGTTAGATAATCTGAGGGATCAAATGTCTGCAAGTTGATTTTTAAAGAAATGAAACCAATCGCTGCCTGTTACAAATAGAAATCACTGTAAAAACTAAAGGTGAAATACAGTAAAATAACAGGAAATAACTATTTTCTATAATGAAAATACAGTTTTTAGCTTCCATTTTACATAAAATCTTGTGTCACTTATTGTCTCTTTAATGTTTAATTAAAGATATTTACAGTGTAAAACAATGATCTATAAATCCAGGTGAACTCTGCTATAATACAATAATCAGACTTACATTTCCAGCAGAGTGCTGTTATTATTGGATTGTTATTATTTTAATATGAATGTTAAAAGTTATAGAAGTGTAATAAAGTCATTATCTGTGAGATTACAGTAATTATTGCTGTTTACACTGATAACAACTGTATTTGGACAGTTTACCAATGCTTATACACTGATAAACAACATTTATTCAACTTCCATCATTATACAACATATCTGTCAGTTAACAAACAAAATTACACAACTAATACTTTTTACTGTTAATGTCACTAATTTTATAAATGCATTAACAGTATTAAACTTGAAACTAATTGTTTAATCTATTAAATAAAAAGCAAATATCTGTGAAAAATTATAGATTTGCAAAATTTATTTTAATCTTTTCTTTAAATAAGCAGTGATTTTATGATTATTTAAAGTTACAGATGTAAATTCACAGGATATTTGTCATTTTATTTATATTTCTATGTATTTAAAAAAGTGAAAAAGTGATTAGTCTGTTGGTCTTTAAATGCCTCACTGATGTGTTCAGTGTCTAACCCTGCCCCTCTCTCTCTCTCTCTCTCTCTCTCTCTCTCTCTCTGCAGCTCCAGATGAAGCTCAGATCGACACAAACTTGATTGAGTTTGACACAAAGTGAGCATCCGTCTCTCTTCCTCTCTGTCTGTCTGTCTGTCTGTCTGTCTGTCTGTCTGTCTGTCTGTCTGTCTGTCCTCATCCTCATCAGCTCTCCTCACAGCCTCGTCAATAACCCTGACAGCAGAGAGGGTTTCCTCTCCGCCTGCTGAAGCATTAACTGTGATGGACTCGTCTCCTGAGTCTGAGCCTTAATGCGTCTTAATGCCCGCTGCTGTGCGAGCTGCAGGAAATGGGCTGTAAACTGGAAACTCATCCTGCTGTCAGCAGAGCCGCAGAAAACCACTCAAACAGCAACTCTGCATTTTACAGCTCATTATTCCACGCTCCTGTAAGCACCCATTAACAGCAGATATGAATTTATTCACCAGCTGCAGAGGTTACAACAGGAAAGGACTCAGAAATAAGAGCACACCAACTCTTATTTTGTAGTTTAAAGACAAAGAGATGAAATAATTCCATTTCTTAATTATCTGTGAGCACATCCTGGTGCTGGAAATCAAATCTGAAAGAATGACTCTACACTTCACCATGACATATAATGATTACAACCCTTCAGAAATCTTATTTTCTTAATTGTTTTTTAATTTTATATTTTTAATTTAGACATAAAATAATTTTTTTTAATCGGAAATTAACAATATTTTAGCTAAAATACACATTTCATTTGTCTTTGAAAAAAGTCACATCATCTACAGGAAGTAGCTTCATACATGAGAACAGCTATACGTCACTTTGTTGTCTGCAGAATGACAGCGCCCCCTTTAGGGTGAAACAAGCACTGTAAAAGTGCTCAGTGAAAACAGTCTCACTGATGGTGGAAATAAAGGGTTTACTTCCTTAAAACAGCCGTTTTTTGAATGGAGTTTGGTGTGACAGTGTGGAGCAGAGGGGATTTGAACCTTAATAATTCCCATAAACTGAGCTGACCTACCTTCTAATAATGAACCCTGTAAAAAGCAGACAGTAACAGGAAGTGGAGATAAACCCTCCTGTTTTCTTCTTCTGTGGTATTAAAAGGTAGTTTACAGTAATACACAGTTAATACGGTCGCTGTATCTGTCATCAATACTGATTATTGATCAGCAATAACACAAAATCATTGTCTGTTTCTGATCGTATTGTCAGTCCTGTTACTGTTAATTATATGTAACATTATTATATATATTTTAAATGTAGCTTTGGTAAACCACCTGCAGGTGCTCAGTGCTCTCATTCTATTAGAATTAATGCTAATGTGGCTACATTTAATCTATTTGCTAAAATGTGGCAAAAAACTCTTTCAGTCCTTTTACCAAATGTTCGAAATCTTCCATTTTTGGGAAGAGAAAGTAGAAAGTATGAGTGAGTTCAGAGGGGCAGTGTCGGGCTGTGCTGTTCAGAGGATGAAGAACGACACGCTGTCAGATGGATTTATCACATATACATCAGGATACTTGTTAGCTGACACATTCAGTCAGTGTGTGAACTCTACCAAGACTTTCAGGGGCGCTCACTGTTTCTACTGTTAGGGTGGAAACATTGTCTGATATTGACCAACTGTTGTAGTTTCCTGCACAAAATGTTAAGTCGTGCGTCACCAAACTCACTTCCTCGTTTTCTAATGTTGCGACATGAACGTCTCACACGGACCCTCCCAAAATTTTAGGCTGCAACAATCCCAAAGAAAGCCAGCTAAATTCTGGAGGGGTTGACATTGTCAGTATTTTAGAGACCTCCCACAGTTTCACAGATCATGTTTTCAGGCGAGCTCAACTGCCCCTGGATCCTCTGCAGTTCAGTCCCTGCACTCACTGCTGGAGTCTGTGAAACAGAACCTAAACAGACTGATGTGTAAGATGAAGATGGAGTTTCCTTTTCTAGATTTTTATTGAATTGAGGCGTCATTGGAAGGTGGATCTGTTCTCTTTTAAAGAGGCTAAAGGCTAAAGCTAATCTCTGAAACTGATCCTCTCCTGTGACTGTGGAAACCTAATCTACAGACTTCTTCCCTCCTGTGGCTCCACACGTTTCTATCTGCTCGCCGCTGCGTCCCGCCTTCATCTCAAACATTTTCTTTCTGTTTCTTTGATGTTTTGTTCTGAATTAACTCCCACAACTCTCCCTCCTTTCCCTCAGCGACGACGACATCATCTTCGAAGACTTTGCCCGCCAGCGGCTGATCGGGGCGAAGGACGACAAGGACGAAGACGAGGAGCCGGTGGACTCGCCCAAACTCAACGACAGATAGAGGCACCGGGCGTCGCCTGCCGCCACTGCTGCTGTTGTTGTTTCGCTGCTGTTTGTAGTGTGGAGCTAACGGAGGTCACCTTTAGGTCAAACCACAGTCTGGACACCCTTTAAACACTCGGTGGTGCCGTGTTTGTGTTCTCGTTTATGTTCGTCCTCTCATTGCGTCCTGCCGGGGTGTAAAAAGCTAGAGTACCACAGCCTAGTTGTGTTTTCAGACGGAGCAGCTCGCCGCTCCGGAGACTTGAACCGGCGACCGCGGCATCGTAATGACGGCTGGTAGCATGCCTCTAATGTCACTTTGTTCTATGTGTTTCCATTAGGGACCGAACAGGAGTAACGTTGTGTTGAGATTAGTTTCGATGTGTCGTATCAGAGGGTCTTCATAAACAACAATACTGCCAACTTTGGTTGATCTGGAACAGTTTGCCACTCGAGCCACGACGACACGGCCTTTGGCTGATGGAGGTTTTTCGTTAACGGTCGGTCTGAAGCTGCAGAGCGTGAAGAAACACCGGAGGAAGGACGTCCCAACCTGTCGAGAGGACCTGAAACTGTCAGAGGGAGCCACCAGTCGGTTGAGGAACTGGTGGCCCAGTTTGCATGAAGTGCATCAATACTTTATTTGATTTATTAATGTCATGAATAATCAACCTTTATAGAGGATTTTAAAGGAGCATAAAAGAGTTTGTTGTTGATCATTTTCCAAATCGTCAGCTGCTGGTTTCTCTTCATTTCTATGAAAATCTTCTTGAAGAGGAGACAACCAGAAACGCATCAGCAAAAAAATTTCCCTGACGGCCGTGCACTCCTATCTTGTTATTCTTACGTTTTTTGGGGCGAGTAAAAGTTAAAACACTCTCAACTATTCGCACCGTTCATGAGTGTCACAGATGAAACTGTAAAACCAGATGAGTTAATTACACTCAAAACATTTTGTGAAACTGATTACAACAAAAATCTTAAGACTAACCCCGTTTTGTCAGTAAAAAAAACATTGTTGATCAAGTAGCTTTAGTCATTTTAGGTGACTTAATTTTGTAATCATATTGTTTAAAAAAAAAAACGATTAAAAAGAACTTAATCAAAGATGTTATTTAACTTGCAAAATTGGGTTTGTGTTACTTAAGAATTTTTATATAATCTGTTTATCTCATTCGAGTGGATTATTAAACATCAAAACTCTGATGACATGAACACAAGCTGTACTGCAAGAATCAGGGAGAAGAAAACACTGAATTGGTCAAAAAATAAGTCTATGAAGTCTGTATGATTGTTAAAAATGTAATAAATAACATAATAAACAGAGGATTGTATAAAAGGTTTCTATCAGAAAAACTCATCTCTGATCAATATTCACAGGAAATAATCAATATTAAAATTCATTTGTTTTACACAAACTTCCTACAGTTACTGAGTTCACTGTTTGGGTTGTACAGTTGATCAGGTATATAATATGAAATATGCATAAAATATGTCACAGTTTACTCAATGATAGCGTCCCTTAAGGAAAAAGGTTGGGAACCAGTTGAATTCAAGGGCGTAACCATGGCGGCACCAAATCAGAGCCCTCCGACATTTCCCACAATTCTTTGATACTAATGAAAATCTGGACATTTAGAACGATTTTTATAGAAGGAAGGAAATCAGTTTAAAAACTGATGGATGATTCAGGAAATGATCAGCAGGGATGTGATGTAAACAGGATGTGTTATAACAGTTTTAAAAAAAATGCAAAAAACACCAGTATGGTCCTTTAATGAGCATTTATTCATGTGAAGTGTCAGGAGAGATTAATACAGTGTGTAATTACTGAACATTTATTTCACAAAATGAATTATTAATTTGAACATTCAAAGTAAAACTGTCAGAAACGTCAATGTACAGTTGTGTTACTGTGTGTGTGTGTGTGTGTGTGTGTGTGTGTGTGTGTGTGTGTGTGTGTGTGGACAGACTGAATGAACCTGTTTGGGGTTTTTTCACAACAACACAACATCACAGGATAACGATCAAAAACCCCCAAAACATTTTTATTATTTGTAACAATATTTGAATTGGCTTTTATTTTGACAGGCCCAGGAGGAAACCTGTATATTCCACTGCATCTTTAATAAAAGGACGTTTGTGGCAACCTGTGTGCGTTTTTGGGTTGTGATGGATAATAATAATGACACATCGGCCAAACGGTGCAACATAATCCACTGTTTCTGATAAAGAGCCCCTAAAGGTGTCTCTCAAAGAATTGATCCTTCCTAAGCCCCGCCCCTTTTGGCTCTGTGCTCCAATAACAGTTGAGCAAACCTCGGTCATCTTCCTCCTTCCCTTTACTTAGATATGCTATGTGCTAGCTAACTAATGATTCTGGTTACTTAGCTTTCTGTGTTCCCAGATGAATTTTTTTTACATTTTTTATTGCAGTTAATCTATAGTGACAGGAAATCCAATCCAATCCAATCCACTCTATTTATATAGCACGATTTTAACAAACACAAGGTTTCCATTCACTGTTATTTGTATAGCGCCAATTCATAACAGAAGTTATCTCAGGACACTTTTCAAATAGAGCAGGTCTAGACCGAACTCTTTATAACATTAACTACAGAGACCCAACAGTACCACCATGAGCAAGACCTTGGAGACAAGGGCAAGGAAAAACTGCCTGTTAAAAGGCAGAAACCTAGGACAGATCCTCCGGCTCTAGGTGGGTGGTCGTCTGTCTCGACCAGTTGGGGTGAGAGAGAGAGAGAGAGAGAGAGAGAGAGACAGACAGACAGGTGCACAGCAACAACAGTATTGGCAATGGCAGTCAAGCAGGACCATGGCAGGAGGCTCCACCAGGATCCATGAGAACCTGCGAGATGAGAAAGCACAAGAACTCCGGGGAAGAAGTGAAGTTAGTAACATGCATTAATGGAACATGAATGAGTGCAGAAAGACAGAGGAAGAGATTAACAGAGAACATAGATAACACAATAGAAACACAATAGAAAGATGAATTACACATTAGAAAAATAAAAGCAATAAAATAAATAATTAAAATAAATAAAATGCACTGCCCGCACACGATAAAATATGCATGTATACACATAAAATCAACGCTCTACATGATGTCAAAAGCCAAAGAAAAGAGGTGGGTTTTAAAATGAGACAGAGAGGAGGCCTGTCTAATGTGCAGCGGCAATCCATTCCAAAGTTTAGGAGCTGCAACAGCAAACGATCGATCCCCTCTGAGCTTAAGCCTAGCTTTAGGTACTGTCAGGAGCAGCTGGTCAGCTGACCTGAGAGATCGCTTGGGAGTGTAGGGGTGCAGCAGCTCAGAGAGGTAAGATGGGGCACGGCCATTCAAGGCTTTAAAAGCAAATAAAAGGACTGGCAGCCAGTGGAGTGCAGCTAAAATAGGTGAAATGTGGTCATACTTTCTTGAGCCAGTGAGGGGGATGACACACAGTGCAGAGCCGGCCTCACACCGGGCACCAGTCCTAACAGGTGAGCTACCCGGGCATCACCAACTGCAGTATTCCAGACAACTGGATTTGTCAAGCTTGAATACATTTTCCAACGAGAATATCGCAGTCCCCTTCAGTGCTCTTTTGCCTCTTTGATAAGCAGATAAATATAAATAAAACTCTGTGAACCTCTGCATTGCTTTGGTTTGCGGTTTCCCAAATGACGTAAAGCAATGAAGCTCGGACTCTAGGGTTTTGAACCGTAAGTACTTCTGTATCTTTGTCTTCCATGTCCCTTTAGGCCTGTAGAATTTAGGGCTTCTGTTTCTACCTTAGAAACCATCCATTCAGATTTTATTTAACTGATTCTGCAAATATTTAAGCAAAATACACATGAATACTGATCCTGATTTATCTAATATTTTAAAGTGATTATAATATTGATGATGACTACATTTAAAACTAAACAAGAAAAGAATCTGGCATGTGAGAGACATTGAAATGACTCCTGACTGTTACTTTGAATTTATTTACTCAATTATTCATTTTACAGACCAGGAGGCTCTTAAGAAGGAAAAGTAGATCAGTAAATATGAGGTAATGTAAGAGAATATAATGTGTCCATATAAAATATAGAGACATGCTGACATCACAAACAGATCAATGAATGTTTTTTAATTTAGAGCAGACTCTGTCACGTTGTCCTTTTACAGCAGGAGAAACTTTCACCCTCACTATCGTCTGCACTTTGAGTTTGAAAATCCTAAGAAAGCCGTTCCTAATCTCTTTAGTCCGGACACCGTAGATGATGGGGTTGACTGTCGCTGGGAACAGAATGTACATGAGTCCCATGAAGGTGTTGACGTCCGTCGGGATGGGGATGTTCAGGTTGTGAGAGAGAAACGTGACGCTGCCCACCAGGTAGAAACACATCATGACGATCAGGTGAGTGCCGCAGGTGTGAAACGCCTTCCAGCGGTCCTCGTCAGCAGCCGCCGTTCGCAGGACAACACTCAGGATCTTCATGTAGGAGAAGAAGATGAGCGGTATGTCCACGCCCACAAAGCAGACGATCACAGCGAGGCCGGCCGCGCTGTTTTTCTCCGTGCTGTCACATGCCAGGCTGACCAGTGCCATGTGGTCACAGTAGCAGTGCTGGATCGTGTTGGAGTTGCAGAACCACAGCGACCCCGCCAAACCGACCAGCACCGCCATGATGGTGCCGCTGCGGACCAAAGTGAAGAGCAGCAGCTTCACAAACATGGAGGAGTCAACGATTTTGGCATAGCGCAGTGGGTGGCAGATGGCCACGTAGCGGTCCAGCGCCATCACCAGCAGCAGCGTTGACTCCAGCGAGGACAGGAAGTGAGTGAAGAACATCTGCGTCAAGCAGCCAGCCAATGAGATCTCGTCCCTGTCGAACAGCAGGCTGAAGAGCATGTTGGGGATGATGGCGGTGACCACGAGGACGTCCACGACACACAGTGTGCAGATCAGGAGGAACATGGGGCTGTGCAGACTCTCCACGCTGCGGATCACGTACACCAGCAAGGAGTTTCCCAGCAGCACCAACAGGTAGGAGACGGAGAATGGCAGTGCCAGCAGCCGGCGGTGTTTCTGCAGTTCAGGAAATCCTCTGAACACGAAGCTGCTGTGGGAGAAGTTCCTGCCAAGCGACGCCTCCAACATGGTGCCAGCTTCACCTGAACAGTCAAATGAAAATGAAAGTGAACTGTGTATTTAAGGCAACAGGCCTCGCGCAAGAAGCGATTTACGAACACATTTTCTCTTAGTATTGTTGGTATCCATGATTTGTTCTTGTGTAGTTGGCACCCATTGATTTCTGGGAATGTTTTCTTATTTTTGCTCTTTTCAGAGGTCAGAAAACATTTGCACTCGTACCAATACAATGACAAAATATCTTTTCATTTCACAAACCGTCCAACGCAAGAAACATTTTACATTTGAGGAATGTAAAAAAATAAAAAAGTAAAATAAGAAAACAGTAATTATAGTGATTGGATTATTCAACGTATGGGCTAAAGAAATACTATTGATCCCTATTAAAGTATTAAAAACCTTTTTTGGTGTTTTGTTGTATCGGACTGATGAATCTCTGCTTTTAGATTCGTGCAGCTGCTGTACTACAGTTACTGCCCCTCTGCTGACGCACAATGTTTCCACTACACTGTTCTGTTTTTTTTTAAATCTTTTTTTATTATTGTGTCAACCCTAACCCTAACCCTAACCCAACAGTGACAAACAGGTTTAAAAGACACAAAGACAGTAGAACAAAAAATACAAAAGATGACGTGCTGAACGTAACCTCTAAAAAGCTCATTGTGATCAACCACTGATTGCCCCTTTTATACAGTTTAGTGCAGTTCACAGACGGCCGACAGAATGAGTTTGGATGGTGAGAGATTAAATAAAAACTAATAAAAAAAAGAGATTCAGACAAGATAAAAATGACATTAAAACAATAAAATATGTTTAACTGTGAAATAAATAAAGAGTGATGTCCTTCATTAGTTATCTGATCAGGCGGGCTGGCTCTGTGGTCGGCATGAAGCTGGACTCACTGGTGACGGTGGCAGAGAGGAGGACACTGGACAAACTGCTGGACATTATTGACAACGCCAGCCACCCCCTGCACACCGTCCTCAGCAACCAGAGGAGCCTGTTCAGTGAAAGGCTGCTCCTCCCCAAGTGTAGGACCAACACACTCAAGAACTCATTTGTCCCTCATGCCATCACACTCTACAACTCCTCACTCGGGGGGAGGAGGAAATAGGGTAAAGAGGACAGAAGGGAAGGAGTGGTAGCCACTCACTGTGCAATAACTGTGCAATAATAATCTACTCATACATACCTGGACACTCTTCTTACTTATTCTCTTTGTGCAATAACTTGATCCACCACTTAAGTGCAATAATTTAATTTAATTTAACTGCTAATTTCTGCTAATGTCATTTATCCACTGTTTAACAACACAATGCCAAATACTGTCCTATATATTTATTTTTATTTATCTATATTTATCCTCTTTACAGTTCTCTACATTTATCTTATTTGATTTCATTTTCCGTGAATTTTATCTTATTTTTGTGCATTTTTGTGCATATTTTTATTCTTATCTCTACTTTCTATATATAGCTAAGAGTTTATTGTTTACAGTTTATTGTTTACTTTCTATATCTAGCAAAGAGTTTATTGTTTATCTTGTAATGTATTTTTTTATATCTCTTTATTTGTCTACACTGTTTTGTAAGCTGCTGGAAATTCAATTTCCTTGCGGGAGTCATCCCAAAGGGATCAATAAATAGAAGTCTAAATCTAAGTCTAAGTCTAATGTATTACACTCTATGGAGGCCCATTCAGTTACTTTGTATTTATCAATATGCATCTGTATACAGTGCAAACCCTATTCAAATGTTAGTGACACAGTTTATTTATTTATTCTGCCAATATGTTATAAGATAAATTATATGATCATAAAGTCATCCAGAGATCATACCAATCAGCAGCGAGAAACATAGTTACTCAAATCAAAATGATGTTTTCATTGAGATTTAAGGTGATTATTAATGTATTAATCAGGTATGACATATTGAAGCATTGTTTCACCCATACAAAAAAAACATAAACTCTGTCACTTACTTCCTTCTAGTATCCACCCATGCAGATCGCCTTATCGCACTGTTGCTGTGGTCATTACACGGTTCTGAAAACACACTTTAAATCAGTTTAGTGAGAGAACACACACATTCTGGTGATGTACATGGGTTTTTAAAAATATATGTATGTTGCTATAACCATCTCAAAAGTAAATCTAATATATTACTAAGTTATATTATGAAATAAGAGGAAAGCTTGCAGTCCCTGACACATACCTTCACAAATCAATACCTACGCAAATTTAAACACGATATTGCAATCTTTTCCAATCATCCCATTTTTTCCTGTAAATTTGACCAATCGTTCACTTCTTTGTCTCTAGTTGTGAAGATGCAGACATAATCCTGATTTACTCACTTAGCCAGTTTCAGTGTCATTGTTGCTCTTTTATTAGTTAAGCTAATGTCAGTGAAACTCAACTCTTCCTGCAGATATTTCACATTAAAAGCATGACAGGAAAGGGAGGGATCATGTCTTTAGAAATGCTGAAAGGCTTTTAATGTGGAACATTTTTGCAGGCTGATTGAGTTTCATCAACAGCAACTTACGAACTAAGAAAAGAACAACAAAGTAAAACAAATGGAGTTAATTAGTAAATATAAAAAGTAGAATTGTTGAAAACAAATTACACACAATACTGAATTTATCAAGACAGACATACTAAATAAAACATGGTTAAGTATGCCTATAAAACAAATAAAGGCCTGTTTCTAATAAGGACCTGCACTATTAAAAACTAAAAAAACTGCATATATTATAAATCCTGCATTCAAGTTTTTACGCTAGTCAAACACTCAATATACATAGTGTCAGTGCACATGTCATAAAATCTTAATCTGCAAATTAACCTTACTTGCAGCTGTTAATCAAATACATAAAACACACAATATTTCTCTCTTAAATAAACAGAAACACTCAAATCCATTTAACAGACCAGAACAAAACATAATAATATAAGCAAATGAACTCATTTCTAATCAACAACATACAGTAATTAAGCTGCAAACACAAGAATGTTAAGGAGTAAAGCATCATTGATTGTTTTCATCAGACACACACAATTACAATCAATTACTGGTTAAATCATTAAAGTGAACTCCCTACCTGCTGCGGTTCACCAGCTGGTCGTCAGGAAGAACTCTGTCCTCTCTCGCTTCATCTTATACCTGAAGTCCAAACATCCCACTGATCTCATGAGACTGATCTCAACAGCAGCAGCACTCTGATTGGCTTTGAACCAATTTAAAGTTCCCTGAGCCGATTAGAGAACTCAAGGTTCTCCAGAGTTTAATCAATGGGTTAACTTTACGTTCACTTCTTCAGGGACCAAGCAGTGACCGCTATCGTAACGAAGGAATTATTTTCCTGAGGGGCTAAAGATGCTGGAAAACTTTCAGTTGAATGGCGTTGCTGTGGCGTCCGACCTTCTCCAACTTATTGTGAGAAGCACTTTGTATAACAAGTGCTATAAGTAAAGTCTGATTGTTGGTTTTCTTAATCTTTTCATTGGGTTTTGGACTGTTGGTCATGTGAAGACATTTTTCATTGTTTTGTTACGTCAATTAATCCTGAAAAAAGAAAATGGCAGGTTGATATTGAACATGAGTGTTAGTTGCAGCCCTACATTATCACTATCACACATTATGACCCAACATCAAAATCATTATTATTGATTTAACATGTTTTCTGTTACTGACTGTTTTTTTATATAAAAACTGGAAGGACATTATTGTTTCTGTACTCCACGCTGATATTTTGTCTTCATCATATTCCTCACCAAATTATCATCTGAGCTTTAACAATTTAAAATGTGTTGTGTATTTTTCACAGCAGTATTTACAACTGAAACATCACTGAAATCAAACAAATCTGACATCATTGCCTCTTGCTGCAATATTGAAACAGTAAATCAGAGGAAGGAACATGTTCCCTCTGAGGTTTTAACTGGAAAATCGAATTAGTCCATGGCTCCGTCCCTTCAGGAATCTCAGCCGGCAGTTTGTTGTTGTCGTTCCACGAAGCTAATTGGCCCTGAGGTCAAAACGGCGACGCTGGGATTAATTATCTGCTCCGCTAAATGAGTCTATTCCGTCAGACTGCTGGGACGCAGAGCTGCAGCTGTAATGAGATTTTTGTGACTCAGGCTTTAATAAATGAACACTTTGAAGGATTCGACTGACATGGCAGCTCTCCTCAAGGCTTCCTGCTCGTCCCTGAATGGATGGTTCGTAATCAAACTAATACCGTCAGACAACCTGATCAGCCTTCAGCAGTTAGCTAGTGTTTCTGTAGTGGAGACTAAACGTTAACAATGATCCATATCAGCAGTTTGTATATACAGTATATACTGATCAATAATCAATAAAGATACAGTGTATACTGATCAATATCATCCATACAGATACAGTGTATACTGATCAATATCATCCATACAGATACAGTGTATACTGATCAATAATCAATAAAGATACAGTATATACTGATCAATATCATCCATAAAGATACAGTGTATACTGATCAATATCATCCATACAGATACAGTATAACGATCAATACAATAAAGATACAGTGTATACTGATCAATAATCAATAAAGATACAGTATATACTGATCAATATCAATAAAGATACAGTGTATACTGATCAATAATCAATAAAGATACAGTAAATACTGATCAATAATCAATAAAGATACAGTGTATACTGATCAATAATCAATAAAGATACAGTGTATACTGATCAATAATCAATAAAGATACAGTAAATACTGATCAATAATCCATAAAGATACAGTGTATACTGATCAATAATCAATAAAGATACAGTGTATACTGATCAATAATCAATAAAGATACAGTGTATACTGATCAATAATCCATAAAGATACAGTGTATACTGATCAATAATCAATAAAGATACAGTGTATACTGTTCAAACTCACCTGGCTCAGCCTGTTTTTGGCTTCCCGACACAATCAGATATTTTTCACAGTGTGAACGTGACGTGAGATTAGTCGACCTGTGGGAGAAAGATTAGAGGCGGTTGGGCCTTACTGTACAAAAACACAATTTTATAACTTAATTCACTGAATTTGGTGAATTTACTGGTAATTAGACTGATTTTGGTGAAACTGGATCAGATTTAATGAAGAAAATATTTTCCGGTTTTCCCTGTGTTGTCCTCCTGCTGCTCTGCCTCCACTCTCCTGTCGGACAGAAGATAGTTTAACCTGTTGTTAGCAGGCACTCACTACTGGGTACCCCTGCCCCAGGCCTGAAGACCTCCTCCCAGGGTCAAAGCTCCTGTCTTTCTCTGTGCTCTCAGTTCGAGCAGATATCTCATGGTTGACTGAGATAATGGAGCATCTGAGGTCTGCATCCAGGTCCCTGTCTGCGGATGATCTCAGTCCTCATCACGAAGCTACAAACAGACTGTTTATCTGACTGGTTCTCACAGGACACCCACGCTACAAACTCATGATGATCTTACAGAATATGATGCATTTCTGTAGATTAAACTACCAACAGTGTATAAAGTAGTTCCACCTCAAACATCTACGGCAGTAAAATGCAACATACACATTAATGCAGCAGTGATATTAATTAATATTCATATTTATTTACTGCAGTAAACAAATGTTCACAAAATGGTCTCAAATGACTCCCGTTCTTAAATGTGTTCAGGCAGGTTGGACTGATCAGGGATCAGTGAACAGAGATGGGATGGCGGCATACTGATATCTAGTGGTGAACATGTGACACTGCAGGCTGTTACATTATGTCATGTTTCAGGTTGTGGTTCTAAACTATTTGATTTTTTGACACCTTTGGGAGCAGTTTATTTGATTAACTGTTGTTAGGTATTCTAGTTATTAACAGAGAAGCAGCTGAAGTTCATCTGTTACTCAGGAAACAAACTGATGAGGAATCTCTTTTTTAAGGAGGCTCAGAATTACTTGGAATAATATACAAACCAAACACCAAACCATTAACACGATGAACATACCTTGTTAAGACCAAATACAACGTTGTCGTATCAAATCAACATATTCAAGCTGTAATGTGACGATTTCTTATTGTAATGCAGTGGATCCCAATCAATACCACTACCAGTATCAATAACAGCAGAGAACAGCTGATCAACTGATCAATGAACCAAACAGTGAACTCAATAACTGCAGGAAGTTTGATTATTTCCTGTGAATATTTTGATACATTCTCTGTCTGTATTCTGTATTTTTATCATTTTAACAATCAGACTTAATATTGTTCTTTCCGACAGATTCACTGTTTATTGTTCTATCAGCTCTTTGGTTTCTGATGCAGGACGAGGCTGTTGATCAGAGACTGAAGGCTCTTTAATAATAATATACACTTTAAAAATTACAATTTTATTTTTGTCCACACAAATGATTGCTTTTAGGAGGAAAAGACTGTTCAGAGACCACCACAGCCTTGACAAATTGTGTGCACTGTCAAAACATCAATATTACTAAAAGCTAGATTAGCCAACTTGGTATGTTAGCAAAAGAAATGCACAAAATAATTTAATTAATTTAATTCAATAAAGAATTCTATCAAAAATGTTGGCAAACGGAAATAAAAGCAGGTCCCAAATAGAATAGCTGGTTTCTGTTGATGAGTAAATCAAAGCCCTGGCTAATAACTCAAGTTTGCGCCAAACTTTTAGCTTCCAGCACCGTAATCCAAACGAGCATATAGATCTGCATGTGGTGAACGTTGTCATGTTTATCATCATCAGTCACTACTATTAGTGTAGTTGTTGCTACTGTTGTTGCTGTGCACCTGTCTGTCTGTCTGTCTGTCTGTCTGTCTCTGTCTATCTGTCTGTCTCTCTCTCTCTCTCTCTCTCTGTCTCTCTCTCTCTCTCTCTCTCTCTCTCACCCCAACTGGTCGAGACAGACGACCACCCACCTAGAGCCGAAGGATCTGTCCTAGGTTTCTGCCTTTTAACAGGCAGTTTTTCCTTGCCCTTGTCGCCAAGGTCTTGCTCATGGTGGTACTGTTGGGTCTCTGTAAATAATGTTATAAAGAGTTCGGTCTAGACCTGCTCTATTTGAAAATAACTTCTGTTATGAATTGGCGCTATACAAATAAAATTGAATTGAATTGAATTGAATAGTGAAGCACATGTTTAATAAAACAGTCAATGATAAATTGAATCATTTTTCTTAGTTCATAAAGTCTTTATTTGTTGAGACAACAAGCACAAATATGCAAAAGAAACCTGGGGGAAAAGAGAGAACAGTGTAACCACAAATAAGGACTTAATTAACAAAGTAAAACCAAAAGTAAAATAAGTACAAACTACAAATGAACATTAACTTGAATATACTGAAACAATAAAGATATGGACGAACACGCCTTCTTTCAAAGAGGAGGAAGGTTGCAAACAGGAACCAGAGAGCCAAATCCAACTCCCTGAAACTCTCACTCTTGCTCCACTCTCTCCAACTGAAGACGAGCTAAACGCAGCTATCTAAACTCAAGCCTACTACTCCCACCCTTTGCACCTGAAGTAACACCTGGAGCCCTCGGCCGAGGATCCTGCAGCCATCAAACCACGGGATTCTTCAGATGCCAAGAGGAAAACTCCTTCACTGACCAAAGAACCACTTTTAGTTCATTAAGCAAGAGAACTCAAAGTGGTAATACCGTAATGCTTGGCAGTCTCACACATCATTTCTCCCGCACTAATCTGACTGACTCAGAGTAGTACGGCTATGGCTACAGCTTAGCCTAATTACAACACTCACCCACCACGGCAGATGTGGCAAACACGATGACCTGGATGCCAGATGCCACAAACACAACAGGCAAACCTCTAACCTCCCTCCAGAGCCAGAGTCCTGAAATGCCAACCTCCGTCAGAGAACTGAAAAAAAGTGTCCTATAGAAAGATGGAATCAGCAGAAGTTGTTAAAACACTTAATAAAGTTTAGACACCAGTTCTTACCGCAAAAGCCCCCGAACATAACATTTATATGTGCATGCCTTATATGTGGTATGGAAATATGGCTTTACATTACTTTATGATACAATATGAATAAAGCCCACAGGGAGATTCAAAACATCAATTTCTGTTTGCTTTACAAAATATTTGAAAATAAAATCTGAGGGGTTTTTAACACATCGGTCAAGGAAATATATATTCTTTCAGGAAGGATTTAAATATAAAGTATTCAAAAGTAATCACATTCATTACATCAGCTTCTTAATTTAAATCTAAATCTTGAAGCCAGCATACATATTTAAATGCATGTACAAACTGTTAGCACAGTGGCCTCTCAATGCAAAGGTCATGGGTTAGAATCTAGCAGCCAGCTGGGTGGATACAGTATTATACAATAGTTGTATCCATATCAGCATGTATGTAGTCAAATGTATGAATTACAATTTATAATTTTGATTCTGACTCTTTTATTCACTTTATGCCTTTTATCTAATCTTATAACGCTGACTCAGGGTTCAGTGTGTAACACTGAGGAAGATCTATTGTCAGAAATGGAATATAATATTCATGGGTATATTTTAATTAGTGTATAATCACCTCAAAATGGGAATTGTTGTGTTTTCGTTACCTTAAGATGAGTCCCCTATGTTGAACCACCATGTTTCTACAGTAGCCCAGAATGGACAAACCAAACACTGACCCCTAGATAGGGCCTTAGACATTTTACATGTCCGGTTGACTGCAATCTGAAACTTCAACACTAGATGGCACTAAATCCAGATTCTTGAGACCAGTTTTGACTCTTTGTCATTCCTAACTTTTCCTACTGCAAAGAGGACTTCTACAGGATAAAGACATTTTACATCCTAGAAATGGTACAAATTGTTTTCTAAGAGTAATTCACAGTTTGGACAAAGCGACAACACGTCAGTGTCTTCAGGATGTGCTGTCGTATCTCAGCGGTTCTGATGCCGTAGATGATCGGGTTGAAACAGCTCGGAAAGAACAGGTACATGATGCTAAAGAAAACCCGAACAGCTGAAGGGAGACCGTTTCTGATCCGATACGACAGGAAAGCTGTGAGTATGATGATCAGGCTGACAGTCATGACCACGATGTGGGTGACGCAGGTGTGAAGCGCTTTGACACCTGATTTGCCAGAACTCAGCACAGAGCTGAATATGACAATGTAAGAGGCAGTGATAATGATGAAGTCCACGACAGGGATGAGGAACACTGAAATCAGCCCCATCAGGTTGTTGACAGCAGTGCTTCCACAGGCCAGCTCCACCAAGGCCATGTGCTCACAGAAACAGTGGTCAAGCACATTTCTAAAGCAGAAAGATAATGATCCTGCAAGACCCACTACCAGCGAGACCAAGAACACATTTCTGATCATAAGTGGGATTACAAACTTGAGGAATCTGGGTAACGCCATGCTTTCCTGATAGTAGAGTGGCGTGCAGATGGCAAAGTAGCGGTCTAGCGCCATCCACAGCAGCAGAGTAGACTGAAAAGCTCCGAACAGGTGAAGAAAATACATTTGAACCAGGCAGCCGCTCAAAGAGATTCCCCTCCAGTCAAACAAGAAGCTCAGCAGCATGTTGGGGACGAAGAACACCGGGAGGCTCAGGTCAACACAGGCCATGCCAGCGATGAGGATGTACATCGGTGAGTGGAGGCTTCTCTGGGAAACAATGACATACAGCAGCAGGGAGTTGGCCGACAGCGACACAATGAACATGATGAAGAACGGGATGAAGAGGACGGGCCTCAGCACTCCGAGTTTATTGAAGCCGTCAAGGATGAAATATTTGTGCGAGGAGACGTTCTCCATCCTCCTCTCCTCTTAAAACCTCCTGGTCCACCGTTTTAGTTCCACCAGCCTGAAAACAGACAAAGATTGTCGTTAATAGTTTATTCACTTCTCCACAGCTGCAGATGATAATGTTTCGGTCAAGAACGTTCAAGTTGCACAAAACCACTTCAGAAATGATCGTGCTTGCTGTAAATGCACCATCTGTAATCCACAAACAAAATAACTTCCTACCGCGTTAATGGACCCTGCTGTCACTGTCAGTACCAGGTTTTTATCTTTATACTTACAGGATGAACACTGAACAATGACTACATGTTAGTGGTCTTCCCTTATTTATCGTGTTTCATTGTAACATTTTATGAATATATTTTTGTTACTTTATCATACTAAATATTACATTTTTTATCCCTCTTGAATGATTTTCCTTTTTTTATTTTGTCTTGTTTTCTCAATCTATTATATCTAGTTTTTAATATATAATAACTTATTGTAATTTAATGTTGTAAAGACTATTTTATTGTATTTGATCGTCTTATTTAATAAAATTTTTATTTATCTCTATTACGGTCCACACTCACTCTGTCTTACTATTGACAGTCATCACTTTGAACTGCACTGACCTTTATGAAAGGTGCAATACAAATAAAGTTAGACTGATTGATTGATTGACTGATTGGTTCCAAGTGGTGTGCCGTAAGAATACAAAAATGTATCAGCTAATTTCCATCGCCTCATTTTACATTTTGTGACCTGTCAGGTTTAAGTGGGCGTGTTTCATGCAATTTTATAAAGTTATTTTATTAATAAATATATCCTGAGTGATCGTCCACGGCCCAATTATGTTTTGTATTACAGATGTTTTTGCACCAATAAGAGTTCAGGTGCCACTGTGAATTTTGTCATTATATTTTCGAATTATTAACATAAATAGAAAATATGATTCAAATAAAGACTCAGGCTCTGTAAATACAATATCACAACTACCCGACCCAAACATATTTTTTATCTTAAAGCTGTGAGGACACTTTTGGAATCTACACGTAATATAATAATGTAAATTCACACATCTGTAATCTGTCACACACACAGCTGCTGTCACAGATACGCACAAAGCTCTCTCTCCCAGCAGGCCTCAGGTAGTCTCATAGGAAGAAGGCCTACTAACAACAGTCACTAACAACTCAGGTTGGGTTCTTATTGTGGGTTAAAGTTTGGATCCAGTTTGAGGCTGTTTAACTTCCAACATTAAAAAGTTTCAAACGAATATTTTATACTTAAAAACATTTATGTAAAGTTGAAGGCTTCTCTATTTGCTGACCGTCACTTTCAGCAGTTGAAATAAAAAATGCAGTCCTATGACCATACAGAACATTAATTCTGCAAAACCCAATATTACATTCAATGACAGTGTTTTTACAGCCAAAGGCAACATTTTTTAAATTCTAACTACTGTACAATAAATATAAAGGTACACCACCAAAAACCTCAATACTGTTACTTTGTGATTTGTCAGGGGGAAAACATCATCAGCACTATGAATTATTATCGAAAACAAACCTCATAAAGAGTGGAGCTGGCTCATCTCCCTTTAAGGTGTTTGGCTTTACATCGAAGAGAAAACTGAAAACACACTGAAAGCAATCAAAAGATTTAGCCAGTGGAGCAAAATAATTACACTTGTTCCCAGTTCAAGTTCCCCTGTTTTAGGACTTTTACAGAGATGTCAGAAATAAAAGAGCACGGTAGGCTCCAGCAACATAGGATACAACAACATTACTCTGGAAAATATCTGAAATTAATCTGAGGGGAAATAATTCCCCCTGCTGTCTAGCTGTTTCACTTGTTCTATAGAGTTAACCCTGATGAGCTGCTGGTGGTTCAGCTCTGTAGAAAATAAATCTGAAGGTTTTACTTGTTGCTGTTTGGGAGTTTGTCTGTAAATGCACCCCATCTGCTGTTTGATGATGTCAGCTGCTGATTCGCCTCCATCCACCTGCCCCTGCTGAACCGCTGACTCAGCATTTTAATACACTCCGTCTGACGCTGCCATTGGCTGAAGACAAAGTTCTAAACCTCGTCACGCTGTCAGTGTGACGGACTGAAAATCCCAGAGAGCAGCCACACCACACAGTCAAACCAGGAACTAAGTATAGAAAACCTTAGTTTTTAATGCACTGAAAAACTCAAAACCAGTGTTAAAAAAGTGCTTCATGACAAGTCAGTCATTCTGGAGCACAGCAGGTGTGAACTATGAAGGCTAAGGGGCTGTTCAGATGTTACGTCTGAAAATGGAAAACACCAGCTATGCTGCTTCCATCCGTCCATCCATGGTGCTGGATCAGGTTAGGCTGCATGACAATGATGATGAAGTTGCAGTAATTTAGCATTAAGCCTCCCCTGTCTAATTAAAAGTCAAAACACAGATACATGGATCACCAGCACCGTAAAGCTCTCACAGTGGCTTTACTGCTCGATTTGTATGAAAAAAGTTGCATTGCAACAAATGTGCACCATGAAATAAACAGTTCAAAAAGTATTTGTGTGCACAATAGAGGCTCCATCTGAGCGGCTCCCAAAACTGTTGATTATTTGTGGGAACAGTTTACAAGTCTGTACACACAAATCAATAATTCAAGCCGTAAAATGACTAAATGAATCCCTTAAATTATTAAATTATCTCCCTTAAATAAATAGAATTAATCTATTGTGGCTGAAGGATCTGGAGTTATAGATTGTTGATGTTACTCTGTTCAGTTAGCGAAGAACCCAGGGTGTTAGCCACAGGCTAGCAACCAAATTTTAAAAAAAAAACAAAAAAAACCTCCATATCTTCGTTCTCTACTCAGCATTTGAAGTGTTCATGGGCTCCCAAACAATGCTTTGCCCTTTTGGTACTTCAGTGACTCCACAGTTTTGGCTGCAGGCATAAGAGTTCCTATGGGGAAGATGTCCTAAATTATGACAAGACCATGTTAAGGCAGGCATCAATAAAGTACACAATGCCAACATCCAGCGCAACGTTCAAAATCCAGTCTCTTCCAATTCATCCATCCTACACGCCTCAGGCAAATGCAATGTCTCCCCTCTTCCATTGTTGAGGAAATTTGGAGTACAACCCAAGTAGCTGCCAAAAGGTCTTGGCGCTATAACCCAGTTTCGGAAGCCAGAGGCATAGCAAGTTGCATCAGCCATCAACAGCAGAAAGCACCTTCCATGTTTTAGGAAGCATATTGCATACATGAGAGCAGGTAAGCAACCCCAACCACTGTTCAGGGTGTCCATATTCCTCATTATAGCGACTGGCAGCTGCTCCTTAACATGATGACAACAATATCACTGGAGTCTGACGTGGTCCTACTGTAAGAAGCTTCAAATCAAGTTCATGGTTGAGGTGGCTGTGCCCTAGGAGGTTTAGATCATGGAGAACCATTAGAGAAAGAGGGCAGAATATCAGGAGCTGAGGCCGGGATGGAGGACTTTATACCAGTAGAAGTGGAATATAGAGGCTTTGCTGGCCACTGGCTCCGCAGAGCATTCATGATGCTGGGCATCAGGTGGCAACAAAGAGAGCCATCAAAATTGAGAGGTTGCTGAAGGAACCTCAAGATGCCTCTGGTTCAGCTTGGGCACAAGATGAGGAGCAACCTAAACTGGAGGGTGTACAATTTTAAAAGATCTGAAACACTTGATGAGCCCAAGTGAAATGTATGATGTGTAGTCAAAGTCAAAGAAAGTAGATCAAAATCTGACTTTTCTCTAGTCACACGACTATGTTAACTAACCTTGACCATGTTTATTTTTGTGATTCCTAAGTTCTCACCAACTTCTTTCTTGTCATGGCATAGATTGGCTTTCATAGGACTAAAATACTTAATATGAAATAGTTTCTAAGTCTCTGAAGAATAGGGAACCGTTTGGACAAAGCGAAAACATGTCAGTATCTTCAGGATGTGCTGTCGTATCTCAGTGGTTCTGATGCCGTAGATGATCGGGTTGAAACAGCTCGGAAAGAACAGGTACATGATGCTAAAGAAAACCCGAACAGCTGAAGGGAGACCGTTTCTGATCCGATACGACAGGAAAGCTGTGAGTATGATGATCAGGCTGACAGTCATGACCACGATGTGGGTGACGCAGGTGTGAAGCGCTTTGACACCTGATTTGCCAGAACTCAGCACAGAGCTGAATATGACAATGTAGGAGGCAGTGATAATGATGAAGTCCACGACAGGGATGAGGAACACAGTCAACAGCCCCACCAGGTTGTTGACAGCAGTGCTTCCACAGGCCAGCTCCACCAAGGCCATGTGCTCACAGAAACAGTGGTTTATTACATTTACAGCACAGAATGACAGCGGTGCTGCCAGTGCCACTACCACTGAGATCATGAGGACATTTCTGATCATAAGTGGGATTACAAACTTGAGGAATCTGGGTAACGCCATGCTTTCATGATAGTAGAGTGGCGTGCAGATGGCAAAGTAGCGGTCTAGCGCCATCCACAGCAGCAGAGTAGACTGAAAAGTTCCTAAGAGGTGAACAAAATAAATCTGAACCAGGCAGCCGCTCAGAGAGATTCCCCTCCAGTCAAACAAGAAGCTCAGCAGCATGTTGGGGATGAAGAACAGCGGGAGGCTCAGGTCAACACAGGCCATGCCAGCGATGAGGATGTACATCGGTGAGTGGAGGCTTCTCTGGGAAACAATGATGTAAAGCAGCAGGGAGTTGGCCGACAGCGACACAATGAACATGATGAAGAACGGGATGAAGAGGACGGGCCTCAGCACTCCGAGTTCGTTGAAGCCATCAAGGATGAAATATTTGTGTGAGGAAACGTTTCCTTTCAGCGGCTCCATCCTCTTAAAACCTCTTTGTCCAGAATTGTAGTTGGATTACCTGAAAACACAAAGATTTTAAGTTATTTCAGTCAGAAAATATCATGTTTCTTACTGCACTGCATTTATCAGAATACTGTAGTTATTAGTCACTATAAAACTATAAAAATATAAAACTATAATTATCTAAATATTTTGCAACAACCCAACAGTAAATAAAATAAATAATAAAAAAATAATACATTAGTTAAAAGATATACATACATATATATGTACATAGGCTATTTTCTATTTTAGTTTTCCATCACCGGAAGATATGTTCTGTAAAATGTGAACACTCTGAAACAGGTTTTTTGTTTTCAATTTTGATACCTTAAGAATATTTTGCTAAACATACATTTTCACATTTGAACTACAGGACTTTTAAGATAGAGACCAAATAAAAAAATGAGAACGACAAAATTAAATGATCTTTTTGATGCTATTGTAGGTCTGTTAACATCAGTAATATGGTAGTAAAAACAACAGTTTAAACATAATGTTTTCAATAATGAACAACTGACAAACAAATTATTTTCAGTGTCATTTTCATGGTTTAAGTGGTGTCATCTAAAATGTTCTCTCTTGTTGCAAGATACTCACATAAAAAAAAGTTTATGTTATGTTAATACATTCACACTTTTCACTCACTTGCTTTAAAAACCTAAAGATAAAATTAGATTTTTCACAGTACAGTCACATCTTTTGAATTTTGCTGATGGGGTTGCCTTCTGTATACCTTTTGGCCAGTGATTGTACCCTGAAATATGGTTAAAACAGTGCTATTAAAATAATCTCTGAACTAAACAACACACATTCACTTGCCTGTTTTTTTAACCACAACTAGCAAAAAGTTTACAAAATGAATATATATATATATATATATATATATATATATATATATATATATATGTGTGTGTGTGTTGTAGAGCTACTTTTCTTATGTAGGCCACAGAACAAACCCACAAAGTCTTCATCAGAGACGGTTTTAGATTTCAAGTCAAGTTTAGAAGTGAAAGCTGTTTTCTGATATTGGTTATATTGGCTCAAAGGTCACCTCTAATGGGTTTATCAGCCTACCTGTAGTTTTGAAATTTGAAGAACCATCAAAAATATGTATTAGTTGCAAACGTTATGAGCAATAAGAATAAGAAGAACAGGCACTAGAGTGACTACAGAGTAGACTGATAAATCATGTCAACAAGAATATAGCAATAACATTCATTAGTAAATATGTCTGCTGGCTGAACGTGAAATTTGATTCAACAGCAAATATTTGTCATAGGAAAAAACACACAACATGACACATTTTAGCAAACAAACTCATCTCTCCTTTAGTGTGAGTTTGGTGTCACGTTGAAGAGAAAACTGAAAAACCATTGACATTAATTTAAATACTTAAACATTTTCTCAAAATCACACTGTCTAAAAATGATAGAGAAATAGCAGATAATTGCACTAAAATCAATATATGACAATATAGAAGATGTCTGAAACTATCTGGGATGAAATAATCTCCCCCCACTATCTGATTGTTTCTTTCTTTTGAAGAAAATCAGATCTGAAGACTCAAACATCATGACTTAAACATGATGAGCTGCTGACAGTTCAGCTCTGTAGAAAGGAAATCAGCAGGTTTTACTTGCTGTTGGTGTTTGGGAGTTTGTCAGTGAAGTGAGTCCACCATTCAGCCCTCCATCCCCTTATCCCTAATGAATGCTGACTCAGCACTTTAATACTCTCTGTCTGACACTGCCATTGGCTGAAGAGACAGTCCAACACCTTGTCACACTGCAGCCAGAATAACAAATTGAGTATACATTGGGTAAGACACAAAGTTTCGCTTTGACAACCTGTAAAACTTTAGTTTTAAATTTAAACACTGAATACACATATAGCAATATGTTCAGTTCATCCTGCTTCCATTGACATTGTAAAAGTCTAAATCGGTAGACCAGCTGACCCTATATCACCTATATCACAGTGAAGTCTAGGGCTACTGTTTTGGCTTGACGAACAAAGACTATTAGAAAGCACCCCAGTTCCAATGTCTTCCAGCCTCCAGTGGGCCCATGCAAGGTTCTGTGTCCCCCAGCCTTAAACCTGTTACTCTGCTGGAAAACCACAGGGAGGGAGAGAGATCAAAGTGGACCTGTTCTCCTGTGTTTCATGCTCTCTCTTGCTTCAGTCTTTTTTTCTTGCTTCCGTATTTGATCTGCTGCTGATGACTCTTAAGATGTTGTGGTCTGGGTAGACTAATGTGCTGTTATTTCTTACTTCTTATTGAGTACTGCCACCTCTGGGGATGGCATGGCCTTACTCATCACTGAGATCCCCTAGGTATGGACCCCAGTATTTTTTCAGAGGGGTATAAAGTTGCCTAAAAATAACTACTTTGATGCTTTGAAGCCCCAAAAGCCCCTAGCAAGTTCAGTATTTGGACCACAGTATTTCCAAAACCGTGCATACAGCAAAGCTGGTGAGGTTCTCCTAAACGCTTGTGTAACTACATTTCCAGGTAAACACGCAGTTAACTTAATATTAAGAAAACAGCACTGAAATTGTCCTTTTTAAAATGTATTCAAAACGCCAAAAGGATTAGGGTTATGTTGGGTTTAGGGTTAGGGTTGATACCCTAATAAGGTGAAAAAACCTATAATTGTTTTCATTTTCAGCTCGCTGTGAATGATGTCTAAGTGTTGGTAAAATGTAATATGGTATCGAGATCCTCTGTCACAGCTGACTGTGACTGAGCTCAGGATGAATGAATGTTAATGTTAATTTGTGTGAAGAATGATAATACAAAATTTTATTGTGACTCAGAGTCAAATGCTCACAGTAGAGTAAGGTCAATGAAGTTGTTATTTGCCATCAACAATAAAATCTCAATGTAAATCACATCAACGTGTACATTAACAGAAGTTAGGTAGTCCTATGCTTAGCTGGGAACACTGTTAAGCTAGTGAAGTTATTAGTGTCCTATAAGCCAGGCTCGTAAAAGATGTGTTTCCGATGTCAGACAGTCTTTGCAGTGCATTCTGATTGCAGATCAGAAGAAGCTGACTGTGGTGGGGCACAATGTAAAAATGTGTGTACTGCAGTGCCCCCTCCTGGTTGTTCAACAGCACTCGTAGTTCAGCAGAGGATTTCCATACCGTTTATTAAAGGGACACTTCACCCATTTGCATTAAGCTTTGTATCATTAGAACCCCAGTCATATTTTTGAATGGTCGTGCATCATTCCCTCACTTTCCCTGAGAGGGGAGAAATAAGGATTTTAGTGTTGTAAAAATTTTTTTTTTGTTTTTTGGGGGGGGGGGGGTTTTTTTTAAACCCGGGAGGGAGGGGAAGGGGGGAGGGAGGGGGAGGGGGGGGCGGAGGAGGAAATATAATTTTTTTTTTTAATATATTTTTTTTTTTTGTTGTTGATATATTTCTGTAAATAAATCGTTACATTCACGTTGTTGTGAATAGCGTTTAAAAAACCCTAAAGTCAAATAGGCACCAAATTCAAAATGTATGTTACATTTCGACTACATATATAACCTACTTTCAATAAATATTAATGTTTCCACGGGTGAAATGCTCTTTTAAGCATGGTAGAGAGAGGAGTGCTGCTGCCTTCTCCTGCTGCAAATTTCTGTCACGGATCATTGCATTTTTGGCTTGAGAATCAAAATATAGTTAATATGCTTTTGTTACAGTGAGGTATGGTCTCTTTAAAGTTTATTCAAGCTGGAACACATGACTGTAACAACTAGGTGCATAACTTTAATATTTCTTGGGGCTGGAAGCATGCTGTGCTACCTTTTCAGGCTCTGTTTCTTACTCAGGCTGAAATGCACGCAGAACACTGCCAGGCATGAGCTCCCTAAGGTTCACAGGGACAGCGGCACACCTAAAAAGACTTTAATTCAATGGACATTCTGATAGTTTGGCTAGCTTGCATTCAATTTGTGAGATTCGAATGCTGAAACAAAATATTACAGTTCCTACAGAGTGGGTTTAACTTGAACAGCTAGGGGTCGCCCTATAGCTCACCTGGTAGAGTTGACCCATGTGCCAAGGTGGAGTCCTTGCTGCATGAGTTTGAGTTCAACCTGTGGCCCTTTGCTGAGTGTCATCCCCTTCTGCCCCCCCTTTCCCATAACTCTTCAGCTGTCCTATCTAATAAAGACAAAGCCTAATATACAGTATATATATAAACTTAAACAGCTAGCAGCAAAGAAAAACCTAACATTTTACGTAAAATTGGCCTAAAATTACAACATTGCACAATTATGAATAACTACTAACAGTAGTATACCTCACACAGGGCACCATTTGCCAGGGATTACAATGGTTCAAAAGGGACACGGAAAAATGTATTCATTTTGGCTATGAAAATGATCAAAATTATCAAAGTAATAATAATATAATAAATAATAATTTAAATGAATACTAAAGTCCTTGCGGCACCTACCTTTAACCATTGTAATCCCCAAAAGAAGCACAGGGTTTGCCGATAACAAAACAGCTATATTCTCAGCCTTGACTATAACTGCTATGAGTTACTTGCTGTAGAGGTCCAGTTGATGGTTTGTGTTCTACATTTGTCCTTGCAGTGGCACTGCTGGGTGGGGACAATGGGAGTGAGTGGACTCTAAAAGCAGAAGGGGAGAGGTTATGAGGTTAGGTAATCTTTATGACATTGTCAGTAATTCACAGTAGCCAGAGAAATAGAATTGTTTTTATATATGGAAAAGCATAATAACATCAACACTGTAATGTAACCCCTAAACTAGTGCACATCTTAATGAACCACAAAATTCATAACATATAATGTCATGTTTCCAAACTTTGCGTGACAGCAGTTTGCAACTACTTAAAGTTTTACGTGTCTGCTGGCACATAATAATGTTAGCTGGCTAGCTAGATACATTCTGCTCAAACATGGTGTTTATTGTGGATGTTTGGGGCCTTTCAGAGGAGTTAGGTAATAAAGCATCACCTGGGCTCATGAGTATCCCCACTCTTGCCTGGCGCCGCTCACCCTGGGGAACTCCTAAAGAAGAGACATTCAAATACCTATCTCATAATTTCTAATTAATGTAAGATAAAAGAACTTCCATTTTTGTCATTATTTATTGAGTATTTTTTATTTCCCTAATGGAAATGGGTAGAGACATTTTAAATGACAGTTTCTTAAGAATGGAGCACAGTCTGTACAAAGCGGCAGCTCGTCAGTGTCTTCACAATGTGCTGTCGGATCTCAGTGGTTCTGATGCCATAAATTATTGGGTTGAAACAGCTAGGGAACAGCATGTACATGGTGCTGAAGAAAACCCGAATGGCTGCAGGAAGACCATTTCTGATGCGATATGACAGGAAAGCAATAAGTACAATGGTGAGGGTGACAGTGATGACCACAATGTGGGTGATGCAGGTGTGGAGCGCTTTGATACCTGATTTGCCAGACTTGAGCACAGAGCTGATTATCACCACATAAGAGGCAGCAATACAGATAAAGTCGACCACAATGACGAGACACACTGAGATCAACCCCACCAAGCTGTTGATGGCAGTACTTCCACAGGCCAGCTCCACCAAGGCCATGTGCTCACAGAAACAGTGGTTGATCATGTTCCCAAAACAGAATGACAACCTTCCTGCCAGGGTTACTATTACTGTATTCACAAAGAAGTTTCTGAACAGAGGTGGAATCACGAACTTCAGAAATCTTGGTAAAGCCATGTATTCATGGTAGTACAGTGGTGTGCAGATGGCAAAGTAGCGGTCCAGTGCCATCCATACCAGCACTGTGGACTGAAAACCTCCTACAAAATGCATGATGTGCATCTGAACCAGGCAGCCAATCAGAGAAATTCCTCTCCAGTCAAACAAGAAGCTCAGCAGCATGTTGGGGACAAAGAACACCGGGAGGCTCAGGTCAACACAGGCCATGACGGCAATGAGGATGTACATCGGTGAGTGGAGGCTTCTCTGTGAAATGACGACGTACAGCAGCAGGGAGTTGGCCAGCAGTGACACAACAAACATGATGAAGAAAGGGATGAAGAGGACGGGCCTCAGCGCTCCGAGTTCATTGAAGCCATCGAGGACGAAGTGTTTGTGCGAGGAGACGTTCTCCATCCTCCCCTCTTCATAAAACTTCCTCGTTCAGGGTTTTAGTTGGATCACACTGAAAACAGAGAGACCAAATGATTTGAAACTGCAAAGTGTGTTGCTGTAAGGCACCTTCTAGTTGTACAAACTAAGATATGTCTTGTTAACAGTACAGCTGAAAATAAGGCAAAAGAGGAATTCAGAAAATTGTTAATGGACACTCAATGCGCCTCATTTATTTCTAATATTTTGATAACTGCACAGTCTAGAGCTCTTTTAACTTTTAACTCGTCCCATAATTAAGGATACATGCAAATCACTTTAAACTTTGTAAAATGGTCTTGGCAGCCAATCATGACCAAATGTAAAAATGTCACCTTAAGTGTTCTGTAGCTGTTGTGTCTTCATTAATCTTCTAGTGTATAGATTATATGCAATGTAACATTTAAAGCTTTTTGTGGCAAATAATCACAGTTAATTTAAATCTGAAACTCTAAACATAACTTGCTCCAGGGAAATCTCTGGCTTCAGGGACAACATAAACACACACTAACACATTAATCTCACTTAGTCGTACACCCCTCAGGTTCACCACGTCAACTTTTTGCAGATTTACCTCAAAGGACTTTTGATTCAGCACAAAATACAACAGTCTTTATCCCTTTACTTTGATGAAAACATGTTGAGTTGATGTCATCTTTACAGAGTAAACCGCTAAACCAGTTATAGAATTACAATATAGAGAAACATAATAATATTGAGTAAATAAAGTACAAAAATATAATGTTTCTAAGAGACTTATGTTTAGCAATAAGCATAAGTAATGCTTGATAACAGTGGGAAAACATAATGTTGTGATGAGTTGACAATCACATAATGCTGATATTTTATGTATAATTTAATGTCTTCAATTATGTGAATAGAACTGTAACATGATGGCTGACAGGCCTTTTGAGGGTCTCCTTTCTATTTGTTTAGGAAATCACATTGCATTGAATCCCCAAATATATTATCCTTTGCTGAGGCCAATCAACAGATTTAAAGAAAACTGTCCGATTGTTAACACAATTCAACAGAACAGGTCAAGATCTGTGAAGATTTTTTATGAGTTGCTATAAGAAAGATTTCTAGGACTGCTTTTATATTTTGCAGACCTAACAATTACCTTACTAATGTTCAAACTTCCTGCATTAGCTATAGTTCTGTGGTTGACTAACAGAAATAAGGAGTAAGACGCTGCTGTAATACCTGCCAAGATTGTGGATATATTCATCAACAGGTCTATAGTGATAACATAAGGCCCAAACTCGTAATGATTATCTTGTCATTTTAGGCCTATCAGTATCTTTTGGTGATGTTGCCTGGTCCAGTGTTTTTTCTTATCTTAATCCAGGGTCTAAAGATAGAGGGTGTTGAATGTCGTACAGTTTGTGAGGACCTCCAAGAAACATTTATTTTTTTCCCAGCTATTTAAATGAAACTGACCATACCATACAACATTTGGTCAAACAAACCTCACAAAAAGCAGAACTAGCTCAGAGCTGGCTCATCTCTCCTCAGGGGGTTTGGTTTCACATTGACGAGATAACTGAGAACACCCTGAAAATATAATGGAATTAATCAAGAGATTCAGCCACTGTAGTGAGATCATTTCCAGTTCAGTAAGACAGATCAAATCACTACAATCCCAATATATGGAAATATAGAAAATGTCTAAAACAGTTCACAAAGTAACAAAGTGATTGTTTCTATCTTTTGAAGAAAATCATATTTCAGGACTCAAACATGAAGAGTTAAACCTGATGAGCTGCTGACAGTTTGGCTCTGTAGAAAAGAAATAAGCAGGTTTTACTTGTTGTTTGAGAGTTCGTCACTAAACGTGTCCCGTCTGCAGGTTGATAATATCAGCCACTGACTCATCCATCCAGCCCTCCATCTACCTGTCCCTACTGAATGCTGACTCATCATTTTAATACCCTCCGTCTGACGCTGCCATTGGCTGAGGAGATAAAGTCGGACTGAAGATCCCATAGTGTCATGCAGTCAAAATAAGTAATTAAGTATGAAAAACTTTACATTTTAAAGCACCTTAATTTTATGTTGCCGCGACTGCTGCTCGCCGGCCCAACTTCTGAAAGAGTCCCAATAAGAATTGTTAAATACTGCGTAGAAAGAAATATGTTGCGGTTCTATTAATGGCCACAAGGTGGAACTATTGCGGGTAGAATTGTATGAAATGTTACATGTGAAGTGTGGCTTTGTATAAAGCACTATTACACAATAAAGCTAAAACTTGTGAAATAAAGTTAAGTAAATGTTAGCATTATTGTTAGTATAATATGAGTAAAAAATACAGTACAGACCTCTGACTTATAGTTACAGCAGTGACATATGCCCTGTGTCTACAGCATTGACTTTTGTCCTGACATCTGTAATTTAGGTATTATTGTCAAATAGACTTGGATCAAATCTTTGTTAACTGTATCTAAAGGACAATTATTGTCAATTATTGGACTTCACTAAAAACTATGAAATAAAGTAAATATTAATCATTATTTTTACTGTTATATTAATCAAACAGGCAATATAGACCTCTGTCTTGCTTGATAGCACTGACCTGTTCCCTGTATCTATAGTACTGACCTCTACCCTGGTCTGAGGTGGCTGTGGCTCAGGGTGTAAAGCGTGTCGTCGAATAATCAGAATGTTGGCTGTTAAATTAATACAATAAAAACAATAAAATGTAAAACAGAAAAAAAATGTTGACAGAAAAAATAATCACATAGGAGAAAAATAATGTAAAAAAACAATGATTAAAACATAAAAGCTAAAGCTATAACATTACTCTAAATTACAAGCTAGATTAAAAAGATAGGTCTTAAATTTCCTTTTAAAAATACTGAGAGAGAGAGCCATTGTGATGCAGTACCAGTGAGTGCCAGTTCCAGAGTTTAGGGGCATAAAAACAGAAGGTACTCTCACTGTACTTTTATGGGTCACATAAGGAACGTTTCAAAGAAAAGCAGTGGAGGACCTCAGTGATCTAGCTGGAACATAAAATAAAATAAAGTCTGTGATGTATGGAGGTCATTTAAAGCTTTACAAACAGATGAAATAATTCAATTCAATTCAATTCAATTTTATTTGTATAGCGCCAATTCATAAAGAAGTTATCTCAGGACACTTTTCAAATAGAGCAGGTCTAGACCGAACTCTTTAACATTAATTACAGAGACCCAACAGTACCACCAGAGCAAGCACTTGGCACAAGGGCAAGGAAAAACTGCCTGTTAAAAGGCAGGAACCAGGACAGATCCTCCGGCTCAGGTGGGTGGTCGTCTGTCTCGACCAGTTGGGAGAGGAGGAGAGAGAGAGAGAGAGGGGGGGGGGCACAGACAGACAGACAGGTGCACAGCAACAACAGTATTGGCAATGGCAGTCAAGCAGGACCAGGCAGGAGGCCCACCAGGATCCATGAGAACCTGCGCAAAGCACAAGAACTCCGGGGAAGAAGTGGAGTTAGTAACAGCATTAAAGGGACAGAATGAGTGCAGAAAGGGAAGAGAGTAGCTCAGTGCACCATGGAAATCCCCCGATAGTCTAGGCCTATAGCAGCATAACTAAGGGATGGTTCAGGACCACCGATCCAGCCCTAACTATAAGCTTTATCAAGAGGAATGTCTTAAGCCTACCTGAATGTGGTGAGGGTGTCGCCTCCCGAACCACAACTGAAGCTGGTTCCACAGGAGAGGAGCTGTAACTGAAGGCTCTGGCTCCTGTTCTACTTTAGAACTATAGGAACCACAAGTAGCCCAGCATTCAGAGAACGTAGTGTCTAGTGGGGTAATAGGGACTATGAGCCTTTAAGATATGAAGGGGCCTGACCAGAAGAGCTTATAGGTGAGGAGGAGTATTTTAAATTCAATTCACATTTTATAGGGGCCAATGCAGGTAGCTAGTACAGGAGAGATGTGATCTCTTTTCTAGTTCCTGTCAGTACCGTGCTGCAGCGTTCTGAATTAATGGAGCGTTTTAATGGACTTATTGGGGCAACCTGATAATAAAGAGTTGCAGTAATCCAACCTTGAGTAACAAATCATGGATTAGTTTTCTGCATCTGTCTGTATAGGATGTGTCTAATTTTTCTAATATTACGTAAATGAAGAAGGCAGTCCAGAGGTCTGCTTTATGTGGGAGTTAAATGACAAATCTGATCAAAGATAACTCCAAGATCCGACAGTGGTGCTAGAGGCCAAGTTAATGCCATCTAGAGTGACTATATCTTTAGACAATGAGTCTCTAAGGTTTTGGGGCCAAGAACAAGAATTTCGGTTTTCTGAGTTTAACATCAGAAAATTGCAGGTCATCCAGGATTTTATGTCCTTAAGACATGTTTGTAATTTAGATAATTGATTAATTTCATTGGGTTTGATTGATAGATATAACTGCGTATCATCCATAACAGTGAAAGTTAATGGGTGATTCCTAATAATTTGCCAAAGGGAGCATATATAAAGTAAATAGTATTGGTCCAAGTACAGAACCTTTGAACCCATGACTAACTTAGTATTTATGGAGGATTCATCGTTAACATGTACAAACTGAGAACGATCTGATAAGTATGACTTAAACCAGGTTAGGGCAGTTCCTTTAATGCCAATTTGATGCCAAGTCTCTGTAAAGAATATCATGGTCAATGGTGTCAAATGCAGCACTAAGATCTAATAATACAAGTACAGAGACAAGTCCATTGTCAGAAGCAGTCAGAAGGTCATCATTAACTTAACCAGAGCTGTCTCGTGCTGATGAACCAAATCGACGAAAATCCTCAAATAAACTATTGTTATGTAGAAAGTCACACAACTCTTGGCGACACTCTCCAGAATCTTAGAGAGGAACGGGAGGTTAGAAATGGTCTATAGTTGGCTAAAACCCCGGGTCAAGAGTAACTTTTAAGAAGGGTTAATACAGCTACTTAAAGGACGACATATCCTGATAATAAAGAAAGATTAATCATATCCAGTAAAGAGTCCAATTAAGGGAACAACTTCTTAAGCAGCCTAGTTGGGATCGGGTCTAACAGACAGGTTGATGGCTCGATGAAGAAATGATGAAGTTAACTGATGAAGATCGATAGCAGAAAACAGTCTAAATATAACGAGTTTACATTGACAGAAGTCCCGAACTGGAGAGCCACGATAACCGTTGATGGCAGTTGGTGATTAATTTTTCTCTAATAGTAATAATTTTATTATAGAAGAAGCTCATGAAGTCATTGCTACTTAAGTTTATGGGGATATGTGGCCGATAGAGCTGACTCTGTCAGCCTGGCTACAGTCGAAGAGGAACCTAGGGTTGTTCTTATTTTCTTCTATTAGTGCTGAGTAATAGGCTCCTCGGCATTACGGAGGGCCTTTCTATAAATCTTAAGATCATCTTGCCAATTGAGCGATATTCGATAATTTGTAAGAGCCCATTTCCTTCAGATTTCCTAGCTATTTGCTTAACGGCGGGTTTGGTGGTTATACCAAGGTGCTAGTCTCCTATGTTTTAATAATTTCCTTTTATAGGAGCGAAGAGTCTAATGTTGATCGTAGTGAGCCTGTAGCACTATGACAAGATTATCAATTCAGAGGGACTAAAGTTGTTATAGGACTCTGTTAAATCAGACATGGCATTGAATAAACACGAAGGAATCCCTCCTAAATTTAGCTACAGCACGTCAGATAGACATCGCGTAGGAAGTTTCCAATGGCTTATAATCTAATAGTATGAATTCAAAAGTTACTAAATAATGGTCAGAAGGAAAGGATTATGTGGGAAGACTATTAAATGTTCAATATCAATGCCATATGATAGAACAAGGTCAAGAGTGTGATTAAAACAATGAGTTGGTTTATTTACACCGACAGAAGCCAATGAGTCTATTAATGATATAAATGCATTACTAAGGCGCATTGTCAACATCCACATGAATATTAAAATCACCTACAATAATTACTTTATCTGATTTAAGGACTAAGCATAGAAACCGAAAATTCAGATATAAAGTCAGAGTACGGTCCAGGAGCGCGTACACTATAACAAATAGAACTGGCTGCAGTGTTTTCCAGTTTGGGTGAGAAAGGCTAAGAACAAGGCTCAAATGAATTATAATTAGTTTAGGTTTAGGGTCCATTAAAAGCTCGAATCATATATAGCTGCACCCACCTCCGGCCTGTGCCTCGAGGAATGTGAGTATTAATATGACTGGGGGGTGGATTCATTTAGGCTAACATACCCGTGGAACAACCAGGACTCAGTAAGACAAAGTAAATCAATATCATAATCTGATATTAATTCATTCACTAAAACAGCTTTAGAGGACAGAGACCGATATTTAACAGCCCACATTTCATTCTCTTATTTTGTGCACTGAGGAGTGGTTTTAATTTTATTAGATTTTATGTTGAACTCCTCTTGTTTTATTTCTTTAACCCTGTAACACCCCTTGTTGTAAAATTACAACGTTACCTTTAGCCATTCTAAAAACAATCGTTATATTTTATCTTATGTTTTACCACATTTACATAGTCATTGGGTCCTATTGTTCAGTCTCACAATGCTATTGGATGGTACATTTGTTTATAAGTCCCGCCTTATGGCCATGAACTCACTCAACTTCTCAAGGTTTCTTTCGAACAACATCTCTTTGTTTCATTGGACTAAATTCATCAGATTCTAGTAAGTAAAATGTCTTTTACATTTTTTGGTTGTTATTACAATGTCCAGAGCATGTACATATGTAGTTATTGTGGAATAGATTCATCAAATTTCATTTAGAGCTTGTTATATATTTGTTGCAATTCTACAACACTGGGTGAGTGTGGTAGTCAAAAAGCAGGCTTGTTGCAGTGGGCCCAAACAGGTTGCATTCCCTCCACTACACCACTGCCTCTAACAAAGTATTTTCTTATACATGGACAGTATACATCTACCCTTGTGTTGTGTTCTGGTCAAATTTGACTGATTTAAAAGTTTTATCTTCAAAAAGTAGTTAATTTGACCAGACTGACCTAAAATTCCATGACTTTGTCCACAAAGAGGATATCAACAGACAATTCAGTTCTGGGAAAGGTGAAAATGTCCTGAATGTGGGGTGTGGATATAAGTGGGGGTATGCATGTTTTCCTTTTAGTATGATAATTAGAGAGCACAAAACGCAGTATTGTTATGTCAAGGCAGTATTGTTTGACTAAATGGCTGGTGATTGGGATGCATATTTCTTTTAGCATGATAAGTAGAGAGCATAACAAGCTGTCAAGGCAGTATGAAGTATCCTATCAAGGGAAATTCAGCAGCATCAAGCAATATATGCAAGGCAAGCCAAACCCATGGGGATTCAAAGTGTGGGGAGAACTGGAATCTCGGCATGATGTGTGACGTCTACCAAGGCAATGTCAACGGAATACGAGCCAAATCGAACTTGGATTGTCAGGTGATGTTGTGATGAAGCTTGCTCCACACATCCAGAAGGTCAGAACTACAAAAGTATGCAGACAACACCACCGTGTTCCATTATTAGTGAAACTCCTTGATTGGGGAATTCATTAAGTGGGAACAGCCAGGCAGTGCGCCACCCAACTGTAACCTTGAAGAGAAGAGCTTGAAGAAAGGATGAAGCTATGACGTCAGAGTGGGGGGAATCACAACATCTGTGCTTCAAATGTAGACAACAGGGCCGCACACATCCTTGCTTGAACGAACCTGTGCAGAAGATTCACCACCTAAAGCCACCAGAACCTACATGAAGTTGAGAGGCCTTACATTGTTGGTGCCACAACAAGTACATGGGGGTATGGATTTGTTGGACCATTTACAGCCAAATATAAGTTCCCCATCAAATCCCGTCGCGGTACATGTCATCTTCTGGCACACCACATCCTCGTTGTGGTCAATGCCTGGCCCTCTACAAGCGGGACGCAAAGCTTTCAAGATGTCTAGCAAAGAGACAAGAACAGGAGACAGTTTCAGGCACAGCTAGCATCCTCTCCATCCTGGTAAACACAACACTTGAACCCAAAGGGGAGACCATCTTCAGGCAAAGGGACCCAGCATCACAGACAGTGACACAGAAAGCCCTCGAATGCTCAGAGAGACCACCAAGAATGTGCACACCTTACATTGGAGTACGCAAGGACCTAGTTGCACATTTCCCAGTGAAGACAGGAGGGACCTCAGACACTACAATAAAGAACACCAACACCAATGCAGCAAGTGTGATGTCGCCTTGCTTTCAGAGGACAAGAACGTTTTGGGACTTCACTAACAAGAAAGTCAGTCAGAAAAAAAAAGGAAGAAGAAGTTGCTAGAAAAACTAGAGTTTTGTCCTGTTTAACAGTTTTTAATAAATGACTAATGTGTGATTATTATTAATGTTATATACCTTTATGGGGCTAAGTAAGCAATCAACCCTGCAAATTAACCGTAGTTGTTCGAATTGTTGTTCAGACAACATAGTACAAATACAGAAATTCTCTCCCACGAAGCCCAATGTTGCAATATTACAACATTTCTCTATAAACTACATAAACATTATTTTTTAAAAACTCTTTAATTTCTGCATCAAAGGCCTACTACAACAACATCGAAAGGTAAAATAATTTTTAAAGGTTTTCTATATTTGGGTCTTACAGGGTTAAATAATTTAGGTGGTCGGGGGACAGACACAGTCTCTATGGGGTTTGGGTGGGTGACTGTTCTAAAGAAGCGCAGAAGTGTGTAAGACAGCAGCTCTGCTTCCTGGTCCTAACTCTGGACTGTCAGGTTTTAGAGATAAACTTCGCCATATTTCTAGATAAGAGAGCCGCTCCATCCAAAGTGGGATGGATGCCGTCTCTCCTAATCAGACCAGGTTTTCCCCAAAAGGCTTCCAGTTATCAATGAAGCCCACATCGTTTGCTGGACACCACCTCGACAGCCAGCGGTGGAATACGACATGCGGCTGTACATGTCATCACTGGTCACATTGGGGAGGGGTCCAGAAAAACTACGGTGTCCGACATTGTCTTAGCATAGTTACACACCGACTCCACATTAATCTTAGTGACCTCCGATTGGCGTAAACGGGTGTCGTTACCGCCGACGTGGATAACAATCTTACTGTATTTACGTTTACCTTAGCCAGCAGTTTTAAATTTGATTCAATGTCGCCCGCTCTGGCCCCAGGGATACATTTAACTATGGCCGCTGGCTTCGCTAACTTCACGTTTCTGACTATGGAGCTGCCAATAACCAGATTGGTTCCTCAGCGGGTGTATCGCTGAGTGGGGAAAATGTATTAGAAACATGAATGGGTTGGTGGTGAACTGTGGGCTTCGCCGTTCTAGTCTTCCTTCGCTCAGTCACCCAGCCTCCCTGTCTTCCCGGCTGCTCGGGAACTACCGGGGATCTACAGAGCTAACAGAAGCTACCTTCGGTCGGACCGCACCGGCTACCGGGGGCTGGCTAACTATAGCGGCTAAAGATATCTCAGTGGTGCGGTACCGTTCCTCTAACTCACTAAGCCTCGCCTCCAGCGCAGTAAATAAACTACATTTAATACAGGTACCATTATCTTTAAAGGAGGCAGAGGAATAACTGAACATCTGACACATGAGCAGGACAGAGGAGAGGGAGAGGGAGAAGCCATAGCTAACTGCTAATGCTAATGAAACTAGAGTGTATGAAAAACTTGAAAGTAGTGAAAAGTCCCTAAAAGAGGGAGAAACTCCAAGTGTTTAAGTAGAACTAGTCTACGTTTAAATGTTAAGCGGGTAAATAACCGCTGTAACGAGTAAAACTAATTTATATTTAGCGTTCACTGACAGAGCTACAGCACCAAACAGTGTACACAGAGCAGGAAGTAAACCGGAAGTGAGTCAGTACGCTTACCGTAGCACGTCCAACCAATCCATTGTAACTTAAATTATTAAATAACTTAAAAAAAAATAATTCTTAAAGATACAGAGCAGTGTCTTCAGCAGTTGAGTGATGTCAACTATTTTCCAGTTTTAGATAAGATTGTGGCTGCAGCATTTTGAACTAACTAAAGCTTTCTCATGGACTTTATAGGTAATCAAAAAAAGAGAATTAAAGTAATCTAAACGATTAGAAGTAAAAGTGTGAGTGAGTATTTCAGCATCCTATTATTCCTCAGAATTCCTCAAAATGAGAATTAAAATTAAAATCATGATCTAACATCGCTCCCAAATTTTTGACATTAGTTTTAATCATTTTGATACAGTCACCAAGCATTGAATGTAGTTTCTTATTCATCCTATTCAGAGAATCTCTATTTTTCCTCATTTAGCTTTAAAAAGTTTTTACCCATTCATACATTAATGTTAGTGAGACAGGCAACGAGAGCATGCAGTGCAATGATGTGGTTTGGTAAGACAAAAATATACAATTGAGTATCATCAGCATAAAATGTTAAGTGGAAGCATGTATAAAGAAAACAGAATTGGGCCAATAATGCTTTCTTGAGGAATGCCATATTGAATCTCTGATATATAAGCACTCAGGTTGACAAAAAACTGTATCAGTTAAATATGATTGAACCCAGGCTAGTACATGGTCAGTGAGACCCACCCATGAATTAAGTCTCTCCATCAAAATATTGTGGAGTATAGTAGAACAACACCCACTGTGTTACCTTCCAATTAGCAGCTGTGTTTTACTGTTCAAGTGCCGTCAAATTACGGAAATTATTCCCTCCAAGTTGTGTAGTAATAGTAATGGTAATATAATTGTTCAAATCAATTTGTTCTCAGACAGAATCCACTCACAGTTTAAGAGTGTATGAAGATGGCAGTGTGGACACCTTAAGGAGTGCTGTCTTAGGTCCAAAATAGTCAAGAGAGGGTGGTTGTCAATGTAAGGCATGGTCGTCTAACAGAGAAGAATGCTAATGGGCAGTCTCTGAAGGTACAATAGATACAAAAGATTTAAAGAGTAAGGCCTGTCACTCACTGATGATTTCATGATCCAAGATGGCAAGATGTGAGTGGCAGCCTGTTACCGCAGCTGTGGAGTGCTAACGCAGGTCCTCCATCCAATTTATACTCCTGTATTTATTTTTGTCCCTGTGCAATTATTTATTTTTACACCATGCCAATTCCTCCTGCTGTGACCTGTGCAATGTTCCATATCAATCACATCTGTATGTAAAAAGCTGTATATTGTGTCCATGCAACTCTTTTTTTTCCTATTTTCATTATATCTTTTTCTTCTATTTTATTTTATTTATTTATTGTGTATTTTCTTATCTATTGTGTTGAATCTGGAATTTCTGAATGAGTGAATTTCCCAAGTTTGGGATCAATAAAGTCTATCTTATTTTATCTTAGCAGGGAAGTACCCAAAAGTTGCAACACACAATGGCAACAAGAACAGCAGACCGGTAGCGCTCCCCCTGGTTCCTCTCTTCCAATGTTGTCCTCTCTTGACACAGTTTTAGCATATGGGTCCTTGGTTGCTCAGTGTTGCTTGCCAACCAAAGCTTTAAAACAAATATAGACTCCAATTTCCACTTTTCTGCCGTTTATTACATGGCATTTGGCGTAGTTGTCAGGATCTGTTTTTTTGAGCAGAAGGATACTTAACCATGATGATGCTTGTATATGCTAACACTCCTGGTTGCAAAAATGTAAAAGACCTGGGGCCTCATTGATGAAGATTGCAATTTCAAAAACTTGCTTAAACAGCTGTGAAATGTGCATATGCATATTTCCCTGCAAAAGCCAGAATTTATAGAGAATTTACAGAAAAAAATGACACATTCCTATGCATCCTTTAACCCATGCTTAGAGCTCACACAAAGTGTTTAATAAAAAGCATTCAGTATGGTGATATGATGAACTAAGGCTCAGTCCTCATATGAATATATATGCTCTAATTCCTTTAATTGTGGATTAAATTATTATCACTACTGCAACTATAGTCTAACCAACAATTAGGATGCAGATAGCTTGTGATGAATGCCAGGCAATATAGGGGTTCAGGGAAAGGTTAGGACCAGGGTGTGGTAGCCCACATCAAGATACTTGGTAGAGGCAAAGTGTTGACATCAACCTAGCCATGTAGTTCAGCTATTCTTCCCGGTAAACTCCCAAAAAGGAGAGCATTGTTGAGCACCTTCCTTAAAAAGTCATTCTTAAGTCTTTAGTAGATTGATGCATATAGTATGTAGTTAATCTTACATTACAGATACAGAATAGTTTCTCAAGAATGCGGCACTGTCTGGACAAAGCGACAACACCTCAGTGTCTTCACAATGTGCTGTCGGATTTCAGTGGTTCTGATGCCGTAGATGATCGGGTTGAAACAGCTAGGGAACAGCGGGTACATGGTGCTGAAGAAAACCCGAATGGCTGCAGGAACACCATTTCTGATCCGATACGACAGGAAAGCAACAAGTGCGATGGTCAGAGTGACAGTGATGACCACGATGTGGGTGACACAGGTGTGAAGTGCTTTGACACCCGATTTGCCAGACTTGAGCACAGATGTGAATATCACCACATAGGATGCAGCAATGATGATGAAGTCAACCACAAGGATAAGGAAAACTGAGATCAACCCCATCAAGCTGTTGATGGCAGTACTTCCACAGGCCAGCTCCACCAAGGCCATGTGCTCACAGAAACAGTGGTTCATTACATCTGAAGCACAGAATGACAATGTTCCTGCCAGACTCAGTAAGACAGTGATCATGACAACATTTCTGATCACAAGCGGGATTATAAACTTGAGAAATCTCGGTAAAGCCATGCGTTCGTGGTAGTAAAGTGGTGTGCAGATGGCAAAATAGCGGTCCAGTGCCATCCAAACCAGCAATGTGGACTGAAAAGTTCCCACGAAGTGAATAAAGTGCATCTGAACCAGGCAGCCAATCAGAGAAATTCTCCTCCAGTCAAACAAGAAGCTCAGCAGCATGTTGGGGACAAAGAACACTGGAAGGCTCAGGTCAACACATGCCATGCCGGCGATGAGGATGTACATCGGTGAGTGGAGACTTCTCTGTGAAATGACGATGTACAGCAGCAGGGAGTTGCCCAGCAGTGACACAACAAACATGATGAAGAAAGGTATGAAGAGGACGGGCCTCAGTGCTCCGAGTTCATTGAAGCCATTGAGGATGAAGTGTTTGTTCGAGGAGACGTTCTCCATTCTCCCTCTTCATAAAACTTCCTAGTTCAGGGTTTTGGTTCAATCAGCCTGAAAACAAGAGAGACACAATTATTTGAAAGTTTAACATCCACAAAACTGCAAACTCTGTTCCTGTAAGATGTCTTCTAGTTTTACAGAAAAACTAATGATTGTCTTATAAACAAAGACTTGGTTTACCACCTGAATTCAATTCACAGTACTGAAGCCGTATAACCAGTTCAACTGTTTCCCAGAGACCGATGTTTTGCATAAGCAATGTTTGACACCACAGTGGGAAAACAGAGTGTTAAGATAAGTAGACAATTACATAATGCTGATACTTATAATTCAGTATGTATAATGCAATGTCTTTAATTTTATGTGAATAGAACTGTAACATGTTGACAGACACAGCTGATTCTTTCCTTTCATTTAGGAAATCACATTGCACTGATTCCCCAATCATCTCATCTATTACTGAGTCTAAACAACATATTTAAATTTGATTTTTTAAAATCACAGATAACCTTATTCTGTAATTTTCATTGTTATTTGTTGTTACTCATTTGCAGAACAGGTCAGGATGTGTGAAGTTTTTACTTGACCTGCAAGTCAAGTAAAAACTTCACACATCCTGACCTGTTCTGCAAGAAAGGTTTCTAGGACTTAATATCTTGCAAAACCAACAATTACTGCTGTTCAAACTTCACTGGATTAGCTACAGTTCTGTAGCTGACTAACAAAAATGAGCAACACTGTGGTAATCTGCCAATTTTGTGGACATATTCTGGATATATTCTCCAACATTTCAACTAAGGCCCAAACTTGTAATGATTATCTTTAAGGCCTATCAGTATCTTATGGCGACCTGGGCTGATTCAATGTTTTAAAAAAAAATCTTAATCCAGAGTCTAAAGATGGGATGTCGAATGTTGCACAGTTTGTGAGGACCTTCAAGGAACATCTGTGAATGTCAGCTATTTAGATGAAACTGACTTGAATATGAACACAGTTGTGCTGAGAAACCATCCCTTCCAGAAACAGAGCAACATTTACCACATTTCTGAACATTTAACAATAAAAACATCTTCTGGCTGCATCACCAGCAAATTAATGTCAAGGAAGAACAACACATGAACACCATGAAACATTTTGTCAAACAAACCTCACAAAAAGCAGAACTGGCTCAGGGCTGGCTCATCCCTCCTCAGGGTATTTAGCTTGACATTGAAGACAGAACTGAGAACACACTGATAACATAATGAAATTCAGCCAGTGTAGTGAGATCATTTAACTTGTTTCTAGTGAGACAGATAAAATCACTAGAATCAATATATGACAATATAGAAATTGTCTGAAACAGTCTAAGGTGAAATTATCCTCCCGTTGTCTGACTGTTTCTTTCTTTTAAAGAAAATAAGATTTCAGGACTTAAACATGAAGAGTTAAACATGATGAGCTGCTGACAGTTTGGCTCTGTAGAAAAGAAATTAGTAGGTCTTACCTGTAGTTGGTGTTTGGGAGTTCGTCAGTAACCGTGTCCCGTCTGCAGGTTGATATCAGCCGCTGACTCATCCATCCAGCCTTCCATACCTGTCCCTACTGAACGCTGACTTAGCATTTTAATACCCTCTGTCTGACGCTGCCATTGGCTGAAGAGACCAAGGCGGACTGAAGGTCCCACAGTGTCATGCAGTCAAAATAAGTAATTAAGTATGAAAAACTTTACATTTTAAAGCACCTTAATGCAAACTAAATGTTTTGCATTTTGTGCTGCTGCAGCTGCTGCTCGCTGGCCCAACTTCCGAAAGAGTCCCAGCAAGAAGTGTTCATGATTTACGGCTGAAGATGCCACCATAAATCAGTCTTACTTGAATACCACGTAGAATGAAATATGTCGGGGTTCTATTAATGGCCACAAGGTTGAGCTATTGTTAGTAGAATTGTATGAAATGTTACACACATGTGCAATGTGGCTTTACGTAGCAGTAATCACACAATAGTGTCAAATTATTGGACTAAACTACAACTTACGAAATAAAGTTATGGTAATGATAACATTAACTTATAGTTACGATTGAATAAAGAGACAGTACGGACCAATGACCAGTATCTACATCTCTTACCTATGCCCTGTATCTACAGCACTAAATTCTGTCCTGTATCTGTCCTGACCTATTGTAAAATGGACTTAATCAAATCTTTCTTAGCTGTCTCTGAAAGACTATTAATGTCAAATTATTGGACTTCACTAAAATTTATAAAATGTCAATATTAATAATGTAATTATTGTAACTATTTTATTAGTCAAGCAGACAATGCAGACCTCTGCCTTGTAGCTACAGGACTGACCTCTGTCCTGTATCTATCCTGACCTCTGTAACTTCGGTATCATTGGATTCAATCCAATTTTTGTTAATTGTCGCTGAAAGACAATTAGTCTGGAATTATTGGACTTGCCTCCACTTGACACAGTTTTAGTGTGTGGTTTATTTCATGGGATTATCCGATGTCGGCACGATCAGGTTTTGTGAGCAGTTGTGGTAACCAAGAGGGTTAATTAACCATGATGATGCTTGTATACCCTGACGCTCCTGGCTGCCAAAGTTTAAAGGACCTGGGCCCCATTAATGAAGGTTGCTATCATACAGAAAGTATGACAGTGATATGTGCATACCCGTGTTTCCCCACAAAAACTGGTTGTGGCTTGGGCCTGGCGCACACTCTCCCCGTGTTTCCACAAGAATTTTTAAACAAATACAGTACTCTTATTTTCCCTTTTAACACATTTTATCACATAAATGTAGGCCCTGGGCTAACAATTAGGATGCAGATAGCTTGTGATGAATACCAGGCAATGTAAGGGTAGCTATCGTTCAGGTAGGGGGAGCCAGGGTATGGTAGCCCGCATCAAGACACTCACAAAGTGTTGACCTCAACCTAGCCAGATAGTTGAGCCTTCACCCTGGGCAACTACTGAAAAGGAGAGCACTGAGCACCTATCTCATAAGTCTTACTTGCCATGATCAGTTTCATTTTTATCAATAGTAACTTTTGATTTGTTTTGTTTTATCTCATTGAAATGTGTCTCCATATAATAGAGACATTTTACGTTACAGATTTGAATAGTTTCTTAAGAATGGGGCACTGTCTGGACAAAGCGACAACCGGTCAGTGTCCTCACAATATGCTGTCGAATCTCAGTGGTTCTGATGCCGTAGATAATCGGGTTGAAACAGCTCGGGAACAGCAGGTACATGGTGCTGAAGAAAACCTGAATGCTTGCAGGAAGACCATTTCTGATCCGATATGACAGGAAAGCGACAAGTGCAATGGTCAGACTGACACTGATGACCACGATATGGGTGATGCAGGTGTGGAGCGCTTTGGCACCTGACCTGCTGGATTTGAGCACAGAGCTGAATATCACCACATAAGAGGCAGCAATACAGATGAAGTCGACCACAGGGATGAAGAACACAGTCAGTAACCCAGACAGGTTGTTGATGGCAGTACTTCCACAGGCCAGCTCCACCAAGGCCATGTGCTCACAGAAACAGTGGTTCATCACATTTGAATTGCAAAATGACAATGTTCCTGCCAGACTCACAATCAGCATGATCATAAGGACATTTCTGAGCAAAAGCGGGATTATAAACTTCAGAAATCTCGGTAAAGCCATGTATTTGTGGTAGTAAAGTGGTGTACAGATGGCAAAGTAGCGGTCTAGTGCCATCCAAACCAGGAATGTGGACTGAAAAGTTCCTACAAAGTGAATGAAGTGCATCTGAACCAGGCAGCCACTCAGAGAGATTCCCCTCCAGTCAAACAAGAAGCTCAGCAGCATGTTGGGGACGAAGAACACTGGAAGGCTCAGGTCAACAAATGCCATTCCAGCAATGAGGATGTACATCGGTGAGTGGAGGCTTCTCTGGGAAATGACGACATACAGCAGCAGGGAGTTGCCCAGCAGTGATACAACAAACATGATGAAGAAAGGTATGAAGAGGACGGGCCTCAGCGCTCCGAGTTCATTGAAGCCATTGAGGATGAAGTGTTTGTGAAAGGAGACGTTCTCCATCCTCCCCTCTTCATAAAACTTCCTCATTCAGGGTTTTAGTTTCGATCAGGCTAAAAAAACAGAAGAACCAAATTATCTGAATGTTTAATTTCAACAAAACTGCAATTTATGTTCCTGTAAAATGTCTTCTAGTTGTACAAAAAAAAAATTAGAAATGATTTTCTTGTAAAGAGAAGAGCAGGTCCACCACCGAAATTTAAACCACAGGACTGAAGCCTGCTGTCACTCTCTGATTGATAGGTTGCCAGCCATTAACTGAATCTAATTTACCAAGTCAATTTAATTTATACAGCTTAAAATCAACTTTAACAAAATTGCCTGAGAAGACTTTACAATCTGTAGCTCACACAACATTTAATTTTTTCTCAATTCAAACTATTAAAACATTTTGCATTGATGTCATATTTACAGAGTAGACTGAACCACTAATAGAATTACAATATGGAGAAACACAAGGACAATATGACTGACTGATGGCTGAGGTTTCAAGTAAGCAATGTCCTTAATTAAATGTGAACTGTAACATGACACATAGCTGATGGGCCTGAGTGTCTACTTTCTATTTCTTTAGGAAATCACATTGCATTGGTTCCGCAATCATCATCTATATTTGTGAGTCAAATATAATACAGTATAATATAAATAACCTTATTTTAGTCCTTTTCAGTTATTTTTCCCAATATTTACCACATTACTTAACATTTAACTATAAGAGTGTTTTTTGGTTGCATGGCAAATTTATGAGGGCTCAATAACAAATATATGTCAGGGTAAAACATCACCTCAACACCATGCAACATTTTCTCAAACAACCTTCACAAAAAGCAGAGCTGTCACATTGAAGAGCAAACACTGAAAACATAATGGAATTAATCAAAAGAGCGTCCTGACATCATTTGTTTACAGTTCAGTGAGACTGATAAAATCACTAGAGCCACAATATATGACAATATAGAAAATGTCTGAAACAATCTTACAAAAATATATTTTTTTTCCTTTTGAGATTTCAACATGAAGAGTTCAATCTGATGAGCTGACAGCTCAGTTCTGTAATTAATTAATAAGAAGTGAGCAGATTTTACTTTTTGAGTTTGGGAGTTCATCAGTAAACACGTCCCGTCTGCAGATTGCTGATATCAGCCGCTGACTGTCCTCCATCCGCATGTCTCTACTGAACACTGACTCAGCACTTTAATACCCTTCGTCCAACGCTGCCATTGGCTGAAGAGACAAAGTCGGACTGAAGGTCCCACAGTGTCATGCAATTAAAATAAGAAATTAAGTTTGGAAAACATTATATTTGAAATCCCCTTAAAACAAATTACGTTTTCTAGTTCCCTCAACTGCCAATCCATGGCGATTATTTCACAACTTCTCTTGAACTAATGGCGTAAAGTTGTTTTTGATATAGGATAAAAATTTGCAGGTTGTTGTTGCGTTTGCTTTCAATTTGCGAGTAGCACCCACTGCGGTATTGGCAGACCGAAGTTGTATGGGCTGATTTTTGTGTCAGTAGAAACTGAATTTGAATCATTTAGAACTGAATCTGAATTGCTCAACTTGAATGATTGCATTAAAAAACTGAATCTGAAAAGCATAATTTGAATTTGAATTTATTAGTTTGAAACTGAATTCCAATCAACTTGAAACTGAATATAATATTATGAATCTGAATTCACTTGCAACTGAAACTGTATGTGGTAAATGGACCTGTACTTGTATAGCGCCTTTCTAGTCTTCCGACCACTCAAAGCACTTTTACACTACGTGTCACATTCACCCTTTCACACACATTCACTCAGTGATGGCAAAGTCCATCGAACAGAAACTAACATTCATACACACTCACACACTGATGCATGGCAACAGGAGCAATTTGGGGTTCAGTTTCTTGCTCAAGGATACTTCGACATGTGGCACCAGGAGCCACATGTATTTGAGCCTCACTAAAATTCAACTTTTTATGTACTTTAGATTTCAGTTCTCTCAATTCAATTTCAGTTCTCTCAAATCAAATTCACTTAACTAAATTCAAATTCAGTTCTCTCAATTCAAATTCAGTTCTCTAAATTCAATGTCAAACCACAAGATTCAACTTTTACGGTCACAGACAGGTCAAGGTCGTTCAGTAAGAGCAACAGAGCTCCTTTTTGACTAAGCAGCACGTTTGTTTTGACCATTTCCTGTACCTGTAGACATTGGATAACGAAAAACAAGCTTAAAGGAGACATATTGTTCCCTTTTTCAGATTCATAATTGTATGAACCACTTCATGTCGGACTGTTTTCACAACCTCGGTCAGTACAACACTGGACTGGCTGAAAGACTGTTCCTGAAAGAGGGATTGTACCAACTGTCTGTGGAGAGACGGCAGAGGAAGTCACTGGAAGGATTTTTGTGTAATGCTAGCACATGCTAAGCGTTGTTAGCTGCAGGAGCCTCAGTGATGCTAACGTAGTTATTGTTTGTTAAATGTTTGTTAAATGTTTGTTAAATGTTTGCAAGATGAACATGAAACTTATAAGGTAAAGTTAATTTATTAAGCCAGCTGGTGCAGATGTCTCCATATTCTCCCCTGCTGATATTGTTATAGAGATTCACACAAAGTTTATTATAAGTTTATACAGAGAATCACCAAGCTTCGTGCGGGGGGGGCTGTAACTCTGTAACTCCGTTACTGTTGTGGGTTTTGTGACCGGGCTAAATTGGCTTTATGTTGGTCTGTATTTAGTTAAAGTGCTCAGTCAGTAATATGTTTGTGTCGCTGTTAGAAAGAACAGAAAACCTCCGAGTGAACAAACTGTAGCTGCTCATCAGCTGTTAGCTCGTTGAGCTGCATAGAACAGGGAAGATAACGTCAGATAGCTTTAATTGTCTTTAACCTGGTAACTTATTATCTGCTGGGTAGCTCAGTATCTGTTCACCGTGTGGATCAATACAGCTGTGATCAGAAGATACCGTACTTGTACTGTGTATAAATTCAGCAGCGGAGGTCATTTGTTTGGTAACGTACCGGAACTCGGACCCGATCGATTTTCATGCTAATATTCTATATAAATTCCCTTTAACTACTAAGTCCAATGATCATGTGGTTGAGGTGCTAAAGTAAAGATGAACTTCTTAGCTTTCTAACCGTGTATCGTTTTAACCATTTACTTTTGCTCTGTCTTTGAGCTGCCGGTGTCCCCAGTCTAACGGCAGCGTGCGCCCGCTGTAAACATTGAACACTGCTGGTGTTATGGGGGTATTAAGTTGTTCCTGAGACAAATGATATGACAAAAAATATTTTATTAAATGACACACATCTTGACAGGACAAAAAACAGCAATAAATACAATATATACAAAATAAATATATAAAGAATAATCAAATTAAAAACAAATTAAATAACAAACTAGTCAAACATATTAAGACACCAAAAACACCAAAATTCGTCATTGTCCAGCTCCTCCCAGCCGACACAAATGGTGTGAAACCACTTGCCACACTTGTTGCACTGGACCCACGGCACTAATCCCTCCGAGCAGACACCCGGAGGGTCAGGTTCCCTGCACTGGTCACACAGATCTTCCATTGCCGTTCTGGTGGTGTGACCTACTCATAGAAAAAATATATTTAAGAAGATGTTTGAATATCATGGGATGGCACACAAAGACTGTTAATGTTAAATACAATACCAGTGGATGCCGTGGGTCCAGCAGACGGCTGGGAGGCGCAGCTGTCTGTCTGCAGGCTGTATAAACAAGATGACATGTGTTGTTTACTCATCATCATCCCTAATATCCCCAGCATCTTAGGACATTGCTTGTTTTTATAGATGATATAAAGCATTTACATTGGGAGGGAGAGGAAGATAATCTGGACCCTCGGAGGCCGAAGATGTTGATGGCTTTAAAAGAAAAATCATATTTTAGTATTACAACAAAATTATTTCCCAAAGCTGTATTAAAATTGCAGAGAAAATAATAAAAAAAACATCTGCTTTACCATCCAGTTGCCAGCCAGGAGCAGGCAGGCTAGGTGGGGATGTTCCGCTGGGGGCTCTCTATTTATTTTAGCTTATAAACAAGAAAATACATCTGAATAGCTAATTTGAACCTTATTTTTGCATTAAATCTTCATGTGTACTGTGATACTTCACAGCTTAAAAAACCAATGCTGCGCTTGCTCTGTTCCTTTGTTCTCCTTTCCCGTGTCTGGAACTTATTCAATTTCAATAAAAAAAATTGGCCTCCACCCACCTCGACCACAGATTGTATAAATACATTATCTGACATTTTCATTGTCTAGACTAATCAGTGTAAACCTAGCTACGATATGTACCCATATGAGAGCTTATTTAAGCTGCAAAGTGAAAATAGAAACGGACTTTTAAAGTTGACTGGATCGTCGCCCAAGCGCAATCTAAGCGTTCCCGCGGCTTCCCCTCATTAAAGTAACTTTCATATAATAATTATACATGTAAATGTTGATGTATATTTATGAAAAACCACATATAGACTCTGTAAAATGTAGAAATTCCTTGGACTTACGTTAGATGGCGATCGTGTGCCGGGAAGTACCGCGAGAAGACCGGAAACTGCGTCAAGCCGGAAGTCATTTGGGTCCCGACGCCGGCAAAAAACAGCGTTCGGGTCCGAGTTCCAGTACGTTAGGATTGTAGCTTTGATTAGCACACAGCAGCTCTGTGATGTCACTGTGTTACTATAGTTACTGAGTCTATCGGACTTTATGTTGTAATATGAGGGGCAGTGTGATCGATAAGCCTCGTTAACCGTTAATTAGGTTGGAGCCTGGTGGTTGTTTTTCATGTTGCTTTTTGTGTAGTCCCTGTCTTGAACTTTCTACTGACGTGCTAACGTTATCTCAGCTCGCGTTAGCTTTGTTATTTCTCAGAGGGCGTTCTTCTGCTTCGTTCAGATGTGTGTGCGTGCTGCTGAATGTAAATTAACTTGATCAACGTGCACCAGAGTTAACAATAGAGCTACTAGAGAACAGAGACAGTTGCAGCTTCAGGACAGTCTGGATATCCAAGGGAAGACTCATGAAGATGAACACTGACTGCAGAGCTCCACTGCTAGATCACACTTCAGTATACTAGAAACCATAAACCTTGAAACATGAATAAAGTGTTTTACTTTTAAGAAGAGTTTTGGTCATTTTTAAATTGTGTGGTTTTATATAAATAACATGTTATTTCACAGAGGTTTTATGAAGATTTCCTGGATGTACAAGAGTTGAAACCTGGTTCGTGTAACATCCATCAATATGAACATGTGAAATTTAAACCTGTAGTAAATGACTGTAAGCAACACAATACATTACTGTCTCACATTCAAACTTTATTATGTTGGAAGATAAATTACATCACAATATATAATATAAGTGATAGAATATTCAGTATACAGTATTTTTAATGGGGTTCAAACATAATTGCAGCTTTTACAAATATCTGAAGGTTAACTTTGGTAATAATACTTTTAAGTTAAAATATCAGACTATGAAATATGGATACAGTACAGTTAACAGTTGGTTAGTTAGCAGTTTTTAAACCACATAAACAAGTTACTTTATTAGATGAGTGATTCCTTCAGTTATGTTGACATGTTGTACAGGATAAAGTATTCCAGGTTTCTGTTTCCATGGTCTCAGTAAACTAATGTGTATAAAGAATATAACAGATGGGAGGTTACAGTAATCATTATACTATTACTCTGATTACTTTGGTACATTTACTGGCTGTTTCTTCACTAGAAACAACTGTTTGACTAAAGTTGTTAATATTATGTAATATATAATATGTTTAACTTCACTGGGCTGTGTAGACTGTAGGTCACTGCTCACTGCTGTACCTGGAAAGACAAGCATAAAACACCGTTGGTGTTCTGTGACGAGCATGAGGTGTTCTGTGATGGCCAGCTCTCCATATGTTCACTATTTATTAACGATTACTTCTACACATACCTTATGACACACTACTGGCATGGCTGATATTAAACTCTAAGTTTTTCTTGATATTTTTTTAAAAGTATTTTTTGGCTTTTATTGCCTTTATTTGATAGAACAGCTGAAGATAGACAGGAAGGGGGGGCAGAGAGAGAGAGAGGAGATGACATGCAGGAAAGGGCAGCAGGTCAGATTCGAAGCCTGGGCCGCTGCAGCAAGGACTCAGCCTTGGAACATGGGTCGCCAGCTCTACCCACTGAGCTAACCAGGCACCTGTTTTTCTTGATGTTTATGCCAATCTGTAGTTTTGCCAAATAAACCCCCTATTTTATTTAGGGTAGGAGCCAACTTGCAACAAATGGGGCCTTGTCCTGGGTCCAAACAATTTCATTTTCCCCTTTCTCTTCTGCCCTGAGTAAATTTATGGATCTATGGTATGGTATATCCTTGAATACTTAATAGTGGTTTTGTCATCTGTTTCTCCACACCCTGTTTCAACTTTTAAGATGGTTGTGTGAGTGTTTTTAAGGGGATGTTTTGAGTGACTATACAAACCTAGCCTTAGATATTGGGTGTCAGTTGTGCTAGCTGGAATAGATAATGGTAGGCTATTACTTAGGGAACATTTCTCAGCAGTAGTTGCTCATGTGACTGACTTGTGACTCCAAAGGTCAAGTGTCATTGGTCAGATGGTTGAAAGAAAGCTTTTGATATTGTTAAAGCTCTTCTTACTTGGTGCCAGTGCGTGCAGCCCCATGTCTTAAGGAGTCATTTCAGGTAAAAGTGGATGCCAGCAAATACGTCTGCCAGTACTGAGATTTTGCAACGGGACACATTTTATATTGAGAGGCCAGTCAGTTATTTCTCATGGAAGGGAGTTGGTGAGCAGGGAAATGCAGTGGTAGATTAGGTAACATGTATAAGCCTGATTCATTTGATAAATGCCTATATTTAAAGTAAATTGTACTTGTTAATTGTGAATGTCTTTAGCAAACCACTATTGGTAGGTTGGGGACCTTAGGACCCTGTTCTTATAAGTGGATGGGGGTTTGTGTTATGTTTGGGTTGGCCAAGTTGTGTGGCACACCTGTACAGCATAGCTCACCTGCATTTAAAAAGGGATCTTGTCTCTTTCGCTATGCCACTCCCTAGGGACACTTCAGTTGTCCATATGTTTACTATTTTAATTTTCACCTCATGATACATTCAGCCATACACTCTTAGCTTGACTAACAATTATCAGTTAGCATTCACACATTTTCAGAATGTGTAAGTTAGCTGTATGGATGTCATAGGGAGTGCTGTCACAGGTCCAAAATGGCCAAGAGAGCACAGTGTGGTAGCCCACCTTAAGACACTTGGTAGCAGAGGCAATTTGTTGACCTGGCCAGGTTTGTCATCCTTTTACCCTGGGCAACTCCTGTAAAGAAGAGCATCAGTACCTTTCTTATAATTTCAGTCTTACGTAAAGTGAGCATTTTCATTTTTGTCAGTGTTAACTTTTAATTTGTCCGTATTCATTACAGATTTAACAGTTTCTTAAAAATGGGGCACAGTCTGGACAAAGCGACAGCACATCAGTGTCTTCACAAAGTGCTGTCGGATCTCAGCGGTTCTGATTCCGTAGATGATCGGGTTGAAACAGCTCGGAAACAGCAGGTACATGGTGCTGAAGAAAACCCGAATGCCTGCTGGAAGACCATTTCTGATCCGATATGACAGGAAAGCAACAAGTGCGATGATCAGACTGACACTGAGGACCACAATGTGGGTGACACAGGTGTGAAGGGCTTTGACACCTGACCTGCCAGTCTTGAGTACAGATGTGAATATCACCACATAAGAGACAGAAACAAAGATGATGTCACCCACAGGGATGAAGAACAGAGAGATCAACCCCACCAAGTTGTTGATGGCAGTACTTCCACAGGCCAGCTCCACCAAGGCCATGTGCTCACAGAAACAGTGATTCATTACATCTGAAGCACAGAATGACAATGTTCCTGCCAGACTCACAAACAGTGTGATCAAGATGACATTTCTGATAACAAACGGGATTATAAATTTTAGAAATCTTGGTAAAGCCATGTATTCGTGGTAGTACAGTGGTGTGCAGATGGCAAAGTAGCGGTCCAGTGCCATCCAAACCAGCAATGTTGACTGAAAAGCTCCGACAAAGTGAATGGAGTGCATCTGAACCAGGCAGCCACTCAGAGAGATTCCCCTCCAGTCAAACAAGAAGCTCAGCAGCATGTTGGGGACAAAGAACACTGGAAGGCTCAGGTCAACAAATGCCATTCCAGCAATGAGGATGTACATCGGTGAGTGGAGACTTTTCTGTGAAATGACAATGTACAGCAGCAGGGAGTTGCCCAGCAGTGACACAACAAACATGATGAAGAAAGGGATGAAGAGGAAGGGCCTCAGCGCTCCGAGTTCATTGAAGCCATTGAGGATGAAGTGTTTGTTCGAGGAGACGTTCTCCATCCTCCCTCTTCATAAAACTTCCTAGTTCAGGGTTTTAGTTGGATCACACTGAAAACAGAGAGAGAGAGAGACCAAATGACTAGAATGTTTAACTTCAACAAAACTGAAAACTATGTTCCTGTAAGATGCCTTCTAGTTTGATAAACACTAATAGAAAACCTTTTCACAAACTTGCCTCAAACTTGCCTGTCTTTACAGTACAGTATCATTTCAGGCTTGCTCTTCCAACAAATATGTGTAAAGTACTAAAATCCCCAGGACCCTTACACTGAATGGTCCCAGTTTTAGGGTTTGAAAATATAGTCACCTTAATTTACAGAGCATAACTAATATAAAAACAGACACATAACAGTCCTTTATTGAGGGTCCCTTTTTTTATTTGTATAGTTAATTGAATTTCATTGACTCTCCAATCCTTTTTTCTATTAGTGACTATAGAATATACTATAGAATAAAATATTTTGAAAAGGCAGAAAGGGTTGAAGTCTGTTCCATTTTTAACACAAATAACCATGTTTCAGTCATTTATAGTCTAATTTTGTTTTAAGATCATATCACTCATAAAGAACTGTGAAGATTGTTTCATGTGCTGCAAGAAATACATTTTTAGGACTGTATTAACATGCACACAACTTTTCTTTAAGATCTCAGAGGAAACTGTTGTAACAGGCCAGATTCAACCTTAAACTCATATTGCTCAAATGTTCACTTTTCTCCATCCTTGCAGCTCAGATGCCTTTGTTCAGGGTTGACAATTTACATGTATTGTTAAGCCTTTATTTATTATTAAATGTATCTCTCTACTGTTTAAAGTACCATGCATTAGTTATAGTTCTGTAACAAAAATAAGGAGCAAGACATTTCAGTGATACCTACCAAGATTGTTGATATATATATACATATTCTGGATCTAATTTTGTCAGAAAAAAAACAGGTCAACTGTGAGAACATAAGCTCATAAGGATAGAGGGTATTGAATGTTGTACAGTTTGTGAGTAACTAACTGTGAGTAACTGTGAGTAAAATATTTGTGTGTGATAACAGGACTGAGAAACCATGTTTTCCAGAAACGGAGCAACATTTACCACAATTCTTAACATTTAGCAGTAAGAATGTCTTCTGGCTGCATCAACAACAAATATATGTCAAGGGAAGAACAACACATCAACACCACAAAACATTTTGTCAAACAAACCTAAAAAAAAGCAGTGCTGGCTCAGAACCGGCTCATCTCTATTCGCTGTTTGGTTTCACATTGAAGAGAGAACTGAGAACACATCAGGAGGTTTTACTTGTTGTTGGTGTTTTGTCCCCTCAACAGGTTGATGATGCCAGCCGCTGACTCTCCTCCATCCACCTGTCCCTACTGAACGCTCAGCATTTTAATACCCTTCGTCTGACGCTGCCATTGGCTGAAGAGACAAAGGGCCCTATCTTGCCGATCTGAAACGCAAGTATCAAACGGAAAAACGCAAGTAGCTTTGTGGGCGGATCTCGGGCGCTGTTGCTATTATGCCGGCAGGATAAATGACTCTTGCGCCCGGCGCAAATTTAAAATGGGTTGGTCTGAAGTAGCTACATTAGTCATAGGTGTGGTTTGGGCGTAACATGCAATTAACCAATCGGAGCGCCATCTCACATTCCCTTTAAAAGCAGGTGCGCTTGTTCCATGGCGGATTGCTATTATAACGGCGGATTCGCCAGGCGCAAGCCAGGAGCGGTTCACAGCCGAGTAGACCGACGTTCTCTTCAGGGCCGTAGTGACATTATTGACATAAAATAAATGTAACACAGCCATACAATAAATCAAAACAATGTAACGCAGCTTCGCAGGAAGAAGACCCTGGCCTCGGGAGCAGTGTGCACAGGCCGAGCAGTGCGCAAGGGCCAGCTGAGGAGGGAGCAGCGCAAACACCAAGGAGCAGAGGATCCAGACCCACTACACGCTGGAGGACCACCCGTTCCTGCAGCAAACCGGGTTTGACATGCTGGAGCGGGAGCTGTCCGAGATGCGGCAAAGTATTAATGCCCGTCTTGACCGGGTGGCGATGTTGCTGCTGCCTCTCAGGCACATCGCCTCAAGTCTGCGCCCTTAAAACAGCATCTGAATAAGTGCCACTGACTTTAGACTAGGTTTTTCCTGGTCTGTGGCGGAATTGTTTTCTGAAACAGCAAAATAGCACCAGGGAACGTTTGCGCCGGAACACGCCTCCTCTTTTCGCTGAACCGCCCCCCAGAGCACAAGTTCATTCTCTAATTTAAGGACGTGCATCGGTGGAGGGAAAATTCCAATGTGCGTCGAGTGCAAAACAGGAATTATACAAGCGCCAGTGTACAAAGTCAATTGCGCTGACTGCAAGATAGAGCCCAACGTTGGACTGAAGGTCCCACAGTGTCATGCTGTCAAAATAAGAAACTAAGTTTGGAAGAATTCCCCCGTGCAGTATATCAGGCTAAATGGAAGTTATCACTCTATTGATGTAACATGTATTATTTCAACTGATTAATGAATGTATTGACTGAACAGGGGTCAATCTCCCCTTCTGTACCTGAGTTATGGTGATGAATAACGGCCCAAAAAGTGTTTTTCCATTATGGTGTCAAGGTTTTGACCTTGTTGTGTTGGCCTTTTGACCTTTTGGGTAACATTTCCTGAGAAAGCGCAGTCACAAGAATAGGACGGACGAAAGGACAACCCAAAAACGTAAAAAGATCTTTGCAAAACGTAAAACAGGATAGAACGAAGCCTTGATGACTTGCTTTATGGTCTATTTTACTCTAAATGGGACCATCATGTACTTAATGAACTTAATGCTGTATGGAAGAAGAAACTAAAGACTGAGACCAGAAACTCATCAGGAAACTGAGCTCATAAAGGAAGTGAGATAAGACTACCTGCTATCTGTCTGTTATTGCAACCAATGGAGCTCTCCCTGCTGCTCTTTACTTCCAAGGCAGTAGACCGACAGTGGAGAACACTCATTAGGTTACTACAGGAGCTATACCAGCTTCTTAGCCCTAGCCACATCATGATTCACTAGCATTTGCTGCCTGCCTTAGCACTAGCTAGCAACACATTCATTCACTGACACACCTGGATTTCATCACCAGTATACACCCATTTATTCACAAGTTCATTCCCAGTTTGCGCCACAATTCAATTCACTTCCGTTTCATTCATTCATTCATTCACATTTTTAGCAGAGGAGACAGGAGAGTGCCACAGTGTCATTCAGAGCAACATGCTCAATTTTGTGGAATTAAACAGAGTAAGGTTGTTTTAATCCCTTAAATCCCAACCGCCACAAACAGTCATCCTCTAATCAACACTTACTCTAAATCCTGGATCACGCCACATTCACTCTGCTGTCAGCTGTTTGCGGAAGAGAACAGCATTGATGGACGCCCTAACCAGGATTTTATCACCAGCATGCACACCTGAAACACCCATCTACAACACAGGACCAAATCAACAAAGTAGCTCACATGTTATTGACAACGTCTCAATGTAAGTGAGTAAGATTCATGTGATGGCAATGGCATTGATCTGTATTAACCCGAACCAGAATTCTGCTGTCTGTCTTAACGAAGTTACATCTTGACCTGGTTATTTTTTTCCTCAGTAGATATGTGAATGGATACGTGAGAACGTAAAGTGTGTATGGAAAGTCAGTAGTAAGAGAAATGCATAGCTTAAACATTGCAAGCCAAAACTATATATATATATATATATATATATATATATATATAAACAATTATATACCAATACTATGGTTTTTCTGAGGAAAAGATTACTCTATTCTCTGTCAACATTTTTTGTCTTCTATATCCATTGTAAACCAATAATTCACTTTTTTTTTTCATGTGGACAGCATTTCCCAAGAACGTGTTCTTCATAGAGTGAGACTGAACTCTGGACATTACTTTCACATATCCTGCAAAACAGTGACGCACACCGTTACTGGTATATAATGACAGATTTCTCTGGGTTTGAACATTGTTGGAAACATTCGGGAAACAACTTAATACCATATAGAACATAGCTCTAGAGTTTATACACTGTTTAATGATTATAGATTATTGATTGAATCAACTCCATATAGAACATAGCTCTAGAGTTTATACACTGTTTAATGATTATAGATTATTGATTGAATCAACTCCATATAGAACATAGCTCTAGAGTTTATACACTGTTTAATGATTATAGATTTTATGAATTATAACTCCATACAGATTATAGATTTAAAGTTCAGTGATAACACTTTTAATGATTATAGATTATTGATTGAATCAACTCCATATAGAACATAGCTCAGAGTTTATACACTGTTTAATGATTTTTTTTTTTTTTTTTTTATTTTTTTTTTTAAAAAAATCTTTTAAAAAAAAAATTTTTTTTTTTTTTAAATTTTTTAATGAGGAAATATTACAGATTATAGATTTAAAGTTCAGTGATAACTTTTTTTCCTTGGAAGGAAATAGATTTTTAACATGTTTAATTGTCCTAGAGAGTGGGCAGTGTGATTTCGTCATGTTTACTGTATCAGTTCACAGTAACGAGCCCCGGTGGAGCTCCTCTCTTCATCAACAGCAACTATTTCCATCTGTAACACAACAAGGCCAGACCCCAGAGGCGTCTGTGTGGACACTTGGACACTCTGGAGGCTCTAACCAGCTTCACTAACAGGCCAATTAGCACACAGGGAATCATGGGAGGTCACTTTCTGTCGCGATGGTTACTGAACAGAGAAGCTTCAGTCCTTTAGTTTGGTAGTGTCTCCCACAGGAGTTTGGCAGCAGCCACCAAACAAATGTTTTACTTGGAGATTAAAGTAAGAAAGTAAAGAGAATGGCACTCACAGGAAACTCAGATATTTAGGGGTTTAAGGGCCAATAAAGGTTTTTTTGCATGTTTTATCCGAATAAATACTAATCCTGTTTACGTCTTACCCCTGCCAATCATTTTCCAAATCATCATCAATTCAATCAATTCATCAATAATTTCTCTTTCCCCTGAACAGTACCATCTCTAACAGATGTTTGAGGTTCGATATTAGAGAGTGAAATCAGCTGCTAGAATCCCGAAGCAGACCACAGGAACCAAATGTGGTTAAATTATACAGTCCTAGAAAGGGTACCAATGTTTCATCGACTGGTCGACTAATCGCCCACATTCCAGTTTGTAACAGTATTGGTGTACATTGATCAGCCCTAACACAGTGACGGCTCGCAGTAAAAATAGGTGAGACCTCGACTCTGTAGTGAATCACGCTGCAGGTGCAGCTGAGAGTCAAACTGCATCTGTTAACATGGACGTCGGAATAAAAATCAAGATGTTCCGCTGCGCAAGCTGTGTCTCTCAGCTTTCAACTACTTTGAATTTAGAAATCCACAGATGATTAGTAGGCACTGTGATCTCTGACCATATGATATCGCAAAACTATGAAAACCGTACCTGTACTGTTTTTTTAAAACACATTTTTTTGGGGGCTTTTCTTCCTTTTATTTGACAGGATAGCTTGAGAAATGGACAGAAATGAGAAATGTTGTCCAATATAGCCGTTGTAAAATATAACCTGCAGATATCATTGATTGATGTCTGGTGCATTTCGGACGAATTTTATTCAAGGTTCCCATGGAGATGGGTGAAACGTGAAGTTAGCGAAGCCAGCGGCCATAGTTAAATGTATCCCTGGGGCCAGAGCGGGCGACATTGAATCAAATTTAAAACTGCTGGCTAAAGCTAAACATAAATACAGTAAGATTGTTATCCACGTACAAGAACAGTCACCCACCCAAAACCCCATAGAGACTGTGTCTGTCCCCCGACCACCTAAATTATTTAAAGAAATAAAAACAAGAGGAGTTCAACATAAAAATCTAATAAAAATTAAAACCAACTCCTCAGTAGCACAAAATAATAATAATAATAATAATAATAATACATTAAATTATTAGAGGCGCCTCTCTGGGCACTCGAGGACACCGTACAACACAAAAAAACCCCAGCAAGAAATAAGAAAGAGATAAGAAAAGACAATGTAGATGGTTAAGTGGGGTAGGCAGTTCTGAATAGGTGAGTTTTTAATCTTGATTTGAAGAGTGTGAGAGAGTCCAGGTTCCTGAGGTCCGGTGGGAGTGAGTTCCAGAGTTGGGGGGCAGAGCGGCTGAAAGCCCTGCTCCCCATGGTGACGAGGCGGGCGGGAGGGACAGAGAGGTGGACAGAGGAGGCAGATCTGAGGGAACGGGAAGGGTTGGCGATGTGGAGGAGTTCGGACAGATAAGGAGGGGAGAGGTTGTGGATGGCCTTGAACGTGAATAGGAGGATTTTGAAGTCAATGCAGAGTTTTACCGGGAGCCAGTGGAGTTGCTGTAGAACAGGGGTGATGTGGTGGATGGAGGGGGTTCTGGTGATAAATAAGAGATTAAATAAGAGAATGAAATGTGGGCTGTTAAATATCAGGTCTCTGTCCTCTAAAGCTGTTTTAGTGAATGAATTAATATCAGATTATGATATTGATTTACTTTGTCTTACTGAGACCTGGTTGTCCCACGAGGAGTATGTTAGCCTAAATGAATCCAACCCCCCCAGTCATATTAATACTCACATTCCTCGAGGCACTGGCCGAGGAGGTGGAGTAGCAGCCATATATGATTCGAGCGTTTTAATGGACCCTAAACCTAAACTAAATTATAATTCATTTGAAAGTCTTGTTCTTAGTCTTTCTCACCCAAACTGGAAAACATGATGGCCTATAAACAGTTATTAATGCAGGAATTCATGAATTGAGGCAATTACAAAGCACTTACTACTCGTTAATTAAGTATTTTGCACAAGCTCATCTTAAGTGAGCACTATCTATGGCTTATTAAGCATTTACAAATGAGATATAAAGGCTGACAATGCCTCAAGACTCACAAAATGTTCAGTTATCTTAACAGACGAAGGAGAGAGCGAGATATAAGACATGATGGCTATGTTTAAAAATTCCATATTTCCATATTTATACACACAGGAAATCTGCAGGAAACAAAAGGGAACAGAAACAGTGTGAATGTCAGAGAGAATCTGAACCAGAAGCATTGGAAACAACCCTGTACTACCATACAGTTCATTTACAAACAGGCTGCACAGAAATATGTACATAGGTTCATGTAAGCTTCTGTTCATACAGATAATCACAATGAGCAAAACATTTACAGTAAACAAATATAAAGACATGATAATGATAAAATATAAGTACTTAAAAAAAAGTTTGACATTGTGTGAAACCTGCTGTAGTCACACTCCCTCAGTTCACCCTCCGAGCACAAGGGAGAAAATACAGGGGCCACGAACTGTGTGAGAAATGCAGATTGCCCTATCTAGATCCAGTGTTTGTCCATTCTGGGCTACTGTAGAAACATGGCAGTTCAACATGGCGGCCTCCGTAGAAGAGGACCCGCTCCCTCTGTAGATAAAAAATGTCTCATTCTAGCTGTCCTTTCAGGTGATTATACACTAAGCTGCAGCATACCTATGATTATATTACATTAACGACAATAGATCCTCCTCATTGTTACACACTGGACCTTTAGGAAGTACTAATTATTTGATAATTTGATATTTGTATTGATCATGTAACAAAAACATAACATAACTGACATGGGACCAAATACTGGTTGTCCTTCCTTTTTTTGCCAGTATGGACGTAGGATTAGTCTTTATTAATCGTGACCTTTTATAATGAGGTCACTCTGCTGCTGTGGGTGTTCTGTGTCTTTAAACATTTAAAAGAAGTGAAAGCAGAGTTTGAGCTCAGTTAGGAGGGACTGCAGCAGGCCGACAGGTGAACACTCAATGTCACACACTTATTTTTCTACTTTCTAACTTAAACATTATACTGACTTTGGAAAGGAAATGGTCTGTTTGGGGTTGTTAGATCAAACTGTATCCATTATAATGAACCTGTTTAGTACTTTTATCCTGACCTCTGTTTGTATGTGTTTGATATTTCAGCAGCACATTGTGCTAAACAGGCAGACCTTTAAAACAGGCTCATTCTAACCAGTTGAATCCACAACGATGTGAAATGTAAAAATTAAACAAAAGTGTCTGCACAGTAGAGTTGTTGTGAACCAGAAGGAGGCTCATGATAAACTCTACACAGGTATCATATTTCACATTTAGTGCCTATTTTGACACCGGGCATTTAAAATACTTATATTTCATTATTGTCATGTGTCTATATATTTTTATTGTTTTTGCCAATGTTTTGCCGGTTGTAGCTATCTGTATGAACAGAAGCTTACATGAACCTATGTACATATTTCTGTGCAGCCTGTTTGTGAATGGACTGTATGGTAGTACAGGGTTGTTTCCATTCCTGCTGGTTCAGATTCTCTCTGATGTTCACACTATTGCTGCTTCTTTTTGTTTCCTGCAGATTTTCTGTGTATATACTTATGGAAGTGTAGAGTTTTTGAATTTAGCCGTCATGTCTTATGACCGGTACCTCGCTATCTGTTGTCCTCTGCAATATAACACACGTATGACAGGTAACAGAGTTGCCGTCCTCATTGCTGTAACCTGGTCAGTTGTATTTATTGTAAATTTTTGTACACTGCCTTTGATTGTTCCTTTACAGCTGTGTGGGAACATCATTAACAAAGTATACTGTGATAACCACTCTATTGTGAAACTGGCCTGCTACGACACCACAGCCAATAACATCTACGGACTGTTTGTTAGTGCGTTCTCAGTCTTTGGCCCTCTCATTTTAATTCTTTACACTTACATAAAAATTCTTCTAGTTTGTTTTTCTGGTTCGCAACAGACCAGACAAAAAGCCGTCAGTACTTGCACACCTCACCTCGCTTCCCTGCTGAACTTTTCTTTTGGTGCTTGTTTTGAAATATTACAGAGCAGGTTTAATATGAACAGTGTACCAAATGTGTTGCGCATTTTTTTGTCGTTATACTTTCTCACATGCCCGCCACTCTTCAACCCTGTAATGTACGGACTGAATCTGCCCAAAATCCGTGTCATATGTAAAAATCTGATATCAAATATATGCAAAGTATTAGCCGCCACCTAACTACTGTACCAATACTTTGTATTATTCTAACCACCGTTATTATTTTATTTACTGATAAGTAACTCTAAAGCTGTTACAACAGATATTAAAACAGTTCCATGCACCATGTTTCAGAACAAAATATATTTAATAGTAGAATGGAAATTAAAATCTTTGTAATTATAAAATAGTATGTTTAAAACTAAGGCACTTTACTAAGACAGTGTCAGTAAAGTAAATAACTAGCAACAGATAGTGAAACACTGCTGCTACACCACCACAACAGATTTCGATGTTTTGAATGAAGTTGTTTTGTATAGTACAGTGTACGTTTTCTTATGTGACAGTTTTTAATAAAATGTTTTTGTATAGTCTCAGTTGTATAGTCTTTGTTTGTCCGACACAGTTTTGCAGATAATAGTGTAACTGTATTGTAATGGAGCGTCCTGGGTTTTTCTAACTGAATTAACTTAATACGGAAACAACAAACAGGAGAAGAAGTCCAAACCTCTGAATATAAACATTGTTTTTTTATTTACAACATTACAGGAACATTCAGCAGGTTCATGTTTTGGCAAAGAGCTCTTTAGATCCGCTTCCAGTAACTGAATTTAATTTAAATAAGTAAGTAATCAGTATCAAATCGTCTCAGAAGCGAGCTCAATACTCATTGTATTGTTTACTAGCAGATCTTGAGTTCTTCAATAGAGTGCTGCAGGAATGAGTCCCCCAACCCCGGAACAAATTAGCATTTTAGCTTCTCCGTTTCCCTCTCCTGATTGAAGATGATCAGCAGCTGGCCACCTGGCACCTAAACACCAGATTCCAGTCCTGTAATGAAGCACACACAGACAGACAGACAGACAGACACAGAGAGAGAGAGAGAGAGAGAGAGAGAGAGACTCTAGGCTAAGCTTAAGCTTTAACAATTACAATGCCTTTATTGTCATAGCATGGTCAACTTAGACCTAAAAACAAATTCTGACGAGTTTGCGCATCAAGTCTTCGTCTGGGACTCAAACAGATCTCATAGAAAATCACATCACATCATAACAAACAATTATCTTTACTTCATTCACTTGTCTCCTACTCCATTTAGTCAAGAGGTATGATTCTCACTTTGTGTGCAAGAGATTGGTTTGGATACTGGACGAGCCCCCATTTTGTCACAGCTAGACCACACAATATTTTTTATTTTAAACTACAACAAAAGCAACATTATAAATGAGTCGTCTGTAAGTCAGTGATGGTTATAGTGTTGTGTGTGTGTGGCGTTGTGGAGGCAAAACAAAGAAAGATAAATGGTGATGGTGAGAGACAGCAAGACAGAATGATAACCAGCCTAAATAACCTCGGCCCAGCTGGAGGAGCACCAAAAGAGTCACACACTTCCAATCCAGAGAGGTCAGTCCACTGTTTTCTGGCAGAGAACCATTGATGCTGACTCTGATCTCGATCGCAAAATATTGCTCCAGTGTGTGCTGAAGGTCCTAAAACCAGACCTTCCCCAAAGTTAATCTATAATTATATATGATGAATGGACCAATCTGTCCACCGTGAGGTCGCTGATGTTAGATCATAAACTGGAAAATCATTACGCTCGGATGTGTTTGTCTGCAACATTCTGCAGTTGTCCAGTATTTTTTAGCATTTTTAGTTTTTGTTTCAGTAACTTTCCTTTAAAACATGTTACTCCCAATACGGTTCTCTATTAAATAAAGGCATAAAAAGTCACAACATTTAAAAAAAAATATCTTTCAGTCTTAAATGCATGATTTGTAATCCAAATATGAGCAAAGGAGTATCCCAGCCCCCAAACTTTAAACCACAGTAATGGGGTCTGACTTTTTAAAACAAGCATATACAATATATATACAAATAACAACTTCAACCACAGATCTGGTGCCACATGCCACAAACTAGAAAGCTCTGTGAGAACACATCTACTTTACTACTTTATACTTACCCTACAATACATTTTAAAGATAAATTATGATGAAATATAATGCCCTTTGAAGAATAAACTACCATACAGTATATAAAGTATTTAAAATTAACTCCACCAAGATTAAAATGTTGTTTATATATCATATTTATATGACTGTATATATTTGCTATATCACATATGTATTATGTACACAATTATAATCATTGTATCATTTTGATCTGGATTATCAGAAAACTGCACATTTACGCGAATATGTACAGGTAACAAAATACCTATATAGCCTGTTTCTGCCCACAAAATGTTTTATCTCAATTCATCAGCAAAAATAATCCAATAAAATATATAACATAATTTATATGCAAATAAAATTTAATTGAATTGAATAAGGTAACTGTGAAACGCCCTACTTTGCATTGTCAGCATTTTTTTAGGTTTGATACCATAAAGATTATTTGCTGTTGCTATTGAACAACAATCTCCTACAACATGTACACTCCCCTCCAAAATTATTGGAACAGTGAGGCCAATTCTTTTATTTTTGCTGTAGACTGAAAACATTTGGGTTTGACATCAAAAGATGAACATGAGACAAGAGATCAACATTTCAGCTTTTATTTCCAGGTATTTACATCCTGACCTGATACACAACTTAGAAGATAGCACCTTATGTTTGAACCGTTCCATTTTTCATGTGAGGCTACACCAGAAGATGCAAACTACTCATTAGCAAGAAGAATAGGAAGGCCAGGCTGGAATTTGCCAAAAAGTACAGAGACGAGCCTCAAAGATTCTTGGATGTTTTTGGGACTGATGAGACAAACATTAACCTTTATCAAAGTAATGGAATTTGGAGAAAGAAAGGATCTCATCTGTGAAACACAGTGGAGGTAATGTCATGGCTCGGGCTTGCATGGTTTTTTCTGGCACAGGCTCATTAATCTTCACTGATGATGTAACACATGATGGCAGCAGCAAAATGAACTCAGAAGTCTACAGAAACATTTTGTCTGCCAATTTCAAGAAAGATGCAACCAAACTGATTGGGAGGTCCTTCATCATGAAGCAAGATGATGACCCAAAACACACTGCTAAAGCAACAAAGGAGTTCATCAGGTGCACAAAGTTGAAGGTTTTAGACTGGCAAAGTCAATCTCCAGACCTAAACCCCATAGAGCATTTTACCTGCTAAAGAGGAGACTGAAATGAGTAACCCCCCCAAAACAAACAAGGAGACTGAAATGAGTAACCCCCCCAAAACAAACAACAACTGAAAGAGGCTGCAGTGAAAGTCTGGAAAAGCATCACAAAAGAAGTTTGGTGATGTCAGTGGGTCGCAGGCTTGGTGCAGTTATTTCAAGCAAAGGATTTGCAACTAAATATTCTCTAAGTCTTATTCACTTTAATCTATCTTAAGTCCATCTGTTCCAATACTGCTCACCTAAAAAAATTGGTGTTCTGTAACAAATAATGCTATCTTCTAAGTTGTGTATCAGATCCAGATATAAATAGCTGGAAATAAAAGCTGAAATGTTGATCTCTTGTCTTGTGGTCATCTTTTGATGTCAAACCCAAATGATTTCATTCTACAGCAAAAATAAAAGAATTGGCCTCACTGTTCCAATATGGACTTAAGTATAGTAAGACCAAGGTCCATGTTGTTGACCTTGTGATCTGTCGCACTACCTGACTAATGATGGAAATCTGACCTCTGCTTCAACCAGTAGATAAGATCAGAGCCAATAAAACTGGTCTGTAATTATTACTTACATAATGTTGACACTGTTTGTCGTCACAAATAGGAGAGGTCTTTATTGAGGAGAAATTCAATGGTTAGCAAATAAAAACACTTTTTACATTATAAAATATATTGTAATTGGACATATACATGATTTGTACATTTTGAAAATATCTGTGTGGATATAATTAGTCTACTGGTGCAAAGGCCTTGTTGAGGTAGAGTACAGTAGCATCCCATTGAGAGTCATACTCATTTAGAGAATGGTATTAATCATTGATATAATATACACACTGTGATCAAATATAAATATGGAGTTATAATTGTAAATCAACTATTACTACTATATCAATCTGACAACATGGTGCACACTGACATTTCTAAATCGGATGTACAGTCTTATGGTTAGTATTGTGGTTGTATGTCCCTCTATATACATAAAGAAAACAGGCTTTTAACATTGGAGTTAATTTATTTGTCACATTATAACAAAAGTTCTACGTTCGAATACTTCAAAGGTCTGATTAAATTAAGGCTAGACAACATTTGACATCAGACTTTTACCTATAACACGGATTTTGGACATTTTCAGTCCATACATGACGGGGTTGAAGAGCGGCTGGCATGTGAGCCAATATAACGATAAAAAAATGCGCATCATATTGGGTACACTCTTCATATTAAACCTGCTCTGGATTAATTCAAAACTAGCCCCGACAGAAAAGTTAAGCAGGGAAGCAAGGTGAGGTGTGCAGGTACTGACAGCTTTTTGTCTGGTCTGTTTGGAACCAGAAAAACAAACTATAAGAATCTTCATGTACGTGAACATGATAAAAATGAAAGCACCAAAGATTGTGCCAAAAGATGCAATGAGTCCATATATATTAACTACATTGGCATCTGAGCATGCCAGCTTGACAACAGAGTGGCTGTCACAGTAAACTTTGTAAATGATGTTCCCACACAGCTGTGAATGTGAATTCAAATATATTATGACAATACATGCAAGCAAAGGGTATAACCATGTTAAAGCAATGAGCATGGCAATCTTGTTATATGTCATTCGTGTGTTATATTGTAGAGGATAACAGATAGCTATGTATCTGTCGTAAGACATGATGGCTAAGTTTAAATATTCAACAGCTCCATAAGTGTGTACACAATAAATCTGCAGGAGACAAAATGAAGTAGAAACTGTGTGAACTTCAGAGAGAATCTGAACCAGAAGCATTGGAAACAACCCTGTACTACCATACAGTTCATTTACAAACAGGCTGCACAGAAATATGTACATAGGTTCATGTAAGCTTCTGTTCATACAGATAATCACAATGAGCAAAACATTGACACCGACAATAAACAAATATAAAGACATGACAATCATAAAATATAAGTACTTAAAAGTTCCAGAGTCAAAGTAGGCAGCGAGTGTGAAATATGAAACCTGTGTAGAGTTTACCATGATCGCTCAATTCCACTGTGCACACCAAGCAATAATTATTTTATCTTTGGTTATGGATTTGTAAAAACTTAACTAGCTTCAACTTGGACTTGTATGGCACGATTTTCAACTTAATCATAAAGCACATATGAACAGAAGTCAGTGTAGTGATGCTAAACAGATTCATTATCATGGAAACAATTGTTAAAAACATCCCTAAATGCATCATTTCCTTTTCAAATTCACAATAATGCTAACATTTACATTTCTGCATTCACCTGTTGTCCTGCTGTAGTCATACTGAGAGTCCCTCCTAACTGAGCCCAAACTCTGCTTCAACTTCTTTTAAACTTTTAAAGACACCCACACAGCAGAGTGACCTCATTATGCAAGGTCCCAATGATTGATACTCATGTTTAATTAATGTCAGCAAAAAAGAAAACTTTGTATCCTGCTGTTTGTATTTTCTAAATCGAATTGTTGGGCCTGTAGGAGTACGGTGTAGACCTTTTCTATTTGAAAAATGTTCTGAGATAACTTCTTTTATGATTTGGCGCTATACAAATAAAACTGAATTGAACACCAGAGACAGTTTAGGAATTGTTCAGAGAAGAAACGCTCCCTAAACTTATTCAGTTTTATTTGTATAATGCCAATAAATAACAGAGGTTATCTTTTCAGTAAAATAGCGTCTACAACCACAGTAGCCAGCACAACATTTATGGGGCATGAATGTGTGCAGATAGAGAAGGAGAGGAAGAGATGAGCTCAGTGCATCATGGGAAATCCCCCAATAGTCTAGGCCTATAGCAGCATAACTAAGGGATGGTTCAGGACTCACCTGAAGTAACAAATGCATAACAGTGAAAGTAAATGGAGTGATTCTTAATAATGTTGCCTAAGGGAAGCATAACGTCAATAGAATTGGTTCAAGTACAGAACCTTGTGGACCTCCATGACTAACTTTAGTATTTATGGAGGATTCATCGTTAACCTCTACAAACTGTGAATGATCTTATAAATATGACTTAAACCAGCTTAGTGCAGTTCCTTTAATGCTAATTTGATGCTCAAGTCTCTGTAATCGAATATTATGGTCAGTGGTGTCAAATGCGGCACTAAGATCTAAGTCCATTGTCTGATAAGAATACTGGATGATGAAAAGGCTCAGGAGATGGCTGTGGTTGCTAAAGAGCCTGAGCAACACTGCCCACTATGGACACCAAAATAAACTTCAAACACCCTTCAAGTCCTTACAGTGGGACAGTACAGAGTCCATCAAGGCCATTGCTGAGGCCATCAACTCGGGAGTTCAATGAGCAAAGCACTCTGGCCCTTTCAAGAAGTCCATTGTGTTTGTGAGAGCTGGATGGCAGCCAAAACTGGTCTGGCCTCAGCAAGGGACTGGCAGCAGTTGGTGGGCCTCGAATGCAAGCTTGAGTTTCTCAACCACATCAGTGCCACCATTGTACATCTAACTTGTTTGAGGATGGAGTTTGTCAAGGTAAATTCCATCTGTTTTCAAGACAATTAGGTGGTAACACTGTATTTAGAACACTGACATGCTTTCTTTACGTTTCTCATTAGAAGACCTCTGCTGCACAAGAACCTTTCAAGAAGGTCAAAGGATTTTGAAAATCCTTTTATGAAAAGAGGCAAAATGGCTCTTTGTGATGGGAACTGTGCCTCTACATTATTTGACCTCTACCCCAGCACTTAGTATAATCTCATTACCCTGAGATTATTTAATTCTGATTAAAGTCAAAGAAACTATTGTCTGTTATTATGATTAACTTTAGGACTGTCATGCTGGCACTGTCTAAAATGTGTTGCACGTGCAGTTTGCTCATTATAAAGAAGAAAAGACAAAATATTTATTGTAGAACTTTATAAATTAAAATGTTACAGCGGCACAAGAAGCAGCCTGAAGAGATGGGAAACAGACCAAAAACTGTTTAAAGTGAAACAAATAAAAACATGAAGCTATGTACACTATACATACAAGCTATTATATGTGTCGCCTTCCACAAGGACATCATCCTGAAGTTCGCGGATGACACTGCAGTGATCGGTCGCATCACTGGGGTGACAAAGCGGCCTACAGGAGGGAGGTGGCCGGTCTAGTGGCATGGTTTGATGACAACAACCTCTCCCTCAACACAGACAAGACAAAGGAGATGATAGTGGACATGAGGAAGTAGAGGAGACCTCATCAACCACTGTCTATCCGGGAGCTTGAAGTGGAGAGGGTGAGCAGTTTCAAATACCTGGGTGTCCCCTTCCGGTTACGGCGCTGTGTCGAGTGGCGGCCAGCAACAGTTGCTCTCTCTCTTTTCCGCACTGCTTCCAACAGCTATTTTTTTTCTTATTTATTGTTTTCTATTACCGTTTCTTTTCAGTAAGTTGTTGTGCTAACCTTAGCCAACTATGTTTGGGAACTTTTTTCCATGTTTTTTGTCCGTGTGTCTCATTCTTGGGACAATTTTTCCCGACCACGTCTCCATGTGGGCGCAACAATGCGGCGGGTCTATTGTTTACACCCGAGATCAGCTGTTGTCGCTACACCCATCGGCCCTGATGCGGGAGAGGCCTGAAATTCCCAGAGAACTAAGGAGGAAGTACAGGGGATGTAAGGCTGGACGTAAACACCGGGAAAAGAAGCGGAGATATAAACCATCTCTCCCTTCCATCACCATGGGGAACGTGAGGTCGCTGGCTAATAAGATGGACGAGCTGGCGGGCTTGGTGAGGACTCAGCGGGTATATTGTGAGAGCAGCGTGCAGTGTTTCACGGAGACGTGGCTCCACAAGGGCATTCCGGACATTGAACTGCTTGCCGTGAGTCTGCGGCCATATTATCTGCCGAGGGAGTTCTCACACGTGATCATCCTGTTTGTTTACATTCCTCCGACCCCAAACGCGACGCGCGCGAGTGACGTCATACGCACCGTCGTCGCGGGACTCCAGACACGGCACCCAGACGCATTCATTGCAATATCTGGGGACTTCAATCACGTCACTCTGGCTGCAACAATGCCCACTTTGAAGCAGTTTGTTTCACCAGGGAAAACAAGACACTGGACCTGCTGTATGCCAATGTTAAGGAGGCTTATAGCTCCAGTGCCCTTCCTCCTCTTGAAAGATCAGACCACCTGCAGCCCCTGTATAAGCCCCAAGTCCAGCGGCTTCCTGTGACCACCAGGACTGTGAGGAGATGGTCACAGGAGACAGATGAAGCTTTGCAGGGCTGCTTTGAACTAACAGACTGGGAGTTGCTCTGTGATTCGCATGGAGAGGATCTTGATGATCTCATGGACTACATAACAGGGTACATCAACTTCTGTGTGGACAGTGTTGTTCCTACAGTGACTGTACGCTGTTTCCCAAATAACAAGCCGTGGGTCACCAGAGACATCAAGGTCCTGCTGAATGAGAAGAAGAGGGCAAGATCAGGACAGGGAGCAGATGAGGCGGGTTCAGAGGGAGCTTAAGGAGAGGATCCAACAGGGCAAAGACAGCTACAGGAGAAAGCTGGAGCACAAACTCCAGCAGAACAACTTGAAGGATGTGTTGAGCAGCATGAGGAGCATCACTGGCTACAAACCATCTGGCAGCCAGACAATAGGAGGTGGTACTGAACGAGCCAACGAGCTGAATCTGTTTTTCAACAGATTTGATGAGAGGGCTCCGGACTACCCCTCCCCCAGCTCCTCTACAACCATCTACCTCCAAGCCTCCAGCCCTGCTGCCCCCCTCCCCCTCCGTTCTTTCCTGACTACGCCTTACTTGTCCTCTCCCCCCCACCATCACCTCTCCCCACCCCCATCAACACACACGGCCGACAGACCTTCACTGCAGAGCAGGTGCGGAAGGAGCTGTGCAGACTCCGCCCAGGCAAGGCAGCAGGTCCCGACGGTGTCAGCCCGAGGGTCCTCAAAACCTGTGCAACCCAACTGAGTGGAGTCCTGCAGCACATCTTCAACCTGAGCCTGAGTCTGGAGAGGGTCCCTGTGCTGTGGAAGACATCCTGCCTGATACCAGTACCGAAGAAGGCGCGTCCCAGCACCTCCAACGACTACAGACCGGTGGCGCTGACGCTTGCTGCTGTGTGCTGGGGCAGCAGGCTGAGGGCAGCAAACAAGATCAGCAGGGTCACCAGGAAGGCTGGCTCTGTCCTGGGGGTCCAACTGGACTCTCTGGTGGTGGTGTCTGAGAGGAGGATGCTGTGTAAACTGCACAGTATCCTGGACAACAACGCTCACCCTCTCCACCAGGTGCTAACCTCGAGCAGAAGCACCTTCTGCAACAGACTCATTCCCCCCCGATGTAACACAGAATGCCAGAGGAAGTCTTTTCTTCCTGTGTCCACCAGACTCTATGACTCATCTACCTCCGGTCGCAAGATGGACAGTGGAGACACAGTGCCCTGAAAGAATGTCACTTTATCATTTTATAACCAATTTCACTTTATTTAGTTGTACTGTACCATAGTTAATTTATGCTGCTAACAAATGCTGCTACAATTTTTATCACTTTTACCACTTTTACCACTCCAATCGCTCCTTGTCACTTACCTAGTTTGTACTTATTTTATTTCAATTTATGCTGCTAAACTGCACGGTGCGTATTGTTGTATATTGTATATACCTACATTTAACTGCAATTTTTGTTGCACTTTGTCACATTTAGTTACTTGTTTCTTCTTTTCTACTTATGTTACCTGTAAGTGCTTACATTTGGTTGCATTTAGTTAATTGTTTGATTTATTTTATATTAGCCTTTATTTTATTTTATGTTAGCTTATTTTTATTCTAACCCTGTAGTACTTTACTTTACCACCTTTGTATTAAAGCTGTTGCACAGTTATTTCCCTCGGGATAAATAAAGCTTCTTGAATCTTGAATCTTGAATCACATCAGTGAGGACCTCACCTGGACACTGAGACACATTTACTCATACTTTATTTTTCTACCTGTTTTGCTTCTGTAAGCACAGAACTACTATAAAACAGTTTTAGAAACAGTTGTCTTCATTATCAGAACTGGGCCCTCATTAAATTTAGGGGTTACATTTTTTTAATTTTTTAAAAAAGGCCTATTTGTGGGGGGAAAAAAAGTGTAATATTTGAGTTACATAACATCTTTCTATTTGTGTTCTTCCTAATTGTCACCCCCAACACAAAAATGGTTTGGCCACTGATGGAAATTTGATGTTGTTGTTTGATTTGAAGTTCAGTACGCTCAAAAAGTCCGTTGCTCAGAAAAGGAAAGAAAAGAGAAGAAGAGAAGAAGAAAATAAAGAGGCCTTAGAGATTTTAAATATTAAAAAAAGGTGGTGAAGGTGAAGCTGGAACTGGTAAAGTCAACGTAGAGCAAGGTAAGAAACAGCACAGCCAACGTTTACCAGCCTTGTAACCTAACAGACCAGCTCTAATGTTAACGTCCATCAGCTTGTATAAAAGACTGACACAACGTTATCTCCGACAGAAACAGTTGAGTTTGGTAGCTCCGTCAGAGAGGATGAGACAGAGAGGAGAGAGATCCAGCTGCAGGCAGGTGAAGCGGGAGGGGCCCGCTGCCCCGTCGGAGAGTCTGAGCAGAATGGATCAGAGATCACACTTAATTTCAGCGATCCTGCATTATGGCCAACTAGAATGACCGACTCTGATAGAGTGAACCTCATACGTGTGATGGCGCCTTTCTCAGAGAGGGCAAAGGAATTGTCAGCAGATGCAGAGGGCAGGGAATTCCCAAACTATCTGACATATTCCACATCCCACAATGGGAGGGAAAAAATCGATAGGGACTGGATAGTATATAGCAGCTCCAAAAAGGCCTTATTTTACCTACCATGCTTACTGTTCTCCTTTGACGTAGAGAAAAATTCAACTAGTGCACTAAATTCAATTTACTGAAAGCTTTATGAGAGATTTCCAGAACATGACAGAAACCGTGCACACAAACATTGTTATTGGAAGGAGAGGAAGAGCAGAGGGAAAGGAGAGATCTGGGCGTGGGGGGGGGCCCATCTAAGATTATCTCGTCCCGGGCCCAGGCAAGACTGTCAGCTGGCCTGATGTGAACCACAACACATTGACACTACTCAGTAATTTCATGTCTTGTGAGGGGCAGGCTTTGGTTGCCAAGCAACCAGGGCCTGATGGAGGCCAGAGCAATTAAGCACAGCTGCACACTTTCTCTCTGTCTCTGACTCCTGAGAGAGACAGAAAATCTCAAAATGAACCCCCTCTAACCATTGGAACAACCGCAATGACAACCAAAATGACGTGAGCATCCTCATCTTGTTGACCATAGGAATGTCAAGTTTCAGTGGCTAAAGTAAAAAAATGTGACCGCTCAGTCTCCTTTCAAAATTTCTCCTCTTCAATTTACATGGGCGTAAATGGGGCTGTGAGGGGGTGTTGCTGGCGCATCAGTGTGTTTCCCGCCATCACCCCACGGATTAACCGACGTTTCTATCAATAAAATATTTCTGTAGAATGACATTTGTGGCCTTGAGAGCAGTTTACAATTTTTTTTTTCTACAAATTGTTTTCTCCCTCTCCACTTTAGCGAGGATGTCACATACTCTAGCTCGTGAACATTCTACCAATACACACCCATTCATTTTTTGGCCTGGTTTTTGGCGATTTATTTGCAAACTGTTTGGTGAAACGCTTAGAAAAGTCACAGCACTAATCTCCCGGCCGAGCAGCAGATTTTGATACCTTTTTGTGTATGTGTGACCAAAACTGCGGGAGGAGTAGTCGACCGAAAAACGACACGGAAGAATAAGAATATGAAGTATGAGGAATAATATATAGTGTGCTTTTCAGGCACACTCAATAATGTAGACAATTGTGAAGTCAATCGGATGAGTGGTTCTTGAGAAGTCCAGTGGCCAAACAAGCATGTCACATGTTTATATATGTGTTATATTGTTCATTTCATATTATTTTCATTTATGCATTATTATATTCATTGTCTCTTTCTTATTTGAATAAACACAAAACTTCACATTTGGGTATGCGCCAACATTTACACATATTAAATGTACTAAAATACATAACAACACACTGTCTAATTTTCAAACTTTATTTGTTATCTATATTTTTTCGGATTATTTGTATCCTGTTTCTGCCACCACTGTAAGGCTATCTTTTCCACTTTGGGATTAATAAAATGTTTCATATCTGTCAATACCTGACTAATGTAGTGTATATACTTTGCTGTTGCTATTGAAAAAGCGATGAAGGCTATTGAATACAAATGGATTTCAGGATAGTAAGGCAAAGTAAGATATCCATGTTGTTGTCTAATCTTGTGATTTGTAGCGCTACCTGTTTGTAGTGGAAATCTGAACCAGCAGATGAGATTAGTCAGGTCAATGAGGCTGGTCTGTAATTATTATTTATATTAGACACTGCTTGTTCAATACAAATAAAAACGTCTTTATTGTGGAGAAATTCGAGGGGTTACAGTCGCACAGGTTGAAGAGTTAGGAAACAAATCAACAAATATTAAAACTGAAATTAAGAAATAAATTAAAACATAATAAATCTAAGTAAATTTACATTATAAAAATATATTATCATTGGGCATACACATGATTTTCACATTTTTAATGTCTACTGGTGACAAGGCCTTGTTGAGGTAGAATACATTAGCATCCCATTAAGAGTTATACTCATTTGGAGAATGGTAGACCTACTCTATTTTAAAAGTGTCCTGAGATAACTTTTGTTATTAAATTGAGCTATATGCATAAAATTGAATTGAATCATTGATATAATGTGATATATCTGTGATATAAATATAAATAGCTAGTTTTAATAGTAAATTTAATTTTTTGATCTAACCCTAATTGAATTAAATACATTAATCTCATTTCTCAATTTGACACATTTCCAAATTGGATGTACAGTTTTATTATTAGTATTGTGCTTGTATGTCCCTCTATTTACACAAGGAAAACAGGTTTTAACAGTTGAGTTAATTTATTTGTCACACAACAGAATGCAAAGTTCTACATTAGAATACTTTAAAGGTCTGTTTAATTAAAGCTAATGAGTAAATTTGTTATATGACTTAAGAGCTTTTGATTTGATCAGACTTTTACCTATGACACGGATTTTGGACAGATTCAGGCCGTACATTACAGGGTTGAAGAGCGGCTGGCATGTAAGAAAGTATAATGATAAAAATATGCGCATGATATTGGGTACAGTGTTCATATTAAACCTGCTCTGGATTAATTCAAAACTAGCCCCGACAGAAAAGTTAAAGAGAGAAGCAAGGTGAGGTGTGCAGGTACTGACAGCTTTTTGTCTGGTCTGTTTGGAACCAGAAAAACAAACTAGAAAAATCTTCATGTAAGAGAAAATGATAAAAATCAAAGCACCAAAGATTGTCCCAAAAGATACAATAAGCCCATTTATATTAACTACCTGGTTGTACGAGCATGCCAGCTTGACAACAGAGTGGCTGTCACAGTAAACTTTGTAAATGATGTTCCCACACAGCTGTGAATGGGTACTCAAATATATTACATATATATGACATGAAAGCAAAGGGTATAACCATGTTAGAGCAATTAGCACAGCAATCTTGTTAGATGTCATTCGTGTGTTATATTGTAGAGGATAACAGATAGCGAGATATCTGTCATAAGACATAACGGCTAAGTTTAAATATTCTACAGCTCCATACGAGTGTACACAGTAAATCTGCAGGAAACAAAAGGGAACAGAAACTGTCTGTACTTCAGAGAGAATCTGAACCAGAAGCATTGGAAACAACCCTGTACTACCATACAGTTCATTTACAAACAGGCTGCACAGAAATATGTACATAGGTTCATGTAAGCTTCTGTTCATACAGATAATCACAATGAGCAAAACATTGACACCGACAATAAACAAATATAAAGACATGACAATCATAAAATATAAGTACTTAAAAGTTCCAGAGTCAAAGTAGGCAGCGAGTGTGAAATATGAAACCTGTGTAGAGTTTACCATGATCGCTCAATTCCACTGTACACACCAAGCAATAATTATTTTATCTTTGGTTATGGATTTGTAAAAACTTAACTAGCTTCAACTTGGACTTGTATGGCACGATTTTCAACTTAATCATAAAGCACATATGAACAGAAGTCAGTGTAGTGATGCTAAACAGATTCATTATCATGGAAACAATTGATATAAACATCCCTAAATGCATCATTTCCTTTTCAAATTCACAATAATGCTAACATTTACAAAACAAAGTCTGCGACATTGTGTGAACTTCTGCATTCACCTGTTGTCCTGCTGTAGTCATACTGAGAGTCCCTCCTAACTGAGCCCAAACTCTGCTTCAACTTCTTTTAAACTTTTAAAGACACCCACACAGCAGAGTGACCTCATTATGCAAGGTCCCAATGATTGATACTCATGTTTAATTAATGTCAGCAAAAATGAAAACTTTGTATCCTGCTGTTTGTAGTTTCTAACGGCTGATTCCGTAAGGCACGGCTGCATCGCATTTATTCAGCATCACATCCCGCTGTGACGTGACCACCCAAGATAATCACTGCCATCATAGAGTTCTAGCAGAAGAAGACAGCACATCAGAAAGCTGCAAAGGACAGTGACTTTAGGACGCGTGTGACTGACCACAGCAGCGTAGCAGAACCAGCGGCTGTTAGTCAGAGCTAATCAACGGTTGCTGTCAGACTCTGTGTGTTTGAGCCCGCTGGAGATTTTACAGTCACCAGGAGCCCTTTGACAATTGTTTGTAAAAGTTTCTGTGTGACACCTCTGCTGTAGCCAAGCTAGCAACTCAGAGAGGTTCTCCAGTATGTGTGTGTGTCTGTGGGGGGGCTGTCGATGTGGGATTAAGGTAAAGATTGCAGTCTTGTGCTTCTACAGCATCTAAAGTCTGAACCATTGCGCCACAATATAAACATACTAAATAGAAGGTTAGCAACAACTGGGCAGATGACCACGAGAACCTCTCTAACCTTCTTGAAACCTGGGTGGGTATTGGTGACCCTGCTCTGCAATTGTTAAGTCGCTCCCATGTGGTCACCTCATATCTGTTTCCATTTTTACGCAGACAATACTCAGATGTACTGTATTTGATTCATAGAACAGTAACTGATTTTACTAATATTAACTTTATTGCACAAGTTTCAGTAAAGTCCAATAATTTGACACCAATTGTTTGATTGATGCATGCATCTACTAAATAATTAAACTTTTCACATGTAATGCATTTGTGCCGTTGTGTTACACTCCAACAGGGACACCTCTAAGAATTCCCAAGTTACAGATGTGGACATTCGAAAAGCTCAGCAGGATGTTTTATGACAAAATCATGGAAACAGGAGAGGTAATTTAAAGTTCTACAACCAAGTTCACTGTTTTGGAGGACAAAGTATAACAAGTGATGCAATTACCTCACAAAACCCTATCCAGGTATACAGTACATACCCCCTACTACGGCAACAGCTTCTTCATCACTATCATGATGATCCTTTATCATGCCATCTTGGGAGATACAAAACATAGAAAAGGCTGGGCGGCTGTGGTGCAGAGGCAGAACGGGACGTCCCTTAATTGGAAGGTTGTTGGTTTGATTGCTGGCTCCTCCTGCCACATGTCGAAGTATTCATCGGTGTGTGAGTGTGTATAAATGCGTCAGTTTCTGTTCGATGGGCTTTGCCATCACTGAGTGAATGTGTGTGAAAGGTTGAATGTGGCATATAGTGTAAAAGCGCTTTGAGTGGTCGGAAGACTAGAAAGACGCTATACAAGTACAGGTCCATTTACCAAACACCTATCCATTGACTGATCCTGGTCCTGGCTCGTGCCACAATTGAATTTACTTCCATTTTTTATTCAGTTTTTGAGGAGAGCATGAGAGAAGACTGCAGGAGGGTTTACGATTTGAGCAACACACTCTACCTGTTGCGTGTAAAAAACAATGTAAGGACGTTTCATAATCACTTAATTTCCTTTCAACTATCACAATCAGCCATCCTCCGATATATCTGACTCCTAAAAACCTCACTCTGAATTATGTCACATTGCCAGAAAAAACTGTCTTCATCTTTCCCTTGGGCCTGTACAGTTGAAACCAGAAGTTTACATACACTGTATAAAAAGACACTTACGCTTTTTTTTCTCACTGTCTGACATGAAATCAGACAATCACTTTTCTTGTTTTAGGTCAGTTAGGATTACCAAAATTATTTATATTTGCTAAATGCCAGAATAATGAGAGAAGGATTTTTTTTTAGACAATTTTTTATTACTTTCTTCAAAGTCAGAAGTTTACATACACTAAGATTACTATGCCTTTAAACAATTTGGGAAAGCCCAGGTGATGATGTCATGTCTTTGGAAGCTTCTGATTATTTATTGACAACATTTGAGTTAATTAGAGACACATCTGAGGATGTATTTTAAGGCACACCTGAAACACACTGCTTCTTTGTGTAACATCATGGGAAAGTCAAAAGAAATCAGCCAAGATATCAGGAAGAGAATTGTGGACTTGCACAAGTCTGGTTCATCCTTGGGTGCAATTTCCAGATGCCTGAAGGTGCCACGTTCATCTGTTCAAACAATTATAAACACCATGGGAATGTCTAGCCATCATACCGCTCAGGAAGGAGACGGGTTCTGTGTCCCAGAGTTGAACGTGCTTTGGTCCGAAATGTGCATATCAACCCAAGAACAAAAGCAAAAGAGCTTGTGAAGATGCTGGCTGAAGCTGGTAAGAGTGTGTCGTTATCCACAGTGAAACGAGTACTGTACCGACATGGGCTGAAAGGCCACTCTGCCAGGAGGAAGCCACTACTCTAAAAGAAACATAAAAAATCCAGATTACAGTTTGCAAATGCACACAGGGACAAAGACCTTAATTTTTGGAGACGTGTCCTGTGATCTGACGAAACTAAAATCAAACTGTTTGGCCATAATGACCATCGTTATGTTTGGAGGCAAAAGGGGGAAGCTTGCAAGCCTGAGAACACCATCCCAACTGTGAAATACAGGGGTGGCAGCATCATGTTGTGGTGTTGTTTTGCTGCAGGAGGGACTGGTGCCCTTCATAAAATAGATGGCATCATGAGGAAAGAACATTATGTGGAAATACTGAAGCAACATCTCAAGACATCAGCCAGGAAGTTAAAGCTTGGGCGCAAATGGGTCTTCCAAATGGACAATGACCCGAAGCATACTGCCAAACTGGTTACAAAGTCGCTTAAGGACAACAAAGTCAATGTTTTGGAGTGGCCATCACAAAGCCCTGATCTCAATCCTATTGAACATTTATGGGCAGCGCTGAAATGGCATGTGCGAGCAAGGCGGCCTACAAACCTTGCTCAGTTACACCAGTTCTGTCAGGAGGAATGGGCCAAATTCCTGCCAACTATTGTGAGAAGGATATCCAAAACGTTTGACCCAAATCATACAGTTTAAAGGCAATGGTACCAAATACCAATGAAATGTATGTAAACTTCTGACTTTCAAGAAAGTAATAAAAACATTGTCTAAAAAAATTCTCTCTCTCATTATTCTGGCATTTAGCAAATGGAAATAATTTTGGTAATCCTAATTGACCTAAAACAGGAAAAGTTTTATCTGATTTAATGTCAGACAGAGAGAAAAAAGTCTTTTTATACAGTGTATGTAAACTTCTGGTTTCAACTATACTACTTCAAGGTAATGCCATTTGGACTTAATAATTCCCCGGGAACCTTCCAACAGCTGATGGAATATTGGATGGATATTAGTGGGGGTTAAGCAGGACCATGGCTGCGTTTCATTAGTAGTTCCACTTCCCCTCGTTCACTTCCCCTCAGCCCTTGGTATGACGTAACAGCATACGTTGCACGGAGGCCACTTGGAGCGCGGAGGGAAAGTGGGCGGGGCAGGAGTGGGGGATTTAAATGAAACGCACTTGCCCTTACTCGGCGTTATAGCGGCAATGACGTAAACTGCAATGCATTGTGGGTGATATCCACCTCGGAGTGACCATCGTTGTTCACTCGCTCCCTCAGCCCTCCGAGGGTCCATCTCACCAAGTTCACTTCAGTTTTCCAGACAATTGATGGCGGCGGGAATTCCCCCGAGGGCAAGTGCCGAGGGCAAGTGAACGAGGGCGTGTTAAACGACTAATGAAACGCAGCCCTAGGCTAGGGCAACGATAGGGCAGCATAATTAAGGGATGGTTCAGGACTCACCTGATCCAGCCCTAACTATAAGCTTTATCAAAGAGGAATGTCTTAAGCCTACTCTTGAATGTGGTGAGGGTGTCTGCCTCCCGAACCACAACTGGAAGCTGGTTCCACAGGAGAGGAGCTTGGTAACTGAAGGCTCTGGCTCCTGTTCTACTTTTAGAGACTATAGGAACCACAAGTAGCCCAGCATTCAGAGAACGTAGTGTTCTAGAGGGGTAATAGGGTACTATGAGCTCTTTAAGATATGAAGGGGCCTGACCATGAAGAGCTTTGTTGGTGAGAAGGAGGATTGATAAGTTAACTTAGTGCAGGTGTAACCAACAAAGATCTCAAGAGAAATTTCATGTTGCTCTTGTGGTACAAGTGGAACAGCTGGAGCTGCTGGAGGCATTTTGTTAAAAACAGAGGATTTCTATAAAAAATTTTCACACACACACACTTTTATTTATTCAACCAACTTCTTGATAAGGGCGGCATGATTTTTCCTCATATCATAAACCTTGTGATAGCCAAGTCCTTTATAATGTTTAACAGTAGAAATGTGGGCTTTCCTTTTGTCCTTGTGAACTGTTGGCTAGTTGGTTTGTTTACAAAGCACAGAGCTGACCATAAACAGGCGGTAAAAATCACAAATGAGACATTCTCAATGGTAATGGTAAATGGACCTGTACTTGTATAGTGCCTTTCTAGTCTTCTGACCACTCAAAGCGCTTTTACATTACAGACACATTCACCCTTTTACATAGAGATGGCAAAGCCCATCAAACAGAAACTAACATTCACACACCGATGCACGGCATCGGGAGCAATTTGGGTTTCAGTATCTTGCTCAAGGACGCTTCGGCACATGGAACCTTCCGATTGAGGAACAACCCACTCTGCCTCTGAGCCACAGCCGCATGCTGTATACATGTTCAAAGAATGCTCCTAAAGCCTGAATAATGGCACCATATCCCAGTGTGCATTTTAATATAGTCAGTGATGGTTTCACACCTTTGGAAGTGTTTTTTCTTTTGGAGAATGATTTTTTGAGAGTTATTATATTTTGACAGAGTTTTACTATTTTAACTGGTGCAACTTTTCTTGTCTTTACGTCACTGGTTTAGCGGAGTCACCAAATTAATTGTAAAGGCCACACTAGGCCAAAATAACACCACATGCAAAATACAGCAAAATGTACATGGGATTAGCATAAAGTGGCTTGTCTCAAGGGATCCCCTTGAAAATGGCCATGCTAGTTTTTCCATCTGCAAAATGCTAGCATGACATGGTCATCTACTTTCATCAGCCACTGACAATATATATGGTGGGCAGAGATTTCTTGGTCTGTGAATTCTATCGCTCCTATAAAGAGG